CCAGTGACGTACGAGGAGACTGGCGTTTAACCCCAATGTTTGAATCAAAAGGGGGACGGAAGACCAACGTAGTGGAGGGTGGCTATCTTATACTGGCTGAAGCAACGAGGACACTGCTATTAGGGTGATATAATGACAGGGACCTGGAGGTTTCGAGCCCTGTGGGTCACAATTAGCAGCTGTTGGCATCCTGTAGAATGACAGTCACACATTAGCGAGCCAGTGTCTGACGCCGGGAAGAGAAGAAGGTTCGATTGCAGCTTTGGTGATATATTGAATGGAACTCTGTGGGGCTCGAGATATTGCAAGGCAGGCCTTTTTTCTGGGACAACGGCCCCCAAATTCCTGCTCTCTGGCTGAGCGAGCCGTCAGAGAGGCTTATGGGATGAGTGATAGACGCGCCATGGTGCCGTTTCCAGCTTCGCGGCCAGTGCCATTTCTTCGCCCACAGGTTTTCAGTAGGAAAGGCAGCGCACGTGAGGCAAACATTGTCAGCGGAAGCAATCTAGTTTGAGGCAAGTTGAGCAGCATTGTGGCAGGAAAGGGGTAAAGGACCGTGATGTGGTCATCTTGATTGGACGGCTAAATTGGGCGGAGGATATTGGCGGCCAAAAAGACCCTCAATCTCGGCCCCGACAATGAAGCCGCATATTAAACCGCATCATCAGAGGGCTTAACGGAGCTTTGCTAAGGAAAATGTTTCAATCTCCAACTCAGTTTAAGGGGCCTGGTGTGCTTGCCTCCGTCCGTCGCACGACAAGAGGCATGTCCACCCTCGCTTGATAGTGGTTCAACCCCGGTCACCACGTTACATCGTGCCTAGTTTGGAGAGATTCTGCGGATGACCTCAGAAAAAGTCGATCCGGGGAAGCTGGATGGCCGTCGGCCGGGCCGAAGTAGATCCATGCCAATGAGCCACACAACACATTCCATTGCTAGGTGTGCGGTGTTAAACAACGGCATAGCGTTAGGCATGTCTTAGAACTCCCGTAAAGCTTGAATTAACGGCAAATTCATTTGGACAGCTACTGGGAATGGACCACAACAGGAGAGCAAAGCAAACAAAAAAAAGAAAAGACGGGTGGGTACCGGGTGGGTACCGGGTGGGGACGCCTGCCATCTAGGCGGCTCAAAAGATGGGCATTTTGCGCTGGACAAGGCATGACATTTCGGATTTATATGTCAATTGCGACCCCAAACAGCTAAAAATAGCAACCATTGTCGTTTCCGGTGTCGAGGTCCTCGAGCGGCCAAGCCATGCACTTGATCTGTGCCCAATTCTGAAGTCGACAGAGAGTTGGCTTCTTTATCTGGTGATAAGAGGTTTCCAAGCCATTCGGCAGCATAAACAAGCTGTCACTGTTAGATCTAGGTTATGTGGATGTAATCGTGATTATTGACTGGGACAAAGACACTTGTGCATCACGCCCGAATCAGGGCTTAAAATAGATTCAAGTAAATTATGAGCAGAAAAGAGGACTGAAGTCCTATATCAACTCTTCACGGCTAAGTTGTCTCTACAGTTCCAGTATTCAAATCGGAATTCATCCAGTTCATGTCGTAACGTGCGGTATGCGAGAAAACCTCTAGTTGGGAATAGCTTCTGATCACGGACCAGATCAACCAAACAATTGGAGTGGAAGGGGTTGTTCGCGAGCAACTCCATAGGTCAAACACATCCCCATCTTCAGATGACATCAAGTATCCGCAAATATCATCTCGAGCCCCTGAAAGTTGAAGTTGACAGAGGTTTCTCTCTCTTGTAGCATTTCATCCCAATCCCAGTCACTCACCGAACCAGACCACAACCCGCCAGTTTCCACATCGAACCCGAGACCCTCCAGACCCGGATCCCCGTTGGATCCCGGCTCTCGACTGACAGACCCGGCCACACTGCCCGCTCTGATCGAGCCTTCATTTGCTGCCATTCTCTTCAAGATGTTGATGCACTCTTTCACAGTAACGTCAAGGCAATCCGTGATGGCTTTCTCGATCTCCTCGTCCGGTGCGCCGCGTTGGAGGGCTTCCACCTGCTTGAGCAAGCCGCCCAAGAAAAGATAGCCCTTGACGTTTGTTTCACCTGCCAAAACTCGGGATTTCGCCCAGCCCAATGCATACCTGATGCCTTCGACAAGCTCCGACTCCTGGACGGATTGCCCACCCACGACTCTCACTCTCGTGCCAACTGGTATGGAGAGCTCAGATAACCCACCAGGTTCTTCTGATCCGAGATCGAGATTTGCGTTCATATCTCGGTCCTCCTCGCGTTGCCAGACAAGCTCCAGCCCCATCGTGAAAAAGCACTGCACCGGAACTGTCCGGAAAGTCCCACAGCCGCAGATAAGTAAGCCTTGGAAATCATCGCGCTCGATCGTCTGTGCACCAAGGGGCTGTGCATCTAGAGACGCCAGGGGCGATGCCAGAGTGGTGGGGGGAGACGAGTTTTTGTGTGCCGTCATCCCTCTGTATAGACGCATTGCCGTCTCGACACATATTTTGCGCGAGTAATAGTATCTCGGATCGTGTTCTGCCGCCGGGAGCCACGGTAGGTGAAGAATCAAAAAGATGCGATGAAGCGAGAGTTCAACAAGCTTCACTTGGAAGCGAGATGGATGCCGACTTTGAGGGCTGCCTGCCGACTGGAATCTCTGTACACTTGCAGTGAAACCACGGCATGCAGCCGTAAGCTCTCTATGCAGCCTCAGTGTCTCGTCGTAAGAGTTTATCGTGTCAAACTCGTTCAGGTACCGTGCGATCGTAAGTCTTGTCTCGAAAGATCTGAGTAACATAATTTGTATAGAAGTGTCTGTAAATACGGAGATCGGCTTCGGGATTATTGGTCCTTGGTCTGATGTGTTTTCCAGATCCTCATCGTTGAGATTAGAGGGAGGTTTAGTATCAAAGTCCTTCAGGTTGATTGATGGCGGACAACCGGACTCGAGACTAGCTGATAGTATAAGTTCCAAGATTGTCGCCCACAACCTCCGCCTCATTTCTGAGACGTACAAAGACATCTTCGGGAGGTGCTCGGGGTCTCGATGAAATCCCATGAACACGGCGGCACGAACGAGGGTGCCGACAGAAATCCAGACAAGATCTGCGCCGATTGCGCATGTCTCGCGGGCTAGGTACAATAGACACAAGGCTTGAAGACCTTGGATATTCATTCGTGACTTTTCGCCCGGTTGAACAAACCAGAACTGGGCTTCATAAATCCATTGTGTGGCCATATGTCGATGCGAGAAGGTGTCATCTAGAAAGCATGCTCCTACTGCCATACATAGCTGCAGCTGGATGATGAAGGACTTGGTAGCCGCGGCAGGGTTTTCCCAATATGCACAATACTCCCGTCTGAAACTAGGTATATGAAGTATACGGTACACGGATTCGAACGTCCTCAAATAGGCATCGACGAGCTGGTCTGCTATAATTCTCGATGGTATGTGCAGGCCAAAATTGACGGATATCATGGACGGGACTCTTTTGTTCTTGATGACCTTTGCCAAATTCTTGCATGAGCAAAGAGATTTGAAGAGGGTAGATGTTTTGTCACACTCGATCCGTCTGATGAGATCTGTTAACATTGGGTACTATTCGAATGTTAGCAGAGAAGAGCCGGAGATCAATGACTACTTACTAATCGTGCTCCGTTCATCCAATGGCATTGACTGACATATCGTGTCTTAAGCAAAAGGCCAGCTGGCTTAAAGGACGAGGCTATTCCCTGAGATTTGGGTTTCTGTCGCAACTGAGCTAGCTGTTGCTCGAGTTGTCGAACGCGTTCGGTCAGAGGATTACTGGTTGAGCCATCGTTTGATGGATGGCTCACGGGCGGACTGGGTCCAGCAGTTGTCGACTGCGCCAGGAAGTTTGTAATAGGAGTCGATTGAGATGCTGCCTGATCTGACTCGGTGTAGGGATCAGCATTCTCAACCGGAATGCCGAATGTAAAAGCTACTCTGTCATCTTGGGTGACACCGTTCTCGTCGATAGGTCCAGAGCTAGCAGGTCCATAGCCTGCTCGTCTGAGGTTTGAAGAACTTTTATCAAGAACATATGTACAATGAGAAGCTCGCTTAGTCCGAACACAGTTGTCGCAGGGTGACTTGCGGTCGCATTTGACCTTTCTGCGCCGACATGCCTCACAGGCAAGCGGTGGTCGGCGGCGTTTCTTTCCGGGTACAGGTGTGCTATCCATTGACAGTCAATCAAGTCTCCGAAATCCGTGAACCGGATCCGAGAACGATACTTGGTATGAAGGGCTTCCAATAGTGTTAGATTTGAAATCCCCGGTGCACACTCAGAGAGTGGCCCCAACTCATCTTGAAGGCTCGGGGAATTTGAGGACAGATGCGGGGAATTCAGACCTCATGGCCGAGCAAGTAAATCTGACAGGAAATCCCTGTCAGCCACCTCTAGCGGAATCGCGAAGTCCAATCATGACTCGTGAATCCGTTGAAATAGCTTGAATCCGGGTCTTTTTAGTACGTAACGACATCAGAGTCTAGTGAAAATGTGCTTACCCACAATGTGGACCTGTAAAAAGTAAATTACCGAACGCGGTCTGTCCAGAAAACAGCAATTGACAGTTCTGAATAAGCCGAAGCCGTGTAAGTCGGCAGACCCAATAGGCAACATGCGCCATCCACCGCGCAGTGACACACGCATTGAACGATTTTGCAGAAAACACCGCTTCGGCCATTCCCTTGCAATGGAAAATTGCGCTCGAGGCGGACCACTCATAGAGTCAATTAGAATGGGTGTTCTAACGAGTGGCACGATGGCGCTGATGTGGACTAATGGGCATATAAAGAAACAAGATTTTGCTTCTCTAAGCACATCAGGCAGACCATTTTCTTGAGCTTATAGACACGATCCAAGTCATAGAAGTACTCAATCGATTGTCGTTCTCTTCCCAGGAATTTTGACCGAAGATGGTAACAGACGAGAGCAGAGATGCGACCGCTGTCGGCAGCCCCGAATCGCGAAGCTACCAATTGATGGAAGACGATAAACAACAGAAGGGAGGTGAAACAACCGAGTTGCCTGATGAGACTCACGACTTTCCTGAGGGTGGTGCTCGAGCTTGGGCGGTAGCGGCTGGAACTGGTGGTATCCTGTTCTGCACTCTGGGATATACCAACTCGTTCGGCGTTTTTCAAGCCTACTACATGTCCAACCAGCTCCAATACGAGTCTACGGATCGAATAGCGTGGATAGGATCATTGCAAGGCTTCCTCATATTCGCGGCTGGCTCAATCGGTGGGCCGTTATTCGACCGATATGGCGCAAAGGTATGAAACTTATCCGGTCATGAACCTCCCATGCAAGTTGCTGACCAGCGTGTTACATTAGGTCATTCGACCAGCTGCTGTGCTGTATCTGTTTGCAGTGATGATGACGAGCATTTGTAAGGAATACTGGCAATTCATGCTCGCCCAAGGTGTTCTGACGGGCATCGGCGATGGCTTGCTCATGTTCCCAGCCATGTCGGCGTTACCGCAGTACTTCAACAAGCGGCGAGGAGCCGCAATGGGTCTAGCAATAGCAGGGTCTTCTTTTGGTGGCGTGGTCTTCCCCATAATCTTGGGCAAGATGCTCAACTCGTCCAATCTGAGCTTTGGGTGGTCGGTCCGTATCTGCGGATTCATTATGCTACCGATCTTAGCTGTCAGTGCCACCGCTATCAAAGCGAGACTCCCGCCTCGAACTACCAACTTTTTCTTGCCGTCAGCATTCAAGATGCCGCTGTACAATATGCTGATCGCCGCGAGCTTCTGCCTGTTCATCGGAATGTTTACGCCATTATTCTTTCTACCGAGCTATGCCATCGAGCAAGGCATGAGTGCTACACTTGCTTCCTATCTCGTATCGATCCTCAACGCGGCCTCCATCCCCGGGCGGATTTTGCCGGGGATACTAGCAGACAAGATCGGAAGACTGAACATTCTCCTCGCAGCAGGCGTCAGTACAGCCATCATTGTCTTCTGCTGGGCCAAGCTGGGAGGTACAGCCGGGATCATCATCTACGCTCTGGCCTTTGGCTTTTGCTCAGGTGCAATCATCTCCGGCAGCACTGTCGCCATCACGATGTGTCCCAAGGACCCCAAGGACACTGGCACGTACATGGGCCAAGGCATTGCGCTTGCGGCATTGGCGACACTCGTTGGGCCGCCGGTCACGGGCGCGCTCGTGGACAAGTACGGCGGTTTTCTCGAGGCTGTTATGTTCTCCGGGGCGTTCTGCATGTTTGGTGCGTTCTTAATGATTATTTGTAAGCACTTCACGGAAAAGGGGGTACTAGGACGGGTGTGAGTTGTTCGAGCCTTTTGATATCAAGCTCCTCTCGTGTAGCATCGTAGAGCACTCATTCCGTCTCGCTGGTCCAGACTCTGGCCACGGCGAGCGCGTGTACACTAGAATGCATCATCATCTCCTTTGTGTAGACCTGTAATAGCAAGATAGGATATCCTCTCTTTCCAAATAGCCCGTTAGTAATCTTCAGACCTTAGATGGAGCTTATATCCTGAACAACAAGTTCCTAGGGATTGCAACCGTAACCGGAAAAGAATGTGTCAGGGGAAGTACCTAGCTGAATACTTGAATATCTTGAGTCCTGTCAAATTGCCTTGCCCTTCTTGAACATACATAACATTCACAAACGATGGCGATAAGGCAAAGGAGGAACTGAGAAGAATCTGGATATTTTATTAGGGGATGCAACACAATGTACAAGGACACAGGAAATCCTTTATTTCCGCACCGAGATGCAGCCTTTCACAAAAAAGGGGTTAAATTGTACACCAGCAATGGGGGATCGTGTGGACACTCATCAAGGGTTACCACAAGATCCATCGCCATGCCGACTGCATCCCCCAAGCCCGGCGCAGAGGCATCGACTATCGTCGTCTATCATTGCCGATCCAACTGCTGAGGCTTCGGGGATGCCCTACTCTATGATCCTCGCGTTCCATTACGCCCCATATATCGCCATCAAGTCAAGCTCGTGCCACCGAATGGGTGGAGGGTTCTTTTTTTGAAACGAATTTTGTTTACAGCAGCAGCTCCAGAGGGTTCTCAATCACCTTCTTCAGCTCGCGCATGAACTCGGCGCCGACAGCACCGTCAACGACCTTGTGGTCGAAGCTGGCGGTGATGTTGATCTTCTCATCCCAGGCAACACCGGTTGTGCCATCCTCGTTCTCCAGGGGAACGGCGACCTTCTGGGGAGCGCCGATGGCGAGGATAGTGGACTGAGGGGGGTTGATGACGGCAGTGAAGCGCTCGACCGCCGGGTTCATACCCATGTTGGAGATGGAGATGCTACCGCCCTGGTACTCCTCGGGCTTGAGCTTGCCATCACGAGCACGCTTAGCGAGCTCCTTGACAGAGTTGGAAATGGTCTCTAGGCCCTTAGAGTCGGCGTTCTTGACGATGGGGGTGATCAGGCCGACGGGAGTGGCAACAGCGACGGAGACGTCAACAGTGTTGTACTGGCGGATGAATCCATCCTGCCACGATGAGTTGGCAGCAGGAACCTTCTTGGCGGCAATGGCGATAGCCTTGACGAGGAAGTCATTGACGCTAAGCTTGTACTTGCCCTCGGATGAGTTGTTGAGAGCCTGTCGAAGTTTGGACAGCTTGCTCACGGAGATGGCAGAGGTGACGAAGTAGTGCGGGTTCTCCTGGGTGGACTGCTTGAGGCGGTTGGCAATGGTCTTGCGCATGCCGGTGATGGGAATATCCTCGTACGCGGCACCCGCGGGGGCAGAGGCAGCAGCAGCGGGAGCTGAAGACGCCTTCTTAACGTCCTCCTCGGTGATCTTGCCCTTCTCGCCAGTGCCCTTGAGACCCTCGAGCTTGACGCCCTTCTCGATCGCTAGGCGCTTGGCAGCAGCAGAAATGTTGGGCTCGCGGTCGAGAGAGGTCTGTAGCTTGCCAGAAGTGTCGGTGTCCTCAGGCTCCGGTGCGGGTTCGGGAGCCGGTGCGGGTTCTGAGGACTTCTCCTCAGACTTGGATTCCTCCTTGGGCGCGGGCTTGGCAGCATCGCCTCCGGCGTCCTCGAGCTTGAAACCCTCGAACGCACTCACATCGGTACCTTCCTCGACTAGAACTGCGATGGGCTGTAGAAAAGACAAGTGCGTCAGTACTCCATGAAATTCATCAAACACAATGTCGAGTATGTTGTTGGGGTTGCACGAACATTGCCAACTGGGACATCTTTCTCGCCTGATTCCTTAAGGATCTTTGCCAGCACACCCTCCTCCTGGAACTCAAAGTCCATCTGGGCCTTGTCGGTCTCGATCTCGACGAGGACCTCACCGGGCTCAATGGAGTCACCGGGCTTCTTCTGCCACGCGCCAATGTTTCCGGCGGTCATGGTCGGGGACAGGGCGGGCATCTTGACGACGGTGTGCGGCGGGTAGGAAGCGTACCATCTTGACAGGCTCGAGGTAGAGGGGAGGACGAAGCGGAGGGTGGTGCGCTGCTGGAGGACGCGCCTCCTGAGGACGGGGCCGAGCATGTTGGTCGAGAGGTGCGAAAATAGCTCTCGTGTGGTGGTGGTGGTGGTGTTGGGGAAATTGCTTGGAGCTGTCCGGAGCTGCCACCTCACAAAAAAGTCGCAAGTCGCACGTCGGACGGAACGAACGGGGGCCTGCACGGGGCGTCTCCGCAGCAATTGACGAGCAGTTCAATTGGAGGACGTGAGGCGAGAAGCCGGAGATGGCGGATGAGAGCGCGAGAGGAGAGGAGGAGGTGGTGGTGATGATGCTTGCTGCTGATGGGAATGGGGGAGGGAGAGGGAGAGGTCCGATAGACGGCTTTTCACGGCGTGGGATTTTTTTCTCTGCTGAGGAGCCAAGCGTTTTGCGTTGGTTGGGAAGCTCCTTGCTCTCTCACTGCACACTGCACGCAGCACCGCACCGCACCGCTTCGCACAGCACTAACACACTAAAAACACTCACTACGGACCAGGGCTGGGACGAACTGCACCGAGCCCGTTGCTGGGTCCCATCTTTTACTGCACTAAGCCTCTTCAAGCACTAGACTCCCCGACAAAATCTCGTCGGCAAAGCCACGCTTGTGATTGGATGGCAGACGCTGAAGAAGCAGACATAAGCGCGGTACGCGGGAAGCGACGCGAGGCGCGCCCAGCGAGAGTTGACTCTCAAAAGAATATCTCTGTATGTGCCAATCTCGTATTTTGCAAAATCGAACTTTTCAATACTGTATCCGTACCTGCTCTGAGGAGATCATAGTGGGGGCAAACCATGCCATCTCTCAGCATTCTTAAGTTTGTGACAACGCTGAAGGGGCCGTACCTGTGGTAAGCTATGTCATCAATCATGGCAAAAACATTGTGAAGAAGCCTTTCGACAATTTCAGAACATTTTGGCGATATCCCGTGTAACTAATCCAAAGCGTCTTGGCTCTTTCTACTGTAGACACTTGCTCGGAGCCACGCTGTTAGTCAGGTCAGGGATCTACGTACTGCTTGTCAGGGAGGTCTCCATCGGGTCGCGGGCGCACGGACCACCTCGGAAAGGTGCAACCTGGTCAAGCTGGGTGCCTCCCAATGCAGTGGCATTCGCTAAGAAACTGCTGCGAATTCCATATTCAGAGCTGCATTGCACAAAGAGCGAAACAGCCACCCGATGCTCTGCTTTGACGACTTCTAGGCTGCTGTTTCTACTGTCTATCAGCCAGTTCACCTGGCGTCCCAACAACACTTTGCCCCTGTTTGGTTGACCGTCCGCAAGCTCCGTTGTTCGCGGGTACGCTCCTGGCAGTCGTGGCCTTTGTCGCGATACATAAGCGTGCATTTGCATCTCCCTCCCTCCTTTTCCCGCCCTCTGCAGCAGCAGCACGGATGGCATTCCGTCTACGACCATGAGCTCGATCAAGTTCGTCGTGTCCTCGCTGGATGCGATTGAGAAGAACGCCCACCGGAATAAGCCCCTGACCGAATCCGTTCAAAAGGCACAAGCTGCCATCAAGGAACAGAATGACCTCCCTGACCCCGAGATCATCTTTGCGCCGCTCCAGCTCGCCACGAAGTCCGGCAACGTCCCCCTTGCGACAACTGCACTCGACTGTATTGGAAAGCTTATATCCTACTCATACTTCTCCGTGGCTCCCGAAGCCGCTCCTCAAGATGGCGTCGAGCGGGCCCCCCTAATCGAGCGAGCAATCGATACCATTTGCGACTGTTTTCAGGGCGAGACCACACCGGTTGAGATACAACTACAGATTGTGAAGTCCCTCCTGGCAGCGGTGCTGAACGACAAGATTGTTGTCCACGGTGCTGGGCTGTTGAAGGCTGTGCGTCAGGTCTACAATGTCTTCCTGCTGTCGAGAAGTACTGCCAATCAACAAGTCGCACAAGGTACCTTGACGCAGATGGTTGGCACTGTCTTCGAACGAGTAAAAACAAGACTCCATATGAAGGAAGCACGTATCAACTTGTCCAAACTCAAGCACAGCGAGAGTAATATCACATTTGATCCGGCCGAATCCATCAACGGAAACGGGAATGGCGCGGAAGGCGAAGAATCCCCAGAAGCAGCATCTGAGGCAACGCCTTCAGAGCCTGCAGATAATGGAGCCCCGAAACTCACCCTCAAGGATCTCGAAAACCGCAAAGACTTCGATGATTCACACATGGGAGATGGTCCGACTATGGTGACACAGGTGAAGCCTATGAAGGTGGCAAGGTCGGTGTCCGAACAAAGCGCACCGGACGGTTCGCCCGAAGAAACGCACGAGTCCCTCGACGCGGAAGACGAGGTGTATATACGAGATGCATACTTGGTTTTCCGATCATTCTGCAATCTCTCCACCAAGGTCCTCCCTCCGGACCAATTATACGATCTACGCGGCCAACCGATGCGATCGAAGCTCATCTCTCTTCACCTCATCCATACCCTCCTCAACAACAACATCAACGTTTTCACATCGCCTCTATGTACTATTACCAACACCAAAAGCAATGAGCCCACGACTTTCCTTCAGGCGATCAAGTTTTATCTCTGTCTTAGTATCACCCGAAATGGAGCCAGCTCGGTGGACAAGGTGTTTGAAGTCTGCTGCGATATATTCTGGCTCATGTTGAAGTTCATGCGGGCGCCATTCAAGGTCATTACCCCCGGTATTATCCTGTGGATTCCCATACTAACGGCCCTCACAGAAAGAGATAGAGGTGTTCCTCAACGAGATTTATCTGGCACTCCTCGCGCGGAAGAATGCACCTCTCTCCCAGAAGCTATACTTCGTCACGATCTTGCACAGATTCTGCGGCGATCCTCGCGGCCTCGTGGAGTTTTACCTTAACTACGATTGCGATAGAAATGTGGACAATATATTTCAGACAATTGTTGAAGATCTTTCCAGATTTGCGACCTCTTCTGTCGCCCTCACCGCTGCCCAAGAGCAGTTGTATGAAGAAAAGGCTGCAAGATTTTACGGACCCGATTGGCAGGTCAAGGGCATGATGCCTCCTCCATTGTCTGTTGCGCAGATAGCACCACATAACGAGCAAGATCCGGAAATCCCCAAGGAGTATGTCATCAAGAGAATAGCTCTTGACTCACTTGTTGAGTCCCTTCGGTCAATGGTAAACTGGTCTCAACCCAGCCGACCCGAGGGCAATGGTACCACTTCGAACGTCGACGGAAGGCCATCTGCAGATGAGATTAGAGAGTCAATTGATCCTTCAATCAGTGACAGCGTGTCTAGGACGGACACACCAAACATGCCGTCAACACCAGTGGTGGACGATGATCCTGAGCAATTAGAGAAGGAGAAGGCTCGGAAAACAGCCATGACTAAAGCTATTGGCGTATTCAATTTTAAGCCAAAGAAGGGCGTTCAACTCCTTCTGAAGGAAGGTTTCATTGCAAGCGAAAAGCCAGAGGATATTGCAAGATTTCTCATTTCAGAAGAGCGCTTGGACAAAGCCCAGATTGGAGAGTATCTTGGCGAGGGCGAGCCGAAGAACATCGAGATTATGCACGCTTTCGTTGATACCATGGACTTCACGAAAAGGCGATTTGTGGATGCCCTGCGACAGTTCCTTCAGTCTTTCCGATTGCCAGGAGAGGCACAAAAGATTGATCGATTCATGCTGAAGTTTGCCAATCGTTATGTCATGGGCAACCCCAACGCATTTGCGAATGCAGACACTGCATACGTCCTTGCATACTCCGTCATTCTCCTGAATACTGACCTACATAGCAGCAAGATTGCCAAGCGTATGAGCAAACTAGACTTCATCAAGAACAACCGTGGCATCAACGACTCTGCTGATCTTCCTGACGAGTATCTAAACGGCATCTATGATGAGATTGCCGAGAACGAGATCGTCCTTAAGAGCGAGCGTGACGCTGCCGCTGCCGCTGGTTCAATGCCAACGCATGCCACTGGCCTTGCAGCTGGTCTTGGTCAGGCTTTTTCGAATGTCGGGCGTGATCTACAACGGGAGATCTATGTGCAGCAGTCTGAAGAGATAGCGCTTCGATCTGAGCAGTTGTTCAAGAATCTCTTCCGCAGCCAACGGAAAAATGCCGAGAAGGCCGGCATTAAGTTCATTCCTGCCACGTCCTTCAAGCATATTGGCCCGATGTTTGATGTCACATGGATGTCATACTTCTCCGCGCTATCAAGCCAAATGCAGAAGGCATCCAATCTAGAAGTCAACAAGCTGTGCCTTGAAGGCATGAAGCTAGCCACAAAGATTGCCTGTCTGTTCGACTTGGCGACTCCTCGAGAAGCCTTCATTTCAGCCCTGAAGAACACGGCAAATCTCAACAATCCTCAAGAGATGATGGCGAAGAACGTTGAGGCACTTAAAGTTCTTCTTGAACTTGGCCAGACTGAGGGCAACTTGCTGAAGGAATCCTGGAAGGACATATTGATGTGCATCAGTCAGCTCGATCGTTTGCAACTCATCACAGGCGGCGTTGATGAGAGCACTGTCCCAGACGTCTCCAAGGCTCGCTTTGTTCCGCCATCAAGGGAAAGCACCGGGGAGTCGCGAAAGTCTATGGCAGCAAGAAGGCACCGGCCACGATCTAATACAGGCCCGCAGGGCTTCTCTATGATCATCGCTCTCGAAGCGAGATCAGACGAGATTATCAAAGCCGTCGATAGGATATTCACCAATACTGCGAATCTCAATGGTGATGCGATGGTCCATTTCGCCCGAGCCCTGACGGATGTCAGCTGGGATGAAATCAAGGTCTCTGGTGCTCATGATTCTCCGAGGATGTACAGCTTGCAAAAGATTGTGGAGATCAGTTACTACAACATGACCCGTGTAAGATTCGAATGGTCCAACATCTGGGACGTATTTGGTGAGCACTTCAACAAGGCTGGATGTCACGTCAATGAGACCATCGTCATCTTCTCGGTGGACTCGCTCCGTCAATTATCAATGCGCTTCATGGAGATTGAGGAGCTGCCTGGTTTCAAGTTCCAAAAAGATTTCTTAAAGCCTTTCGAACATGTTATGTCCAACTCTCAGAACCTTCACGTGAAGGAGCTCATCCTGCGCTGCTTGATTCAAATGATTCAAGCTCGAGGTGAAAACATCCGATCCGGTTGGAGGACCATGTTTGGCATCTTCACTGTCGCTGCCAGAGATCCGAACGAGAGCATTGTCAACTTAGCCTACGAGAACGTGACCCAGGTTTACAAGACTCGGTTTGGAGTTGTCATCCAGCAGGGTGCCTTCACTGACCTCATTGTCTGCCTGACCGAGTTTTCAAAGAACATCAAGTTCCAAAAGAAGAGCTTACAAGCCATGGAGACTCTGAAGTCAATCATTCCGCGAATGCTGAAAACACCTGAATGCCCATTGTCTCAGCGTTTCGATATCAATGCAGCGAACAAGATGGCTGAGATCAGTATCAAGTCTCCAGCAACCCAGCAAAGCCGAACCTCCGTTGAAGAAGGCTTTTGGTTCCCCGTCTTATTTGCGTTCCATGATGTTCTCATGACCGGTGAAGACTTGGAAGTCCGCTCAAATGCGCTGAACTACTTTTTCGAGGCGTTGTTGCGGTATGGTGGGGATTTTCCATCCGAGTTCTGGGACATTCTTTGGAGGCAGCAGCTCTATCCCATCTTTATGGTATTGCGGTCGCGGCCGGAGATGTCCAACGTGCTCAATCACGAAGAGCTCTCTGTCTGGTTATCAACTACGATGATTCAGGCTCTGCGGAATATGATCACTCTCTTCACACATTACTTCGATGCCCTTGAGTACATGCTCGACCGCTTCTTGGAACTGCTTGCACTTTGTATCTGTCAAGAAAACGATACTATTGCAAGGATAGGGAGCAACTGCTTGCAGCAATTGATTCTGCAAAACGTAGCGAAGTTCACACCGGAGCACTGGACGAAGATAGTGGGCGCTTTCTGTGAGCTCTTTGAGCGTACAACAGCTTATCAGCTGTTCTCGGCGACTACCATCAACTCGACAGCCTCTTTGTCCCCACCTCCAAATGGCTTGGACTATGGGAACTCTGGTGGTCCTCTCAGCCCCGGACTGGAGACGCCAACCGACCTAAAGATCAATGGAACTGAGAAGAATGGCGCGCCCAGTGAATCTGACACGGCAAGCATCCCGCCAACTCCTGCAGAAGATGATGCCCTGCGCACACCAACAGCAACGCAGAGTCAAAGTCCCCTCGAGGACTATAGGCCGGCGAACAATCTCCAGCAGCAGCCAGTGGTTGTCACAGCCGCTCGGCGACGCTTCTTCAACCGCATCATAAGTAGATGCGTGCTTCAGCTGCTCATGATCGAGACTGTCAACGAGCTGTTCAGCAACGATGCGGTGTACAACCAGATTCCATCAAGTGAGCTCCTCAGACTCATGGCTCTGCTGAAGAAGTCCTTCCTCTTTGCCCGGCGCTTCAACAATGACAAGGACCTGCGCATGCGTCTCTGGAGAGAGGGTTTCATGAAGCAGCCCCCAAATCTTCTCAAGCAAGAGAGCGGCTCTGCCGCCACGTATGTTGCGATATTGTTCCGCATGTTTGGAGACACAGACCCTAAGAGGAGCGAGAGCAAGAACGACGTGGAAAATGCATTGCTGCCGTTGTGCAAGGATATCATTAATGGGTACATAGCTCTGGAAGAGGAATCACAACACCGTAATATCGTCGCCTGGCGACCAGTCGTGGTGGATGTGTTAGAGGGCTATGCCAACTTCCCGGAACCGGCGTTCAAGAGCCACGTTGAGACCTTCTACCCACTTGTTGTGGAGTTGTTCGGAAAGGAGCTAAGCGGCGAGTTGAGAACGGCTTTGCTCCTCGTGCTGAGGAGGATTGGGGAGAACGTGCTGGGTATCAAGGGAATGGCAACTGCACCGGCATCAGCCAATGCTACAGATGACGACAGGAGAAGTAGTGTCGTGACGGTATCCGACGGGACCGCCGTGGACCAGGCCGATGGGGATCCGTCGACGAAGCTGATGGGCAGGTGATATTAGGATGAGGGGCGAGACTCTTGTGACATTAGAACGGCGCAGCACTGGCACCACGGCGGTGCATTAGCATTAGTCTTTTTTCGTTAAATAAGGAGTGAGATATGTGTGTTAATATTACCATTTCTACCATTCGGGCAAGCGAACTGCAGGTAATGTGTTTTTCTGGAAAGCGGCTCGAGTGGAACTACGGATCTTCACGCAGTCGGACATCGATAAGGGGTATCATGTTTCTTCTATTTTGACATTTCTATCATGCTCCATTTTCCCAATGCCCACTCACCCGCGTCCCCTGCTGCGGCATGATCTCTCTCAGCCAACTCCTCAGCGCGTCGGCCTCCTCCGGGACCGTCCGGTCCGGCAAGCTCTCCAGCGCCGCTTTCAAGACATTATCATCCTCGGTGGCCTCCCGCAGCAGCTGCCGTATCGTCTCGATCTTGTACGAGCTGTACTCGGTCACGCGTGTGATGCTGACGAACGCCTCGAAGAAGTCCACCAGGCTGAGGTGCATGAGCATGTCGCGCCTGTCGACCATCTGCAGCGCCGCGAAGGGCAGCAGACCCCGCCCGGAGGAGGACAGGTCGGATTTGGTGACAGCGGGGAAGTTGAGGGCCGCAAGGCGCGGCAGCACGCGCAGCAGCCGCCCCTGCGCAAGAGACAGCTGGTGTGCGGAGGCAGCTGTCTCGGCGTCCTTGCCGGAGCAGAGGGCGATGATGAGGTTGTAGACGTCCCGGTCATGGAAGAGCCGCCGCCACATCTTGCCCTGCCCAGGGGCTTTCCTGAGCACACGGGGCAGAGGCTCCTGCTGCTGGGCTTCTTGTGAGGGCGGCGGCAGCTCGCAGTCGATGTCGAGCAGGTCGCCCAGCACCTTGCCTCCTTTCTCTCCGACTTCAACCTGGGGGGCGGCCAGCCACCTGCGCAGGAAGGCGGCGAGGAGGTCGGCCATGGTGGATAATATGGCGGCGTCGCCGGGGCTGCGGGCTGCTTTCTCGAGGACGGTCATGGCCAGTATGTTTGCAGACGGGGCAAGAGACTGGAGTGCTTGGATCAGAGACTCCTCGGATGCGAGGGAGAGGACTTGGGTGAAAGAGACGGGGCCGAGGAGCTTGATGGCCATGCTGGAGAGGACGGCCGGATCCTGCTGGTACTGCTTGAGGATGGTGGTGAGTTTGGGTAGGAAGCGAGGTATTAGCGGAGGGATGTTGCTTTCTATTCAGAATTCAGATAGACGGTTAGTATGTCTCTTCCTCTCAACCACAAAAAGCGACCTCGCGATCTACGCACCTGTGAGCTGGAGCTCGACATCGTCAAAGAGCTTGGCGTTGAGGGTCAAGGTTGGATCGTCGACTAGCTGGTCAAGATGCTGATCCAGCTCGTCCAAGCCGGTGACCGGTACGGTGTCCATGATGTTTCCAGTCTAGATAGCTTCTCGTGTATGTTGGGACTTAAGATTATCTTGAAGAGAGAGATATCGAGGTGTGATTGCGGGCTTTCGGCCGGGGCAGTCCAACAACCGTTTGTAAGCCGACTTGACAGGCAGGTAAGGTACCGGTAGGGCCAAAGAGCTGACGAAGAGAGCTGCAGGTGTCGTCAGGCGGGGTGTGCCTGGATTGCGGGGCTGGCAAGGGACCACATGCCGCCTGGTGGGGTTCTAGTCCCGCCTGCAGAAGATCGGTCCCGGCGATGACACACTACTCGAGTACCATAGTAAGTAAGTACCTAAACGCATAGCCCACCCCCGCCAAAATTTTGCTGGTTGGAGACGAGAACGAATCTTTTTCTGTCTTTCTTGTCCCGAGCAAACGACGAATTGGCATTTGGCTTGAATCACAGACGGACCATCACCGCCTCAACACACTTGAAATACTCGGACCGCAGATAGCAGCAATGTCGCGAGGAGGCGGCAGAGGAGGCCGCGGCGGGCGACGAGGCGGACTGCCCAATGCGCCGTGGGCCGAAGATCCCAACATCCGCATCGACTCACGACCCTCGGAGCTCTTCCCAGTATGCGCCTCCTCCCCTCTAGCTTGTGCAATGGTGATACTGACGCTGATCCAGGATTACGATGTCCCGATCCCCTCTCCCTTGACCCCAAACGAGGTCAGGCAGGTCAAATGCTTCCTCCTCTTCCGCGAACAGACACACGACGGACCTCTCTATACACAAGCGCGCACATGGAATCTCGACACCTCGATGCCGGCGCGCGCATACGGACAGGAGCAGATCAATCAGAGATACGGCGTCAAGAATAAGGCCAGCATCGACCCCTTCACCGCGGTGCCCATGTATTCGCAGAAGCTAGGCAGGGCAGAGCGTGCATTGCCCGATTTAGGGAAGAGACCGTTCAGTGCGTCCTCGTAGAGCCTAGATATGCCATGTTTATGTTGGCTGACACATTATATCAGATAAGGAGTTCTTCCCTGAGGAGCTACACGAGACACTCGACGGAGATGACGGACCAGCCAGCAAGAAGGGCCGCGGCGCAAAGAGGCAAAGGACACTAGCCTTCTCCAACATCACATCCCTGCGCACCGCCGACGAGATCTTCGACATGCCCGACGCCGGCATAACCCAAGACGGCAACCAGCGGGCGCTGGACCTGCTCAAGAACATCGGCGATAACGAGGAGGACGTCGATAACCTCGAGGTGTCCGACGAGGACGAGCCCTTCGAGGACGACATGGATGAGGAGTATGACGATGAGGACGCGGGAGACTACAATGCCGAGAACTACTTCGAGGCGGAGAACAACGATGACTATGACGACGACGATGGAGGGGGTGACGAGGGGACCTACTAACATACCAATATCTAGACAAACAAGAGGCGTTTGGAGGACATATCACACGGCAGGCATCAATTCTCTACATATTGTTGCTGTTGCTACACAATACCCGCTTGTAGCTCATTTTGCGTCGAGCCGACGACGACGACATCAAGCAATTTACTTTTATAGGGACTATATCTCCAGGTGCTACATCGGGATGAAATAAATAGACTTCCAAATCCGTGGGACTGAACCATCGGTCCTCTTTTGTGTATTGTGCTACAATCAATATCTGTACATAGCCCATTATCCAGTCATGGCCTGCTCAGTGTGTCCCGTTGCTTCTAAACTGTCCGAGCTGGAGTTCCGTCATCCCCTCTCTTGCGCCGCCCACCACGCCTGCCACTTTCAGTATGCTCTCCTCAAAATCACGTAGAACAGCCGCCAGGTCGGCAATCTTGTCGTCCGTGCTCGCTCCCGCGCCGCTCCTGGACGCCTGCAGCCGCTGCACCTGCTCGACCAGATTCGACTGGACACCGCCCAGGTGCATCTCGATCTCCGAGAGGTTGCGCTGGAACTTGTTCAGCTGCTCGTCCATCTCGTCTGCCGTCTTGGAGAAGAACGTGACCAGGTCGGAGTTGCTGTCGTTGGCGTCGACGCCTCCGCCGGCAGCGCTACCTTGCTGCCGCGATGACCACAGTCCAGAAGTGTGATATTGGGCAGGGAGCCTTAGGTTGTCCAGAGCCTTGAAGCTCAGCTGTGAGTTCTCCAAATCGACCTTAACCAAGTCCCGCAGGCCCTTGATAGCCTGAGCATCGCCGCCCAGGGCACTATCGACGCCGGCATATTTGCGTGAGACGAACTTGACATCCGTGGGAATCGCCGCCAGCTGCTCGCCGTGTGCAGGCATGAAGGCGTCCAACTCGTTCTTCTGAGCGATACATCCCTGAATCACGCGGTCGATGTTGGCGATCTGTTTCTGCAGGTCTTCTTGCAGGTCGTTGAAGCGAGTTGTGCCCTTGAGATTGCTCAAGTCTATCCGCACGCCCGGTACGGTCTGCTGCTGAGAGGTGGACTGGCCCATAGTCAGGCCGGGGCCGAGTGCAGACGCCCCGCCTAGTGTCTGGCCGAAGGCATTGCTCTGTGGTTGTTGTGTGGTGGGTTGACCAAGGCCAGAACTGAGTCGCGGTTAGTACATGACTATGCTCGCAGGTTGGGTAGATCACAACGTACAATAAGGAGCCAGCAGGTTTTGACTGAGCAAACAGACCTCCGGCCGCCTGCTGTTGGGGTTGCTGCTGCTGCTGCTGCTGTTGTTGCGGTTGGCCAAACAAACCACCGGTGCCCGTCTGCGTCGTCGAACTGCCAAACAGCCCGCCTGGCTTTGCCTGCTGCTGTGTCGCGACGCCGCCGAACAGCCCACCTCCTTGCGCTGGTTGCTGCTGTGTCGAGGCTCCAAACAAGCCGCCCGTCTGCTGAGGTTGTGCCGTCGATGAGCCAAACAGTCCTCCTCCCGTCTGCTGCGGTTGTGCAGCCGAAGCACCGAAGAGGCTCGTCATTTGCTGCGGTTGTTGTTGCTGTTGCTGCTGCTGCGTGTTTGTCGATCCAAACAGGCCACCGGTCTGCTGGGGTTGTGCGGCCGCTGTAGACCCGAACAAGCTCGGCGTCTGTGCTTGAGTAGTGGCAGCAGTCGAGCCTCCGCCGAACAAAGAACCTGCGGGTTGTTGAGACGTCTGAGCAGGTGCAGCTCCAAAGAGTCCTCCCGATTGGGCTGGCTGGGTCGTTTGCGCTGTGCTGCTTCCGAAGAGACCACCGGCTGCTGGAGGCTGACTGGTGCTGGATGAGGAACCACTGCAGTGAGAACGGGAAAGTCAGTAAGGGGCAGCGAGGGACCTCGTAGAGTACGTGATAGCTTCCAATGCAGGACGGGGTGGTGTATACTCACAAGAGGTTGGCGGCTCCAGTGTTGATGCTCAAGCCGCCGGGGCCACTGGCGGAGCGAGCGAGGGCCATGCTGGCTGCCACTGGAAAAGAAAGAAAACGCCTCCGACAGACGGTGGATCCCTTGCTTGGCCTGCTGAATTGCTGGATTGCTGGGATTGCTGGGATGGGGAAAGGTGGAATGCGCCGGCGACCAGTCGACTGAGACTTTGTGGATGCGTGCGCGTGGTGGGCGATTCTTTGTTAGTTTTTTTATGCTGCTGTGCTGGTACTGCTGCAGTCGGGCTGCTTGCGATTTTGAGCCGCGTCGAATCGCGACTGACTGTTGGTCTACCTAATGTACCTACCTACCTCTACCTACCTCTCCCTACCTCTCCCTACCTCTAGGTACCCAAGGCAAGGTACAGCGCAGCTGCTAGCTTACCTTAGCGACTTCAGCCCCTACAGCATTCTCTCGTACCACTACACAGCCATTTAGCTTACCCTGGTCTGGCCCATAAAAATCCCCAAGGTGAGCGGAACACGGCGAATCAAAGCGCCGACCTCACCTTGAAAGCTACCTACCTTAGGTAAGATACCTTACCTAGGTACCAAGCTCGGAGCTCTCCTTTGTACACTTCGCACTCCCATAATTCGTCCCCTCTTGCCACAACCTACAAGATGGACGTAGACGAAGACGATGATTTCTACGCCCCCGAGGAGCCTACTGTTCCTTCCGCACCGCCAGCACAAGCGCCTCAAGCTGCTGCAGACACCAGAGCCGACCAGCATGAGGACTTAGAAGAGGGCGAGGAGGAGGATGAAGGCGGCGCTATGGACGAGGACGATGATGACGACTCAGTATGACGGTACACATCTTCAATTGGCTTCGTCAGCTAACAACTTCGGCAGGATATCGACATCATCACCGAGAGGAAAGACGGGACCAAAGCTGCCCCTCCATCGTGAGTTCCGGCCCTTACAATGCGCAGCTTCCTTACACAAGCTTACAGTGCAGCAGACAATCGCGGTACAGCGAGATAAGAAACATACCCCAAAGGACAACGTCAAATGACGCGACCGTCAAGCCAGCAGCCGTCAAGAGGGAGGATTCTGCCAAGCCGAGTGGCGGCGCATCTAGCGCCGACCTCCCAGCCGTTTCCACCTCCAAGATCGATATCAACGCCATCCCAGTCCACAAAGGCACCGGCAAGCCTATCACCCAAGTCAACATTGACGAGGACCTACCAGAGAACGACAAGCCCTGGCGGAAGCCCGGCACCGACATCAGCGACTACTTCAACTACGGATTTGACGAGTTCACGTGGGCGCTGTATGCGGCAAAGCAAGAGGCTATCCGCGGCGAATACAACTCCGACATTGTCGCGCAGAATAACAAGAAGATGATGGAGGATATGACCAACATGATGATGATGGGCGGGATGCCAGGCATGTCTATGCCCGGTATGCCAGGAGGCGCGTCGGGGTCAACAGGCGCCGGTAATGCGGCAGCCGGTGGTATGCCTGCCATGCCGGGAATGGAAGGCATGCCGCCAGAGATGCAGGCGATGATGCAGCAGATGATGGCCTCGGGCATGGATCCCAGCCAGATGGACGCATCGTCCATGTCTGCCATGTTCTCCGGCATGCAGAATGCTGGAGGAGCCGGCGCTGCTGGCCAGGGAGGCCAAGGCCAGAGTTTTGGCGGTGCCGGGTTCGGCAACAATCAAGGACAGGGTTATGGCTATGATCAACAAGGCATGGGCGCTGGGAATCGCGGCGGCTTCGGAGGAGCCAGAGGCCGCGGCGGTCGGCGCAATTGGTAGTCTTTTTGGTTTTCGAGAAATGCACAAGCATCAATGGTAGTAGTCTTCTTCTCGTGTTTCACTCCCAGAATCAGGGTGATATTGTACTTCCGTCTCTAACTTCGCTATGCTATGTATCATAGCTCTCTTCCCCCTTAAACTCAGCCTCGTTCACCACTCGTCCTCCTAGACCATCCTCGGTCTCGCACATTGTGCGCGCATCTGCTCGTACGTCATCTGTCCACGTTGGTACATGTGGACTTTTAGTTGCTCGATTGCTCGAGCCGGCGATGCAGAAGATGGCGGCGACGACGACGACGGCGAGTCTGGGCTCGAGCTGGGAGGAGTTGGTAGGGCGGACGTCGCAGTGTTAGCTCTCTTCTGCTTCTTGGTAACGCCTTCATCGTCACCGGCCGTCTTCTCACGGCTTCGCTTCCTGGTCTTTAGCCTGGCTGTCGCAGCCTCGAGTGCCGGGTTCTCGACAGGAGGCGGCAACTCTTCCAGGCTCTGATCCCTCATCGACATTCGTCCACGCATGGACTCCCCGTGCCGCTTGGGATTGATCTGTCGGTTGCAGACCTTTCTCTATACCATTTGATAGTGTCAAGTTGCATGGCCAAGCGAGTGCACTTCAGATGCGGAGCTGACATACCTTGGTCTCGACAGCCGGGCTCCGTGCCACACGGAGGATCCACTGGTGATCGGTTAGACCCATGACTATCGCCTTGGATTCCTATTACGAGTATCAGTACATGAATCAGTGAAGTATTCGTGGTTGTTTTACCCTGCACGCCGCCAAGACACAGTCGAACCGGTCTCGCCAGCAGGAAAACTTCTGGTAGGTAATCCCACCAGCCCAGCTTCCCACTGCGAGCCGGCCGAGCTGCGCATCCCTGGTCACCATCTGCGACAAGTCAGTGACAAGGCCAAGAGCATTTAAAAGGGATACGTACCAAGAGATTCCAGGCCAGGAGCTCTACTTCGACGCCTCGGAGCTTGGCAACCCTTTCCGCAACCGCCGTCGGCTCCAGGACTTTCTCGGCCGTTGGCTTGCCGTCGACCTTCAGAACCTTTCCTTCCGGCCCCTTTCTCGGCACCCATCCGCCGCAGTCCACAATCCCCTCCATGTTCTTCATCCCATGGAAGAGCTCCCTCACGCACGCCCGCTGCTCCTCCACCGTCTCCGGGAAGTCTGCGCAGGTGGTGCCCTCCAGAAAGGCCGCCGACTTGTCCTGTCGGCGCAGGTATGCCGCCTCCAGCTCCAGGCAGTCCTCGTAACTGGTGACGTACCCGCGGTACGCACCGCCATCTGCCTTCAGGATGGCATCTAGTCGCTCGTCGGTGGAGTTGTAGTCCACCGGATGCTGCTCAGAAAGCTCCTCGTCGAGTTGGGCGAGGAGCTCGGCCTCGTCGATCTCGAACAGGTCTGACTCGGCCTTTGACTGGGAGACTTGTCCGTCTCCGGTCTCCTGCCCTGGTTCTTCAGCCCCCTGGGTTACTGAAGAGGCTTGGGCTGGGACGAGAGCTTCGGCTTGCTCCTGGGAGTCAGTCCAAGCCTTGATGGCTTGCAGTAGATCGGCGTCTACTTCGAAGTCATCTGGGTAAGTGTAAGGCTCACGTCCGGTAGATGGGATAGGATCACGGGCTTTGACCGGCTACGCTTCACGTAGGCTTCACGAAACTGTGCTGTGCATTTGTTATGTATTGTTGTTTCCTCGCAAAGCTATGTCTCTCTGAGAAGTGGTGAGCTAAGTAAGAGCTAGTGTGGGGCCAGTAAAAGGCTTATGTAAGCTATGTCCTCATCTGTCCGTCCTCACAACAGTAAGGAAGATCCCAGGACTCGGTCTGACGAGACTCTGTCATCTCGTTCACGGGCGCTGTGTTGGAAGCCATGATGGTGATCCAAGGGATGGTATATAGGTAAGAGAGAAACAGAGGTTAGTTAAGGATTAGATGGTGTGAGATCAGGTTGACGAAGATCCGGACAAGGTAGAGGGCGAGGTCTCCTTGATGAAAGAAGAAAGCGAGGAAAAGGTGTAGAAGCAAAGATATCAGGGGTTTATATAGACAGCCGGACTTGAGAGCCAGCGTTCTGAAGACGGTACAATAGCAGGATCAGTTGGCGGAACAATAGGTATTCTTACTTTATAGTCTATTGCGTCCATTGTGGGGTGATGTTTCGGTATTTAAGGTTATTCAGACAATAGAGACAATAGGGGTCCTTGCTAGACTCATTTGACGACAATGCTTATTTGGAAACTGAATCTAGGCAAACATGCGATCCAGTAAACGATGCGTATTTCAGTTTCGGATGGCAGCATTCTGTCCACTAGAGAGCCTTCAATCCAGTACAGCGAGACTCGACGGTGGATAGTTAGCAATGGCCATCATTCCTCGTAGGACTAATTGTTCTAATTGTTTTGTACATTCGACCCTAATCGCCGAGCCTTTCAATGTACATCTCTAATATATTAATAAGTGGGATAAAAATCGATTCAAACTGTTGGGCTAAGGTCTGTCTTCCTAGGCTCTATACCAAGACCCTCTCGCATATCGTCCTCCGAGAATTTCGAGACCCCAAAATCAAACTGTTCTGTGAAGTCAAATAAGGAATTGGTCTCATTGTGACCTGATTGTACCTCGGGAAATAGTGTCATGTCAAAATGCCGATTATCCATAGTATGAGTGTTCGTCGAAGCAACCACTGTGTTCACAGCTCTCCCCGTCTGCGAAAATCTAATACTCCTGACACCCGGGTCATATTGTGAAACGACTGCACCCGAGTGAGAGTTCTGACTTAGCTAGACTAAATAATATAAGTTTTTGATTATTACCTCCTAGTCTAATATTATTAGTATTCTCTGCTTGAGCTCGGATCTTCGCTCGTTAGGGTGTAGGATGAAGGTACACTTCCTTGACTGTGGACCATAGCGGTTTCAGCAGCTTCAGCAGCAGTCCATACGTCCGAAGGGTTCTGCCATAGTCTCTGACGCTTGGTTGTACTCACTCCACTTGGCCTCCGTCTGCGACTGAGGTTATCCAGGTTCAAACCAGTCCCCATCGGGTTGGGTGGCGCGATTTCTAACCCGTTAGCGGCCTTGATGCCGTTATCCTGGTTGACATTCACCAAACCCTGCTTCCTGGCATAGTTCCCAGCTTTGACGGAGATATCTCGATCCAAGTTGAGGCGCTTGTTGTCCTTTTTCCGCTATTCACTTGGTTAGGTTACACGCAAAAAAATCACAAATCCCGCGACATCATAATTACATGGAGCTCTCGTTCCGGAGCAGCAGCAAGGCGCTTCATGAACCCTACGTTCAAGAGACTGCTGACAACGGTTTTCGCTTTCTGACAAAAATTTATTAGAAGAGTCATTGACATGTCGGAATGCTGTAACATACCGTCAAAGAGAGAACTACCTCGTTGAACCTGTCCATGAAAGAGTCGTATCGCTTCCGCTCCCAATCTTTGCTCCACGCAGGTATTGAGTCTTGACCCAATTGCGCATCCCGAATTGCGAACTAGCATTTGGTTGTTAGCTTGTAGTCCTTTGATCTTTAAAAATGAGATAACATACCAGAAGATCCCATCCCAGTATTTCCAGTTCAATGCCCTTGATATCTTTCACGCGTTTGACTGCAACACTGTCCTCAAACCGGTCAATACTCACCGACTGCGAGAAAGTTTCCTCCTCATCGACATGTCGTCTCTTGCGACTCAGCCTGGCCCCATCCAGAATACCATCCATGTTTCTCATAGCTTGGTAGAGCTGTCGGACAAGTTCCTTTTGTCCTTCACTGTTGTCAGGGAAGCCGAGAATATTGCCGCGGAGCTCCTCATTGTTTAGTCTCATGTAAGCATCTTTGATCCTGAGGTGTTCCTCGTAGCTTGAAATGTGACCTTTCCAATTGCTGTCTTCATCGGCTATGAGGCTGGTAACATCCAGGGCAGGGGCATTCGGCTGGTCAAGCTCAGGGTCGGAAGAAGACAGGTCTGAGAAGAATTGATTTGGCCCCTGCCCATTGACATAGTCGATAGCGGCCGCGTTGGCAAATTCAAGGAACTCCGACTGCTGTTGGTCGGAGAGTTCCACAGGCAAAGTCTGGTCAAGACCACTCTATGGTTCTTGACCAAAGGCAAGGGAGGCCGCGGGGAAGTTGGCTTCGGCTTGAGAGATCGGTTGACCATGGAGGTCACCATGACTATCGCATTGCGGGTACCCGAGGATCTCTGCTGCAAGTGCGAGATCATACTCATCTAGGTCGAGATCATCCAAAGTCCATTCCTGTTGATGAACTTCGTTGTTGGAAGACATGGTGAAAAGTTGATCTTTGAGGGGTTGAGGCTATGGACAACTATGTGATTAGGAGAGTCAGCAATCTTACATGAAAATGATGATCAAGACATTCCAGGGGGCAATCAAGTGGTAACGTTCCGAATGAGTTGGACTGATCGTATACTGCCTGTGGAGTAGCCGTGGGGAGATTGAGGTGCAATGATGATGGCATTGTAAGGTTTTTCAGGGTAAATGTAAGATGGGTCAAGTTGAATAACGATATATTAGCGAAGACCAGAGGATGTTCGTACATATTATGTTTTGGTAACAAGGGAATTAAGGTAAATGACAGTTTCAGAAAGCTAATATTGACCAAACTATGTGCAAAGCAAGTTGTTACAGCTATTGCGAAGTTGTAGACAAGCTCGATTCTGGGAAAGAGAGCATCGAGCTTCGAATCGTAGTAGATGCCATTTATATATCTAAGCCAGGAGCTCAAGCCTACATTCACTTCTTAAATTGTTACTTCTAGTGAATAACTCTCTATGAGTCTCTGCATTTGGAATAGCGTTGCACAAATGTTTGCTCTAGAGTTGTGATGATTCGACCAGTCGTCTCTCGACAAAGTTCAGACTCAGACATCAGGTTGACCACCACCACGTGAGACTGTATTCACAACAGTTTGGCGAATGCAGATAACATTATGCAAACATACGAGCATCTCGCTGAATAATTAGATTCATGACGAACGACAGAGATTTTAGCCCTCACTTCAGCCAACTAAGCGACGAGGGCTCTGAGTGAGGTACCTCTTGTTGCACAGTGGCGAGAAAATAGGGGTTGACTCGACACATGCTATAGTTCATGAATGAACCCAGGGGTAACACAAGGCTCAGCAGTTGACTGCATATATGTACCCCTCTCAGAAACTAAAGCACGAAGCGATTTCAATACTTTGCTCGTGAACGTCAACGACTCCCTATGTTCCTCGGTGTCTATCTCTATCTTCAAATCGCAGTGATCTCGACCTTTGCCCAATGAGAAACACGTTCTCACGAGACCTAAGTGCTTGCTATTTGCATCTTTTGGATTATTATGACTCTAAATACCAATGACTCTAACAAAATGAGTATTCCAGATGAATTCATCCCATTCACTATTATTTGGCGGGAAAAGCGCTTGTAGCCGAAAGCTCTCAGAGTTTGATTGCCGTGGCCGTGGATGGAAGTTTGATAGATCAGACCTCCATGGAAACTCTCGGGACAGTGTCATAAAATGAGCCGACGCACCCGACACCGCAGCCGCTGGAAAAGAGTTTCTGGTTGAGCGTTGGGCCCTGCATTTTGATTCTAATTCTTATGGATACTGTACAGAGAGTCTTGAATGTTCCGGAAGTCCCAGCATCGGAGCAGGAATCGGGAGTGGCTGCAGACGCCAGGCCAATGGCTAAAATGGATGGTGCACGTTCCAAGCAGCTGGCGCCCACAATCGCCTTGGCAATCAATCCCCATCAAGCAGTCCAGATCCACACGGGCCAATCAGGCCCCTGGCTGGCACCACAGGGGACCTGAGGCTATTACTATCTGGAAGATTCTCGACTAGGAACGGCGAGGTGCATTACTGCCCGAGAATGGAGTCGCGAATTGAAGCCCCGCGCCGAAGAGTGATTAAATGAGCTTCACAAGGAGGGGTTCGTGTTTCCTGGCAAAGTCTATGACGAAAAGAAACAGACGGAAGATGAGGGAGGAACAGCTGCAAGAGATGGAGCTCTTGCACATCCAGATGCATCTCACCTGGGTCATCTGAGATTGATCGAGATGCCCACCCAGTCTGACAGAGACTTGCCGGCGTGGCAATCCATACTGCCTACGATCAAATGTCGGAATCAAAGGCAGGCAATCGAATAAGGTTCAGGGCTGCCACATCAACGCGGATCTCAAAGTCCAGACTATCTCGAGGATATATTAGGATGGCGAATGGGCAACCCCACGTGGTGGGATGTTCACACCTGTGCGTAAGCCTAAACGCTGACTGGCGGGGTGAGATGAGCGTCTGTAGATGGAGTAGATGGAGAAGGCAGTACCTGAGGATCTGATATTCCTCAACGACGCCGAGCCAACCGCTGACTTAAAGCGAATGCTCTGTAAGCTTCTCGTCTCGGGGTTCAGTAGCGCCAGTTTGAAGTCAAGGAAATCGAAACGGGTGGTGGGGTCTTGCCCAACACATACGATGTTGGCCATGTGGATCCCTTCATCGCCGAGCGGCGGTGGGTGGGGGGCACCACCACCATATAAGTGATTCGAGTCTCCTTGATTCTTTTGTAAACACTCATGAAGAGCAAACCTCGAGACTCACGGAATATTCTTCTTGAATTGCAACTGTTCAGTCCAACGTCATGGACAAGCTCGGGCTGCTGGCAGCGTCTGCCGCCGAGCCGTCGATGAGCCTTCGCAGGAAGTCCGATCTCGTCAACACATATGTGCCCGAGCTCGGCTATCTGCTGCACTGCTCTAATCTTATCGGTTCAGCCCTGCTCTCCTTGTCCCTCCACATGACCTTCATGACATATACCCTGTGCACGTACCTGCTTCATGCATCCAGAATCGTCACCGTCTACACAGCTTTAGCATTCAGAGTATTCCTTCGCAAGTCCGCCGAAAGTCTTCGTCGAAATACATCATCGGTCTGGAAAGCCAAGGGCTTCAAACGGTTGCGAAAGCGGATAGAGTATGAGCTCTTCACTATCCTAGTGGGCCCGGGAGGCAACACCCTGTGCTTGGTTCTCTTCTGGCCTGGCTGGATCGTTGTGGGAGGCTCGATGTTTCTCGTGTGGACCGTCCGGTGAAAATGCGTTAAATGTCAGCCACCCACGAGCATTGCATTCCCTTATAATCTCAACCAAACCACCTTCGCCGAGCACCTTGCGTCCATGGCCGAGACGACGCCGTCATAAGCGACGTATGATTTAAAGTTTGAGAGTAAACTCCGGACTTTACTTCGAGAAGAAGAACGTATTTCCACCGGGGTCCCGCCGAACCTCAGTGCGGTAGTCCTTCTCCGGATCGAAATCCTGCCATACACTCGCAGGGTATATGTGCTTGTTGCGCTCATACCACCGCCGATCGACCACCTTCGTGAAGGTTGGATCATCCGAAGCTCCCTCGAGGGAATTGATATCGACCGTGTGTTGAATACCTCCCTTTGAAGCCGTGGAAAGGGGGTCGATAGGTGCGGAACCCGGGTCCTCAATAGCTTCTTTGGAAGCAGGGGCTTCAGCACTGTAGTCGAAGAGCGGCTGATTGCCGGGTCCGAGGGTTTTGTTCATGATGAAGAAATAGAACTCATAGTGCTTCACACAATGTTAGGTGATGACCCATCAAAATGGCAGCTTTTTCTTGTACTTACGTGAGGAATGATCATCGTGCCTCGGACGAGCATCAAGTCGTCAACGCCAACCCTGGCCCATTCTCTCCTGACATTTGCATGCTTCTCTCCACCAACACCCAGCTCAGCACCGACTTTTCTGCTCTTGTCGAGGAAGACCCAAATGAAGTCTCCCTTCTTGACGCGGGCAACGCCACCCGGGATGTTGGTGCCGTCGTAGAACACAAACGGAATGGCAATCTCGGTGGCCTTGACGGCAGCCTGTAGAACGAGAAACTCTTTTCGCAATGCCTCTCGCTCAGCGGCTTCGCGCCGGAGAGCCGCTTTTGTCAAAGCTCGTGGAACGATGCCAACCGAAGAATTCGCCGTGATCTTGCTGCCCGTCTTCTTTTCTTTATCGCTTCCCGTACCAGCTTCTGTGCTTCCTTCTCTTGACACATCAATCTTGACCTTGCTCTTGCCCGTCTTAGCCGGCCCTATGCTGGCTTCCGACTCGCCGTCTTCCTCGTCATCACCAAAGGACACAAGAGCTCTAGCCTTCTTCTTTTTCTTCTTTGCTTGCCTCTCGCCTTCTCCGACGTCACTGATGTTGTTCGGGGTCGCGGTCTGCGATCGGTCCGGTGTATTAGCTCCAGAGAGATGCGCCTCGCGAGCCTCGCGCTCTTGCTGTTCGAGGACCTCTGCACGCCGTTTCCGAAAGTCGGAGAGGGCGACGAGGCCGACTGTGTTGGTCGAGAGACGCTCCTGTGTGGTCTGGTTTTGCGCCGTGAACCGCGAAGGCTCTTGGGGTGTTGACATTGTGTAGAGTGGACGGCGATCGCGCCGAGCTTCGTATAGCTAGATCTTTATTGTTTGATCTAGCTGTAACACTCGATTATGAAAGGGCTGTTGTGTGTCCCTTTTAGGAACGTTTGCGACTGCGAAATGCACGTTTCTGTAGGGTTTGTAAATACTTGAAAGTACGAAGAGTCAAGCCCGTCGCCCGCACTGTGGCTAATTTTGATGTTGTCATGTGGGGCTGACAGCAGTCCTACACCTCATGAATCAGTGGAAAAGGGTCATCTTCCAAGCCACGGCCGATCACATCGAGATAGCGGTCGCATGGAAAATCGAACGCATTTTTGGATCGTGAGATCGTAGAATACTCTATATCGAAGGTATTATTAAGACATGTCTCATGCATTATCCAACTTGCCCTTCAAGTAGCCGCAAAAGCTTTCAAAAAGAGAGGCATCATGCCCTTCACACCATCGGCATTTCGTCACGGCGTCAGCCCGCTCAATGTGGATTGTAATAACGAATCCAAAAGCGCAAGCTTCAATCTCTTCTCTTGATGGCTCAGATGGTTGTTCATCCTCGTTGGAAGGCTTCTTCTGAAGCTTCTTCCTTCGCCATGCTCTTCCCCAGACATTCTCCTTGGCGCGACCTATGCCTCGAAGGCGTTCCTTGTCCCACTCCCAAGAGATCAACTCGAGTGCCCCAATAACTTCTTGCAGTTTGTCTGCAAGCTTGCCAATGTTTCCCTTCACAGGTCGGACCAGGATCTCTGCCTCTACTGGCGCAGGGAGGACTTTCCTCCACGCAACAGCCTTCATACCTCTTGCGACGTCTTGTGCTGGCCTCATCGAGCCAAAGCTCCAGCCTACTGCCCAGCGCCTCGTCTTATTCCCCTGCACGAACTCGGTGACGGCGAAGTTGTCAATGCCCTTCTCCCGAAGCTTCTCCAAAAGAACTTCTAGGCTGGAGACCTTCCCAAACATAGACGTGTACCACCGCACACGCTCCTTCAAAATAAGAGACTCATCAAGCATTCGGCTCACGAAGGCGACCTCGCCACCGTCGCATACCATTTCGACTGGTGCGCCCGTACATGCCGAGTTGGGAGGTCGGATCTTCTTCTTTGCCGACGATAATAGCTCGTCTTCTGAAACGTAGAATGGTGGATTGATCATGCAGAAGTCAATGGACTCGATTTTTAGCTCATCCAAAGGGATCAATGAATCCGTAAGCTGCCGAGGGACTATCCTGATGCGGTCCTGAAGGCCGTTGAGCCCAACGTTCCTCCTGGCGTATGATAGGCTCTTTATATCGACGTCTGCAAGTGTCAGGATTATGCATATGCCTTATGGCGCAGGAGATAACTAACCAGTTGCTATGAAGTACCAAGGACGTTGAGTGCAACCAAGGAGGGGGTAGATACAACTTGCGCCTGTTCCAATGTCGAGACCGGACAGCTTGCCGCCCGGCTCATTGTAAGAGGCGCTATCCAAGAGAGCCTTCAGCCACAGGATATAGTTGTGCCTGTTGGGTACCTAGCAAATTTGTCAGGAGTCTGGTGTGAGAGGATGAGCAGCAATCACTTACAGGTGGGCACAAGCGATCATCAGGCAACTCGATTTTGAGACGGAAGTCGATCTTGAGCAGCGTTTTTGTCAACTGCATTACCGTTGCAGGGTCACTGAAGTCCAGCTGTCCGCTCGACTTGACACTGCACGAATGTTAGCAATGGGCCTTGAGATAATATGAGTAGACACACGTACATGGCGGCGAAGTCTGGGTCTTGGTGCGCAAGTCGCTTGAAATCGGGTTCAACAGCATAGAGATCGCGATAATAATCATCGTTCGACTGAGTTGACCACGCTCTACCCCTTCGTTGTTGTCGCTTAATGCTCTTCGAAAATCGTATCGCCTGGCCGGTCGCGTCGCTGCTTGAGGTGCCTGCTTGAGACAGCTCCTCGTCATCCGGCGCTTTCCTCTTCCCAGTCGTCATTACTGCGATGCCTCTGTATGTTCATCATCTGCTTGCCGGGATCTTTGGGTATGGTGGTCCGAATGATGCTGTGAAGCAAGTGGAAGTGTGCAATTACGCCAGGCTCTCTAGATCTCTAGCGTCCTCCCCCAAAGCCGTGCCACATCGTACTGAGCCACAGTGGCGTCCTGATTGGAGAACCATGCACCAAGGCGTTCCCGGAGTTGATTCACGATATTGTGAACGCCGGTTTCGACTTCTCCGGTCCGCCGTCGCATGTCCATCCAGATCCGCAGACTATGAAGAAGTGGTGATGATCTTACCAGCGCAATGTCGCTAGCACACTTTGCCGTATGCCAATTTCGACACCGGCGCCGTCGCCCCACAGCCCCTGCTCTCTAGCCCCTGAAGTGCCGGGATGGGGAAGTTGAACGCCCCAATCACCACTGCAGAATGGAAGACTAAGCCTACCAGATCTTGCGCGGGAGCCACGGCCCCCGGCACTTCACTGGGACTGGTCCTTGATGCAAATCACTGCCAGCCAACCAGATTGGCATTCGTCAGCACCTTTAGCTGTTTGGGGCAACTGCTGGCCGAATGTCAAGGGTCCGATCAAGCATCATGCGAGCCATCCTGGTGAGCCATGTGAAGATTGGTGCGATGTGGCTTACATATGAGAGCCACTCTCCTCCCCGTTAGGTCGCTCCTTGAAGATTCCGGACTTGTCGCCTAGCACGTAGGCCATCGGCTCCCGCCATTTGTTTGGCGATAGCTTCCTTCCAGACAGGAACCAGGTTGTCGAGTGTGGGCTTGAACAGTCAAGATGGGGTCAGGGCAATCCACAACCGTCTCTCCGGAGACTATGTATACGGCGACTGCGGCCAGTTCAATCGCCCAAGCTGCCGCGACTGCACTAACATTGAGTCCGACGAGCAATGTCAAGGGTAAATCATTTGACCGCTTTGTGCAGATCTTCTTGGAGAATCAAGACTTTGATATTGCCGCGGGTGACCGTAAGTTTCCTTTCATCAGACTGATTGTCGCCAGCCAGCAGCAGTTCCAGCACTTACATGTCCTCACAGCAAATCTGGCTTACCTAGCCAAGCTTGGCATCACGTTAGACAACTACTATGCCATCACGCACCCTTCACAGGTAAGTCGCCTCTCAGCTGTCCAGTTGAAGTAGGTACTGATGAGACTCAGCCAAACTATGTCGCGGCTGCGGGTGCAAGCACGCACTGGATTATTGATGACGGCTTCCACCGCATCGGCGAGTCAACAGAGACGATCGTTGACCTCTTGGACGCGGGCGGCATCAGCTGGAGCCTGTATCAGGAGGACATGCCGTATTCAGGTTTCGAAGGAGACTACATTAACCCGCAGAACGGGAAGAACGACTACGTTCGCAAGCACAACCCACTTATGAGCTATGACTCCGTCACTTCGGATGTCCAAAGGCTAGCCAAGTCAAAGAACTTCACTCTGTTTGAGCGTGATCTCGCGGCGGGAACTCTGCCGCAATGGATGTTCATCACACCCAATATGAGTAAGTCAAAACTCAAAGGCAATAATGACTCCGAACAAGAAGGCACGTGCTAACAGTCTACAGCCAACGACGGCCACGACAGCTCTGTGACGGTGGCAGGACAATGGGCTCGCAGCTTCCTAGAGCCACTACTGGCTAATCCGAGCTTCAACACAGGGCGTACCCTCGTCGTCCTGACGTTTGATGAGTGTGAGAACTATCTTGCACCAAACAGGGTATTCACTGTTCTTCTAGGCGGAGCAGTAACCAGTAATCTGGTGGGCACGACAAACTCAACTCGTTTTAACCACTACAGCTTGACGAGAACAGTTGAGTTAAACTGGGGGCTCGGCGACCTGGGAGAGAACGATGTGAGCGCAACGCCGTTCTTTTAGCATAATTAATTCAATAATGAGCATAATATCGGCCTTGACACTGCTCTGAAGTTGTAATTCCCTCCCATAGCAGTTATGAAAATACTTCTGCCTTACTCTTCGAATGATACCAAGGGTGGGCCAGGGAAGCACGGTCATCATTATCTCCAATAACATATACAAGGCTCTGGATTTGGGGAAATCGCCCTTACTTGACCAAGAAAGTCATCCGCAATTGAGTTTCTCCACGCCTTAGTAACCGGCTTGCTCTCTTGACTCAATCTAATTATTTATGGTAGGAGTAGGCTATGTACTCGGCTGCTCAGCTCACGAAGAACTTACTACAGTATTTGGTGCCTGGTATAGCGATCCATCAACGGTACCTACTTTTCTGTACGGCATTCGAGCTATAGCGAATCATAAACATTGCTGGGCAATGTAGATGTGAGGGAAGGAGTGGCAGGGTATATATACTGAAATAAAACTGCCCAAAATAATCAGCCAGTCTGTAAAACAACATGGAACAAAATATGGGCCGGCGCAGTGTGCAAGGGTAAGCCTTAACTTGCTCATTAAGCTGCAGTTCTGGGAACTGGTAGCTTGGTGGGTGCCCTGCGCAAGAGACACATACCATGAAGCAGCGCCCTTAAGTAACAGTTATTCTGTAGACGAAACCCTCAAGTAACAGACCTCTAGAGGTTTCTCTACAAGAGTAATATGTGCCGGAGGACGGAGCAGCTGATTACGATCACTCCTAGATCATTACTATTTTTCCCCCTGAATTTGACTCTTCTTTTTACTTCTTTTCCTCTTTCATTACTATATTTGAATAATATCCGGTTTTTTCTTTTTTCTTTTTTAGGATTACCTCTAACAACTCATCAAGTTGCAATTCTGGGAGGAGGAAGCTTGGTAGATCATGCCTAGGCTAAAGAATATACTATGAAGCAGCGCTTTTACGTTACCTTCTATTAAGGGTACAGACTTTGATGGGTTGAGTCAGAAGTAGCCGTTCTATAAACTGTGAAAGTTAGACACTCGACAGTTGCCGTCTCGTTGCTTGTTCGATACGTCCGTCGTCTTATGCCTCCCTCTGGCTTCGGTATCATCGCGTATGGTTGTCATCGAATATTGGAAAACGGAATCAAACAAATGAGGTCCCAAGGTGGCAATCATTGCAAGTGCATCATTGGGACAAGAGGCATCACTGTTGGGAAATATCGTTATTATTGCAGTGAGATCATCTTAACCCTGTGGATTATCTGGCATTCCATTTGCGCCTCTGTCTGAGTCGTCCTGCTCATGTTTTAACGATGCCAAATCAAAAGTTTACTGCGTCCCTGCTAATCTTAGCCGTGGCGATGAACACCTCTCGACACCCTCATTGCGCCCCGCGGGTGCCTTCGAGATGTAGGGAGACTTGTGGGTTGACTAACAAAACCTATCTATGTCAGTTTGATTGGTCAAACTGAAAATCAAGTCATACATTCAATCCGGCTCAATTGGTATGAACCTTGATGGCTGGTCGTTCACTAATCATGACAGCTACCCTTCTTCTTAAAACCACTTCTTGCTCTTTCCGAATCATTCGATCATTTCATTCGTACTGTTACCACGATGTCCAATCTTGCTGTAACCACTGGTCCTTTTCGGCGGGTCAAATCACTGAGTTCTATTGTCTCTGAAAGAAGCTTCCATTTTGGTGAATACATTTTGCTTACTCGGATCATTCAAGGTACTTTTGAACTACTTTACAACAATTGCATGGCTTTTCAACCCAAGCTCTCTTCCGACCTTTCAAGCAATCCTTCCAGCACGAGAATTTGACTCATTTGGGCAAGCGTCCGGCCTTCTTTGCCGTCCAAGTAGCCATGGCATCCATCAGACCTGGGGACAAGGTGTCATAAGTCTCCAGTCCTAGTTCCTTAAACCGGGCGCGCACCTCGTCGATGCCCGAGGGATCGAAGCCCTGCTCGATGATGGACGAGACGAAGGCGGCGAACTGCGGCTCCTGCCAGCCCTTCGTGTCCGACAGCTCGACGTGCACAAAGTCCAGTCCCGAAAAGGGGTGCTCATCAGGCGACTTCTCGATACGCCCGTAGAGGTGCACACCACAGTCTCGGCAGGCATTACGCTGGATTGCCGCCTGAGGGTCGATGACGCGGAGCTTGTCGCCGTTGGCGGTGACGGTTACCTTGTCTTTTGGGATGACGGCCACGATGGAGAACAGCGCGCCGCTGGGTTTCCAGCACTTGGAGCATCCGCAGGCGTGGTTGTGCAGGACGTTGCTGTCCAAATTAACTTCGACAGGGTCCTCCTTGCAGTGGCAGCGAAGCTTCCCGCCGGCGAAATTTGGATCGCCGGGCGTGATACCGTTGTCAATGGATGGATGAAGAGATGGCGACATGGCTGAGTCGTTTCTGCTGTTTTTGTTCGACAATGATGAGGATGAAGAATCTGTAATACACAGATTGACAGTGAACAGTGACAAAAGATCAGTAAGATAGTCTTACTAGCAATAGGATTCGCTTCCCCCCTTTTTTAAAGAGATGACTGGACAGCTTCCAACTACCGACATTCGCTCGAAAATAATCCGCCGTCAAGTCCCAGCCTCCAACTTCTCCGCATCCGTGGCTCCCGTGTGAGGGACACACGCATGTCCAACATCAAGGACATGCATGGCGGATGCTGGGCATGTCGCTCGGAGCCAGACCTAAATCCCGAGATTAAGCCTAATGCTAGGCGATGTCGTGATGCGCTTGCGGGTCGGGAACAAGATTATCCTGACATTCTGCTCCGGAGCAGGGATCTGGCACACACCGAAAAGTGTCGCCATTCTCCGAGTTTCCGAGACGCGTTTCTTCATATATAGGACATGCTGGTATATGTTGGACCGGGCGTATCAACACATTTGTGTCTTGCGATAGGACAAGAGTCCTATTTCGATCTGAGAAAGCGCGAACGAGAACGATGTTGGAGTTTTCGGTACCTTCGTAAACATCATCAGGTGACTTGAGATCGTCGAAACCGGGAATTTTAACTTGTGTTCGCCAAAGAGAAGATAAGCAATCTTTCAGCTAGCTCCATACCTGCGTAGGAGGATGACAATTTGTTACATCCTATTGCGAGCAGCGACTATTTGAAATGGGGGGAATTTGGAATAAGGGCGAAGATATTCCTCGAACAAACAAAAAAGGAGAGGGAGAGAGCAAGAGAAGAAGAAAGAAGTTAGCAGCCGCTTGTTTCAAGTAGGCTCCAGTGCTTACCCGCCTACTCGTTCTCAGAACCGTGATTGATGAGATCATCAGAGTCATTCGCGTCGCGTATCTCTAGATGTTGATTTCCAAGGCTCTAAGGCTGTAACTGATTATTCTCGAGCTCAGAGCGATAATGTATAATAATCACACAACATATACGGTTCTCACTAAAGCACCAAAAAAGGAATCTCGAGCATGACCGGTGTAAGTTGGATCAAACATGGCTCAGTTCAACTCTCGGGTGCTTGAAGCAAAAAGGAAAAAAAAAAACTTCAGATGTAATCAGCCGCCTACCATCTACAAGAGATGATGCTCTACCATGGTACGTTTCTACTGGCCTACCTTAGGTAGGCACAGCTACTAGCTGCGATGCGCCCACCAAGCTACCAGTTCCCAGAACGGTAGCTTAATGAGATTTCAGGGCTGACCCTCGACATGTACCCAAACTAGACCATATTTCCCCATGTTTTGCGAGCGACTGAATATTTAGGCAACTTTAATCTCGGTATATGAACCTTTCTCAGCACACGTTTAATCAAACATAGCATATTTCGACTCTCAGATGCTTTAAGCAGAAGTAAAGTAAGAAGAAAAGAGAAAAATATTCAGATGTAGTCAGCCGCTTGACCATCCACGATGAGACGATCTCTGCCATGGTAGGTTTCTGTCTGCCGACACTGTGTGTCAATACGAGACCTGATGCGTCCAGCAAGCTACCAGTTCAATTACTGGCAGCTTAATGAGACCTGAGGGTTGACCCGCGCATGTACCCGGTACAAGACCATATTTCTCCATGCTTTACGAACGACTGAATATTCGGGCAGCTTTAATCTCGGTATATAATCTTGTTCAACTGCTTCGATACAAGGCTACAGGAATTGTGCTGGGATAACCTTTGCCCTGCGCATATGGTCGAATACTGCTCCCCATGCCTGAATTGTGCTTCTTTGCTCTGCGAAGCCTGTCTTTTCATACATCTTCGTCATATCAAACTGGCGATCAAAGTCAAACTGAGTAAGAAGGAAGTACTCGAAGCCCGGATACGTTAGTGGACTGTCCGCGTGTCCACTCTCTAGCCCGTACTTCGTCTCCATAGACTTCCACACATCGATGTGCTCCCGGATATAAGTTCGCACTTCGACAGGATTATCTTGCGGTAGCTTGACTCCTTTCAATCCGAAATAAGAGCACAGAGTGGGCCACTTTTCCTTCCAACAGGACGGTTCCTTTGCGTCTGCCACGTTGAAAGCTTCTCCCTGGCTGTCTTTCCACGGTGAAGTCAGACTCAAGTAAATAGACTCCCGTGCAATCATTGCAGCGCTAGAGTCGTGGCTGAGAGCATTCCAGCTCGCTTCAGTTCCAGGGAAAGGACATTCGGCTCCCTCACCGTCAATTTCTCGTCGTAAACTTAGATAGATGCCAAGTACTGTGCCCAGAGAGTAAAAGTTCTGATTAGGGACGAATCCCACAATAATGTCCGGTCTGGTATCAATCCACCCCCATTTCTTATCAGCTGAGTAAGCCTTAAGCCAGTCTAGTTGAGGGTGATAAAATAACCCTTCGTTCCACGGGGCTGGTAAACGTGGAAGAGTTTCTGATAGCGGGGTCTTCATTAAGTCGGGTCGGTTTTGCAAGAGATGACACCCATATGCCTTCGACCCTGTTTGCACAAGTATGAACTCAAGAGAGGAGGACAGGCGGTCAATCGCTGTCACGGCTCGTTGAAGCATTTCCGTATTCTCTTTGTACTCGGCTGACAAGTCCGTCTGTGCTTTGTATGCTAACATGTGTGATTGAGTAATTGAGTTAAAACGTCAAGATACCAAATATGTGCTTACCAACATAGAAAACATGGGTAATACTACCAGGAGACGGGACTTTGGATTTGATGCTGTTCTCTAGGTCCTCCTGGCTTCCCGCAAGAAGGTCGATTCCCGACACAATACTCAATCTTTCGTCTCGCGACCATTGAGATTTTTCATAGCTGAGCGCCCTGTTAGTCAACGCAGTGACCCTTCCCCAGACGCCCTTTCGTGGATAATCATTGAGAAATTCGTTCACAAATGCCCATCCCGACACACCACTCGCTCCAAAAGTTAGAGCATGCTTCTCCCCTGACATGATTTTTAATTACATAAGAGGGTCGCAAAGATACACCAGTGGTCGTACTTGATTAATTGAAAGGAAAAGCATTACACTTCTCAATCCTCAGAGGCTCTGAATATTCACATGGAGCTTTATAGCAGAGACACGTGTGACGTTATAAACAAGGGGAATCGTGAGCCGCACGATGTGAGTGCTGTTGGGATCAAATGTGGGGTTATGTGGAGGTTGGCGGCAGATGTTATCCGAGATCAAAGACGGTCACAGGAACACCAGTTATGAGAGACTGTCTTGCGGTTGTGAATTATTTTACAGAACAATATGGTACATGGGCAACTTCTCAATCAGGCCCTGTCAGTACGAAATCGTCTCCCAGGGCTTCTGTCCGTGGTCCTCGACGAGAAGACTACACAGAGTGCCCTGCAAGTCGCATACTGCATAACAAAGGTTTCCATCCAGAGTAACCCTTCCGCATCCTTTCCACCTGAACAATGCATATCCATAACCATCGTAACAACTAGCAAGTTTCGTGACCAGGAATACGTAATTCGTCAAGCTGCCATTCATTCCCAACCTCAATCCTCTCCTGTAAGATCGATGATGACCTTCACATTCGAATCGAGTTTGTTCAGCTGATCCTCGGGGTTGTTATCATTCTTCTCAAGAGATTTGTCAGAATCTGTCTCGTGGTTGGCGGTCTCAGGAGCTTTGGGAACAACCTGGTGGTTGACGTTCTCAAAAGCTTTGGCAGCAACCTGATGGCTGACTTTCTCAAGAGCTTTGGAAGTAGTCTGGTGATTATCCTTCTCGGGAGATTTGACAGCATCGAGCTGAATACTGGGCTCGAGCGCAGGGGCGGTCGCGGACTTGGTGCTTCCATTCGCCTCATTATCAGTTTCATCATCACTGTCTCGATAAATAAGCCGAGTCTTGAGAGTGTTCTTGCCATAGCCGAAGTATAATTCGAGGTTTCTCTTCTCGTAAAGAGAGTAGATGTCATCACGGCCATCGTTGTGATCCTCCAATCTAAGACCACGGCCTTGCTTCGGCAGCTTTGGAGCGGGAACCCGTATGCTGATCCTTTCGTACCATGCCTTGGCTGCGAGCCAGCATTCATAGGTGCCGCGAGATCTGCGCGCCAAATTCTCCGATACGGAGTCAAAAGCTACGTTTTGACCGTAGCATCGAAGCACGCTTCTCGGGCTGTTGACTTGCCAATTCAGCTTTCTCCAGTGAAAATGATCAGCCTTCTTCAGTCGCTTGTGAGTCGCGATGATGTAGGGGTTTGTCAGGGTGAACACAGTCTGCTGACTACGATCGAGAGGCTCTAGATCATCGAGAGCGTCAAGAGCAGCTGCGAAGACTTGTTTGACACGATGGGCAATCCGATCTTGATTGGTCTCCGGGTCCGTGGGATTGCGCATAGCATCTATAGCGAGAATGGTGTACTGGTTGTCAAGGGTGTACCTGGTGTCTTGCATGCCATTGCGGTCAAGGAGGTACTGCTCTTCAAGATTGAAAACCTCCAAGATAGGTTTCTGGTGGCCTGCCTTCTGCACAAATCCTGGCAGATTCGTAAAGTTGTGGAGCCAAATCTTTGTTCCGAGCGAAAGGTTGTCTACCAGCCGGTAGTTGATCTCGATTGGAGTCCACTGGTACTCGTCCTTGCTATCCGTAATGTCGGGTACACTCTTGCCAAACTCGTGCGCAAGTCGGTGCACAGCCTTGGGGATAGTCTCGCCATACACAAGCTTGAGAGCAGTCTCAACTTTGTTACGTCTTCTTACATCAGGAGGCAAGATTCGTACTGCGCCCGGAGGGGTAGCTCGTCGCGCAGGCTTGGTCGTGATCTGGGATGCAGTGTCATGCGTGGTTCTGGTACCCGTGATATTGGTTGTCTTGCTCGCGATTCTGGAAGCGCGCTTCTGTGCCAAGTTGGGAAGATTGGGACTTCTCTCGCGCGGCTTCTGATGCGCCTTGGGGTGCGCCTTTTGGCTCACATCTTTGGCCGCGTTCTTAGCGGGGAGATTGACTGCCTTGATGGATCCCATCTTGTAAGATCGAAGGAGTCACTCAAGGGTGATGCGCTGGTGTTGTTGATAGGAGTGGAGGGCAGAACTCTGAAAGCCTCGAAGAAGATATCTGAGCGTGCGGTGATAGAGGCGATGTGCCTGCGAGGCTGGTGCCCTGGCGATTGTTGACGGGAGCGGAGGGGAGGAAATCCGAGAGCCTCGAAGCAGGTATCTGAGCTCACAGTGATAGAGATGAGTGATGATATACCTGCAAGGCTGATGATTCCCTGGCTTCTCCTACAGATGGAGAGCACAATGATCGTGGGAATACGTGACGGAATAGTGTTTGTGGAAGGAGCACGAGGAGCGTAAAAGAATCTCGTGTTGGGAGGGTTTTCCAGGCGTGGGTAGAAGAAGGTTGTGAGAAAGAGATACGAGAAGGGTACGGAGGACCTTGTAATGGGAAGGAAGTCCACACGTGATGGGAGGATGTGACGGGTTGAGAGAAGACAGAAGAAGAGTCGATGTAAACAAGAGTTAGGGGCACTAAGGCAGCTGCCCTTTTGACTCTCATCTGATACTCAGAACAAGTTCGTAGCGGAGCAGTACGAGGGATGTTTGTTTTACCTCAAGCTTTTTCTATTTAATCAGATATGACCTAGATCACTCTATTCCATTTACCATAAGATACACAATAAACGAACCAGAGATTATTAAACTGACGAAAAGCAGCGCCAGCTCTCGCTCTAAAACATAGCCAGGCGATAGCAATGAGTGTTTTGTTTTCACAGGTCTCGAAAAGAAATTGCCATACCGCTGTATTTAAGCCATCGAAGTTCTCGCTATCAACAGGAGCTAGGGGAAAGAAAGGGGAAAAAAGGAGAGAAAAAAAGAAGTCTTTAGATGTAATCAGTCGCTCCGACCACCGGCATATATTGCTTTAAAAACTTAGAGCAATTGTGAGTAAGGAAGCCCAAGTGCCCAGTAGTTCATCTTCTGCTCCAGCTCGAAGATTAAATGGAAGAAAGACAGGTACCGTTGATGAATCTCTAAACCGTATATCGGACATTATGTTCCAGCTGCCTCAAGGTTTGACTGGATGCCTTCAACATCTCAACCTTTGGACTCGCCCTTCTCATTATTGCTGCTTCGAAGACATGATAAACGAGTAGCTAAGTTCACGATTCTTCATTTACGTGTTTCACCTGTCCATTATAGACATTCAGAAGCTCACGACCTCGAGACCCAGGGCAGACCAACAGCGACCAGGGGACGGGGGTGGGAGAGATTCGCATTACTGTCCTCTGTTACAACAAGTAATCACAATACAATGGCTAACACGCTATCCTATCATCTTCTCAGCCCAGCCGTCGTCTCGCCCAGACAGGAACCGCATAACATATGAAATTAGAAATACCCCCTCATGGCATCCTCATAGCCCGTGCCACCCTTCAAGTCTCGATCAAACCGCATCTGCACCTCCAAGACCTGGCGGATGTGGCTCATAGCCAACGGCTCTCCCTTGTTAACAGCAAGTGCCTGAGCTGCCCGCACAGTGTTCTTGATTTGGCGACCGTTGAGCTCGTGCCTAGCGAGCTGATCGTAATCATCCTCAGTGAAGGGCATGAGATCGATCTTCTCCAAGACACGAACGCGCTCGATGAAAATCTTGAATATGGTCTTCTTCGCCTTGCGGTCAAGGTTATCGTATCGGAGAGCAATATGAATTCGAGACTGGAAAGCATCGTCGAAGGTCTCGACGCGATTCGTCGTCAGGAACAGAATGCCCTGAAAGTACTCTAGCTGGCGGAGGAAGATGCTGACAAGAGCGTTCCGGTGGATGTCATGCATGTTTCGCTTCTCCAAGAAGACGTCCGCCTCATCGAGAAGGAGGATGGCGCCCCAGGCATGGCAGATGTCAAGAATCTTCTGCAGCTCTTGCTCGAGGAAGCGTGAGTCGGTGCCCAGCTCACCAGCCGAGACCATGTAGAGCGGGCACTTGAGCAGCTCGCTGATACCCTCGGCAGTCAGAGTTTTCCCAGTACCCGGAGGACCATGGAGGACAGCTACACATTTGTTAGGCTTACAAAGATTGACGGTAGTGACTAAAGAGAGGAGTTATGCTTACCAACGAGACCTCTTCCTTTACCCTGGATCACATCATCGATACTCTCTGCAGCATGGTACTTGTGAGACTCGACCAGAGCCTATGAAAAATGTCAGCCTAGCCTTGGAAAGTCTCTTCATTGACTTTGGGTAGAAATCAGGCAGCCACCACACCACTTGAGTGCGCTTGGTCGGACAGGTAGGAAAGACAGGAAGCTTGATGACAACTGGGGGGGATAGCGCCTAAACTCACCTTCACAATGTCTTTTGTCTTGCGCTCGAGAACCAGAGAGTCGTATGCAGTCTCATTCCACTGGATTTCCTTGACCCCTGATACAGTGAATTCGAGCCACATCTTCTCTGCGAATGCGAAGCCCAGCACGACAGGTGATGCGATAAGATACTCCTCGTCACTAAACTCTGGTGGTTTCTTCTCGCTCTGCTCTTCACTGGGTGTATCTTCAGCGGCATCGGCGGACTCCCCGTCCTTGCTTTGAACTTCGTCGAGTTTCTCCTTGAGCTCATCTGCCTCTTCCTTAGTCATGCGAACCAACTGAACTCTGCCCTTGTCATCTGTGTAGAGTTTTGTGACATATTTAGTCTTCTCTTCGTCGCCCAGGCCAGCTTCATTGCCACCAGTGTCGGAATCGAGACCACAACAACATGCCGACTCGCCGTCCGAGTCATCATCCTCTGACAAGACATCGTGGTCTTTGGGCCGCACAAGGGAAATAGGGTAGTTGGGGTTGATGCGTCGATGAACATTAGGATCCACCATAATTCTGCCATTGATGTTGACCTTGATAACCGACTTCTTCTTCTTGTAGTATGCCATGCCTTGGTGACTCTTGTAGTGAACCCCACTGAGCGCTACAAATTTCTTGCCTCGTTCAATAAGATCGTTTCGGAGCTGGGCGGAGTTTTTGTGGTACATCAACGGGTAGCAATTTAGACTGGTGATCTTGCGTGCGCCACGGAAGTCGCCCATCTCCTCTGACATGCTGCCATAACCGAATTGCTTGCCGTCAAACTCGAAGTACTATATCCATACATTTAGCGAACCATCAGCTCAGACATTCTGTGGGATGATATCTTACCTTGCCCTCAATATAGTAGAAGTCCCCCTTTATAATTGTGTGATGTTTCTCGGCCATTTCAACTTTGAAAACACGAGGCTCATCGTGCGAGCCGTAAGTGGTAGTGTAGGCAAGCGTATTGGGCTTCCAAAGAGCCCAGAGCAAGTCAAAAGTGATAAGACCGTTCTGAAGCATAGGATACAAGCTGCTCTTGACTTGATCGTAGTCCTTGTCAATGTACTTGACGAGAACCTTGAGGTGTTGCCGCTTGCCATCAATGCACTTCTGTTGTTTCTTTCGCTCGTGCTTGTCATTGCCCAATGGCTTTGTCTTCTTCAGATCTTTTAGATAGTTGCGGAACTCTTCAAGGTATAAGAAGAGCATGTTGGGATCCAACTTGGGGGTATCTTCCACGAGACTAACCCCCTTGATATTACCCATCACATCCTGGAGACATTCACGCAACAGCTTGCTCTTGATATCGATGTATGTCGCCTTGTATTTGCCCTCCCAGTCAAAATTCCGGCGAACGTGGAAAAGGTAGTCTTCGTAAAGGTTCTCGGCCGTGGCCTCGGCAGTGTCTTGAAGTTTGTAGTTGTGGATGCTGTTGTCCCAAACTTGGTCCACACGTTTGTAGTCAAGCCGTGGCGCCTTTCGTTTTTGCTTCCCATTGTGCAGCTGCTTGCCGTCTCTTATGATGGGGAGGTTAGGGTCAATTCCGAGTCCAAGCCGACGGGCCTGTGGATGTCCGGCTCGTCGTGGTCGACCCCCGATCGGGGGTAGCCTATTGTAGATTGCGGGAGGGTCGTAAATTGTCGGGGGCATGCTGTTAGGTAGACCTGCATTGCTCTGGTACTGGTATGGATGACCCAGTTGCATGAGTTGCATTTGACGCACGAGATCTTGCTGGTTGCGCTGTTGATCGCTGTCAACAATATCATCGACCTCGTCCGAATCAGAAGTGTCCGAGGGCGACTCTGAATCCGATGTCGGGGTCACTTGCACCTTGACTGGCTTCTTGACTTTCTTGGGTTTGGCCTTCTTCTTGGACTTTTGAATGTCCAGTCGTTTCTTCGACGATTTCTTCTTCTTGTCTTCTGGTTCGGAATCGGAATCGCTGGAGCTGCTGTCGGAGGAGGAGGCTACATCCTCAGCCTCGGGCCCACTTGAATCAGATGAAGAGCTGTCGGTCAGAACCTCCTTCTTAGACTTCTTGGACTTCTTTGTCTTGGCATGTTTCTTGCTGCACTTGTTCTTTGGCGACTTCTTGGTGGTCTCGACTCGATCTCTACTCTTAGCATCCTCGGCGGGGTTTGTTGCTGATGCTGACTCTGGTGCCTGGACCTCCTCGCTCTTGATAGGGGCAGCTGGGGGGTTTCTCACGATCGCGACGTCTTTCTCCGAGTGGGGATCCATGATGGTAGATAGCTGTTCTTGCTGTGAGGTGACTGATCGGATGGTAGGACAAATTTGATGAGAGCGTAAGGATGAGCAGAGCACGCCTTAGGAAGCTCGTCGAGATGCGACTTACAAAGTGCACAAGTAGCACCGTCTTTGTGATGAGATGCTGTGAGATTGGCGATATCCCGAAGATTCGGCCCCGATTAGCGATCAAAGATCACCAGATGATTAGTGGTGACCGTAACGGCAGCGGGACCGGGGAGGTGGGGAAAGCGGGAGGCGGGCGGGACGTTATATTCCAATCTTCGGTAATCGACCGGAAGTGGAGAAAGTGCCAGGTAGAGTTGGCGATGTTGGAGATGGGAGCTCAGGGTCTCAGCGGAAAGATAGAGTATTAGGAGCAACCTCAAGAGGTAGGCCGCAGCAAGGATGTGCGACGGGAGTTTCCTTCGAGGAAGGAGCGATGGTGAGCGTGATAGATGAGATGAATGGAAGGCGCGAGCTTCTAGTGAATAAGAGAGGAAGGCACCAAATGCTCTTTATTAGGTAACTTTTCAGCTGCTCCTGTGAATGGAAGGAGACAAGGCGATGGGATCAGAAGGGTGGAATGCAGGTTTTGCAACACCGCTGTTTTCTCAAGGAAGTCTACAAAATATCGTCAGTCAGCTATGTTTTCTTCTTCTCTTCTCTGTCTTTGTGTGTCTTTCTTCATATGCGCATGCATGTGTGTGTTGCGCGCATAACGCTACTGAGGGGCGAAATGCGCCAAATATCAACCAACATCATTTACGGAGGCGACGAGTTGAACAGACAGAAAGGCGCTGTGGAGATGCAGCAAGCCCGGCGACAGCAGTTTGTGTTTCGTTGAGCTGCACGTCTTGCATGTGTAGCGCTTGCGTTCCTGTCGATGCCAACGCTGATGCAATGCTGATGCTCATACTGCTGCAACGTCTGCAGGACTGGAGCTTCATCCATCCATGGCATGCCATTCCTTGTCCACAGTCGCCCTGTCCGCAATCTCGCCTTTCGTCCCCGGCCAACTCAGGAAACAGGGACACTACCGACCGCCGAAGAAGTGCACGCACACGCCTCAATAGCCAATCGATTGGGCAAGGCGAGACCAGCCGAGCCGTGCTTCCTTAGCCGGCCCACTGTGGGCGAGCCCGGGATCCTGAGCCAGATAGGGCTATGCGAGACAGCTGGTGATTTTTGCAACCATCCGTCATGCTGTGCCTACCCGCGCCAGCAAACGTAAGACGCCCTCACGATGCAGCAGCACAAAGACAACTACAGACAGAATGGCGGTCTGCAGGCATACATACCCACCATAGTGTACAACAAATAGCTCATAAGAGGAGGGGGACGTGCAGTATATGACATCTGTAGGGACTCAATGCTTGCTTACCTGGGTGGTGCGAGAGCTAGAACGCAAGGGATCTTGAGCCTGCTAGATACAAATGGAAAGGAAGTTGGCGAAGGAAACGAGATTCGAGGAGCAGGAAGAAGAAGTAGGAGAGCCAGGAAGATGGAGGCAATTCAGGATGACAGATGGCACAGTTTTATCGACTGTCTATGGCTGGATATCTGTCCGGCTGGCGTGTCCTTCCTGCGAATCTGACTTACCCTGCATGATGGACGACGAATCGCACCCACACACGCCCAAGCGAATTCTTAATGGTGGCAATCTGCGGCGACGTTGGCCAGCCTCATTGATAGATTGACTCTTCAGGGCTGGCAGCTGCCTGGCCGCCCATCAAGGAGGGGGCCGCGGCTATGCAGGCAAAGAAAGTATCGAAAGGTTCTCCATGCCTAACACTCACAACCACTCACGAGGCCATCGAAGGAGCAGACTAGACCCGCATGAGCGACCTGACTGGGCTACCCGTGCCTGCTGAAGTCTCTGTTACAAAGGTTCATCAACCGATCTCTGCACCTGCACGCAGTAACAGAAAACGCAATACTGGTTGACAGGCTTACATGACACCTCAATTCAGATTGTTGAGACTTGACAGCCAGAGATATTTGGATTTATGAACCTTCATTGATGGTCATTCTTGGTCCGCCACCACACTGGAGACGGAGCCCATGTGTGTCGATTTGGATGGCGAAGCCTTCTCAACCAGAGCATCCACTATTAAGCGCGAGGCAGCCAGCCACCCCAGGCAGAGCAGGCATCTCGGCCCTTGTCTTCAGCCATGGTCGAGGCCGAGCTAACCCGCCCAGAATGTGCCCTTTGACGCAGGCGGCAAATAAGGCAACCCAGAAGAGCCGCATTGCCTTGAATAATGATGTCCCGCATCATCCAACGTGATCCCCGAATTTGTTTCACCGGGCTCTTGAGGCTGAGTCGCAGCCTGCTGCTAACGAAGAGCCAAACCATGTGTCAAACTCCAAGCCACCGTTAGACAGCCAAAAACTGCTCGCACATTTTGAAGCGATGTGGTGTCGCTCCAAAGCCTACCGCCTCTGATGGCCAGTACAAGAAACGTCTAGTGTGCATCCACAATTCACAGGGCCTTCCTGCAGGCTGCATCACAATCGGGCCCTGATGATGTTCACCGTTAACGACTCGGGAGACTCCACTCTTCCCGACTACCTGACTTCCGCGATGGCCCTTGTACTACACCGTGTATAGAGTTCTTGAATAGATAGGCAAGACCCATTTGCTGTCATAGGCACTCACATCGACTTCAAATTCAAGTTGACTAAGAACAGTATAGGTCCTTTTGACATAATCTCCCTTTCCGAATGTTGCCGTTTGTCTTCTACCAATTTCAACTGCTCCCTATGCCGAAGCCTTGACCGCCTCAGGCCCAGCGACCTTACAAAGGGTAGTATTTAGCGATACAATACAGTTTAGCTTTCAACGGGACCATCCTTCGACGAACCCGCTGTGCCTCCCGCAGGCTCATCACATCGGCTACTGCGATCCCATGCGCTCATCTCACATTCTGCATTTCTGTTTGCTTTTTGCATCTCTGCAGTTGTTGCTGTTCTGGGATCTACCCAGGATGGAGGTTAGCGCATTGTGCTGCAGCTCGGACGCACAATGCATGCTAACTCACCTAGGTGGGTTTTCGACAGCGCATCCGGGCTCTTTTGGACCATTCGACGAGCGAGTTCCGGGCCCGCCTCAGAACCAGTTGCCCGGATTCGTGATATTTTGATCCACCGTCGCCAGAAAGCCGCCGTTCTTCGAGCCCGGACCCTACGATAACATGCTAGCGTGCCAGTTCACACCTCAAGATCCACCTCCGGAATCGTGCAATTACAGGGAGACACGAACCCCATCGATGTAGGACTGAAGTCATCGGATAATGCCTGACCTTGACTCATAAAAGAAACACCCATCGGTGAGCAGAGTTTCGTGCATTGGGCTACCATGATGCGGTCATCAAGCAACCTCTGAAATTCCAAACTCTGCTGCATGCTGGCGAGTGCTGTAATTTTTCCTCGCACGTTGTTACTTTTGCAGCTTTACAGGATGCATCTGCCAGAGGTCTGCGGAGCTACCGATGCAAGCGCCAAAAAAGCAATTAATTGTCGAATGCGGCCGTTGCTTGCTCGTCCATTTATTTGTTCATGCGATATCGGGCAAGGCCAAAACGCACTGTACATCGTGCTCAACTGCTTTCCCAGAGAGACCGTGCCAAGCATGCGCAATATTGAATCTTGAGGGAGCTAGCTAAGACCTGCAGTATTCGCTTTAGGAAAGAGTAGGCGATGGACACAGGCGTAGTCTCTCTATAGCACAAGCTCGTGCATGGTGTAAGTGGACTATGTTTGAGATAGATCATTCCAGCTTTACCAGTTGTCTCCTTGTAACTTCATTTGCTATACTGTATTAGTGGACTGTTCGACATAGCATGTGTGTGTCAAAAAGCCACTCACTCAGCTTTAGCAATGAAATACAGTCAATATCTTACCCGGAGGTCTGATTGATATATTAGTTTCAATATGCAGAGCTCAACTTTCTTCTAATCATTTCTCTTTCACTAAGTTCATTAGGTTGAGAACATATAGAGGCTATTAGACTTCAAAATAACTTGCTCAACGTGTTTTACGACAATAATAGGTTAGATTGTACCCTCGGCAGCACGTGTTTCTCCCTCCCTTCGCTATTCCAGAGATATGCTCAGGACTTATGAGCCGCGTCGATAGAACACATGTTCATTCAATATCAACAAACCCATCAGAGATGGTAATGACCAAAGTAAACACAGCAAGGCATGGCTCTCAGTGGCTTTCAAACACAGTAAGTAGTACAACACAGTCAAATGTCTTCTCATATGAATCTTCAAACCATCATCTGAAGAAACTCTCGACGAGGCTAAATGGACTGCCATGATTAGAAACTTCAGAGGCAATCTCAAATCCCTGTCCTCTGGAGTGCCGTATGCTGGAGAATATATAAATCTGCAGACAGCTATAAGCCCCCTTTGCTAATCACCAATATGGGCTGATACGAAACATATCCACTGTGAAGTTTAGGTTTGTCACCACCATGCTCATGCCAGAAGAACACATTGACAATTGGCACATACGATATGGTCTATATTGAAAATTTGCATGTATATCAACTCCTATACAAACCAAGATGGGATCAATGCCGGGTATATGATCAAAGTGTCAAGACTCTCTTCTTGTTATATAAGCTGTGTAACAAAAAGGTGTATCGGGACAAATCATCCAACATTTCGCACCTATAATCTCGCAAGACTTTTGCAGAATTGTGCCTATAGCTATTGAGTTGTCTATGGAAGAAAGAAATATTTCGATCGGGGGAACGTGAATAGTAAATAGATTCTCAGTCTTCCATATCCGGGTTTCCTGAAATATGTTGAAAAGGGGCTTACCGATGGATACCCAATGAAAGGTTCGTTGGTCATGCGATGGCCCCGGCTAAGACGATTATTACAAGCAGTAGAGGGGGGTGGCAAAATCAAAACAGACCATTGTGGCTTTTCTTTATTGGGTTGTCACGCCTAATCTCTGCACGAGAAGTAGAAGAGAGAACACGGTGCTTGCCCCGGAGAAGGGATTGTTGTCGACATCGAGGGCTTTCTGGTCCCATGGTGGGCAAGAGATCATGTCAGGAAGTTCATGATAATGACAGGATCATCTCCACGATGGGATGTACGCGATGTCGAGCCAGGAAACATGTCAGGTTTTCAGAGAGACAGACACAGAAAGAGAAAAAGACGTTCAAGATACTGATTCCATTGAGGCGAGCCGCTGCTAAAAGCCTCGAGCGAGAGCTTTAGGAGGCAGACAAGAGTATGCCTCCTCATTGTGCTATCCTACACAAAAGCAAAACGACATGCAGTATATTTCCTAAGGCAAACCCCAGACAAGGACTTATTGAAATATAAGCCTGCCTCTGCCCAAACGCCCAACCCTCCTTCGTCAATCTCAAGTGTCCACTCCAGCCTCAATCATGGAAGACATCTAGTTGTTCACGAGCGGCTTGCTGACCCTGTCCATGCCCTTCTCGATGCGGCGGTGGGCGTTCTTGGTGACCTTCTCGAGGGGCAGGCGCTGGTCGATGCGCTTGACCGTCTTCTCGACGGGCGGGGTGACGCGCTGGATGGCGCGCTCGGTGTGGGGGGTGAAGTAGGAGATGTTGCGCTCCCAGCGGGGCGCCCACTTTGTGGTCTGGGCGGCGAGGCGCTCCTCGGCGCCGGGCAGCAGCATGTAGAAGGGGGCGAAGGCGCCGACGCCGGCGATGCCGAAGGAGAGCAGCTCGGTGCGGCGGGCGGCGGGGATGCGGACGGGCATGGTGGTGATGAAGGCCGAGATGGTTGTTAAGTTGAGTTGTTGGTGGTAGTTAAGGTTGAAGAACAGCTTGAGTCGTCTATATGTGTGATAGACGTCTATAGAGCGATAGTTAGTAAGTTGTCAGAATGATGAACGATATGGCAATGTGATTTGGATGATGGACATGATACATAACACGACTCGGTGACGTGGCTACCGATGTTGTTGATTAAGAGAATGGCTGATGAGAATGATGTAAATAAGCCTTACTAACCTGAGAACTCTATTGAGTGATGTCGAAGTGAACAGAGAAAGATGATATTCGAAGAACGATCCCTTGCACTTGGATCTCAATCAGATCAAGTCGAAGCAAGCAAGCAATCAATCAATCGAATCGGTGTCTTTACCGGGGAAAGGGTCGACAAAGAGGAGGGCAGTGGTGCAACGATGGGAAGGAATAGCAGGCTGGGGATGGAGGGACGGGAGAGTCGGGCAGTGGTGGTGGTCTTTATTGCATCCGAGTCAATTCAATTCAGGGGGGGGGGTATGTGCCCATGCCCATGCCCATGCCCATGCCCATGCCTCTCCCCCGTCTCACTTCGCTCACATAACAAGCCCCAAACTCTCTCCTCTTCCTCTCCCTCGCCTTCGCACGGCATGGCGGCTACCCAAAAGCATAGAGCATGGAGCATGGGAGGGAGGCTTGGGAAGGGGAAGCGCTAAACTTGAGCGAGTCGAGACCGCTGTGACCACTGTGACCACACACACACACCATTTGCTCACCCAAATCCTCCCCCAGAAAGCGGGGTAACACGTCGCAGCATGTCAGCGGCCCACCAATCAGCAGGGGAGCATGGCTCAGGATCGCCAGATGCATACGGGGAGCAGATTGTCGTCACCATACAGTGTGTGCCCTGGAAGGGTCCATCCATCAGGCCGTTTCCCCTCTATCAATCACATGCTTTTGTTAAGCTGGTTGTTGTTGTTGTTGTTGTTATTCTCAACATCATCATTCATGAGATTCTCCTCTTCCAGAGCCATGGAGAGCACAAACTCAAATGGCGTAAGCACACCGAGAGATTAGGCGGATTGGCTGCTGGAGGAGGAGGACACACCGAGTGGGTCGGAGGGTCTCTTTCCCCGCTTCCCCAGACTCCACTCAGAAGTCCGGTCTCTCTTCCCGCGCTCCACTCTGCTGCCACTTTGCTGCCACTAACACAAACTCGCCCTCAAGGTGGGCCTCCTCAACATTCCACACCACGTGCAACAGCAACACTTGCCTCATCAATTCACGACAACGACTAATAGATCTAATGAGGAAACTGCTTGATGGCGATGATATGATGATCGGGTGTTGCATTTGCTGTCATCATACCAGCTGTGTCGCTGAGAAGGAAAGCGTGGCCGGTCGTGCAACTTGGCAGATGCGTCACGTCACGTACGGATAGTATCCCATTACTCAATGAAATGTCTCGGAGCTGCCACTGCCCAACTCAGACATGGCGCCTACAATAACAACAACAGCCCTAACCAAGACATAGTTCCCTCTAATTGGCTGCTTCCACATTCAGCCTTGATTTGATACCTCAGAACTTCCAAACATCAGGACATACTCTCGGTTCCCGAGTGTATTTGCGACATCACAACTGTAAAGTCCATCGTTGAGTCATGCTTTTAAGCTAAACATAAATTGATCAGTTACGTTTGCTACTTCGACAGATGCAAAGATTCAGCATTATAGAGCAGTAGACCTGCTTGACTGTCTAGTTGGTAATTAGCACACACATTATGAGGTTCGAGCATATCTTGCATTCCAAACTTATGTTGCAAGTTCGAGAATAGACCACAGCTTTTGACTCTCGGTGGAAAATAATCATCGTTCGTTTTCTATAGGTGTTTGTGGTGGTGGAAATATTCAAGCAAGATAGCAGAGCCAGTCTGCTGATCGGCGCTTATGGGATGGCCGGCGCCCTACACAGACATGGAATGTATATTCAAGACCAATTGAAGTAGAGAAGGTTCATTTGCTGACTTGCACCGCACACAGGTGCTGAAATGTAATGAAATCAATCTGAGGAGATCCAGTAGAACAAAGGTCCCTGCACAGACATCGTGATCGTATCCAACTCACTGTTGACCAGGGCTGCAACTAGAGTCATTTTTGATATCGTGTAGGCGTCACTTCATCGAGGAATTACCACGTATAGTGACGTTTTCAGTGGTGCTTTTAAACCAGGATCAGGAAGTATTGGCGGCTAGCAATTCTGTACCTCTCCAACGCATGGATCTTCGAAGGATGGACTTGAGTTGACTCCATACGATACATGTTTCTCATCGGTCAGAATTGTACAGGCGACTTGCTTTCCAAGTACCATATTCTTTCAGGCTTGGTTTCCTGTCCACTCTCACTCCACGCACAATCTGGCACCCATTTTTGACGCCCAAGACACTCCTTATCTCGATTGGTAAATGACTTACTTTCTCGCAATGAGCTCGAGAGAGATTGATAAGGACCCCAAAATAACTAGTTCGTCTGCTTACCTGAGGGTGTCTCCACCGAGGTACTGCGGAGAGCATGAGCCTTCAAGACGAGAGATCAATAGTGTGCGTGCCCTATTGCACGACTTAGACTACCTCTTCTGTTGCTTTATGCGGCAAGGACGAGGGGGTCAGAAACAAGTTGACCTACGAAAACTTTGATTAGGTTTCTCGTTTTGGGGTGATGAGAGATTGTACAGCGCTAAGCTTTCTCATCTAAATCCTCCACTTGCAAGGTTCTCGGTCTATTCTTTAATGTTTTAAGTAAGCAGCTTGTTCATCACCAGCATCACCATCAACCTCAACCAGGCTTGTGAGCCTGAAACAAGCGGTAGATCAACACATGAACACGAGCATTCATCGACCATCGCGCGGTAGCTCCAAAACTGACAAATGCTCATCTCGCTTGCAGCTTGGCTTTGGATGGTTTGGAAGCTGTCAGAATTTAAGTTTTCGATGATAATAAGCTTACTTCGGCCCTAGCCGCATCAGCTTCTTATCGTGAGCTAACTCGCTTATACGGCATGAACGTATATATTAATTTATGGTTTTACGCAGTCTACATCTGATATCTAGTCACTGTTAACAACTATCTCAGTTATTGAAGGTCGGGAACACGGCAGTGTCTTGGGGGCCGCTTTTCCAATTGGTGATAATGTTGCTGTGAGCATGCAGTATCACGAGCCTGATACGAAAGTTCAACTGTAATTGGATCTCGAGGTATAGTTGCAACAATGCCAGCTGTTTCCAAGCAGCCAAAGACAGTGAGCAAAACGCGAGTCCACCGCGTGTTACATGCTATTTCCGGCAACCCTTCCGAAGGCTGTCGGTAGGCTGTCGGCGCGGCACCGATCAGCCCTGTGTAGTACCGGTATCCACCACGGAGACGGATGCTTGGTTGCAGCCTAAGTGATCCTGTTCCAACTCTCTTCTTTCAGCTGAGTCCCTAGCAATCTTATGGCCCCTGGAATCACTTCTCTCGATTGGTCCTCGCCCCAATCTGAGCGCTAACGGTTGTGGAACTTTCACGTACGCGAAGACCCAAAGCCCTGTGGTAAGGCCGTACTTGCAGCTAGCGTGCGGCACAGACACGCATCGTGAGATCCTTTGCGGCGGGCATGAACAATTAGCGGCCTGTCTACAAGAGCCTTACCAAGCTACTTAAGAATCGCGATGGCCTCCGCCATCGATTATGGGTCTCTGGTAAGTTGATTCCCGAGCGGACTTGTGGAGAGAGCGCCTATTGGCCTTGTGTGATATTTCCCTTCAGCCCTTGCCAGACGGCTTCAAACAATCTGCCATCGTCGACAAGATGCGTTTCATCAGCAATGGCAATCCGGAGGGGTCCATCGGCGACGGCGTCCCTGGACGTACCATGCAGGTCATCGGCGCCGGACTCCCGCGCTGCGCAACGTCGTCGCTTCAAGCCGCGTTCGAATCCGAATACCTCGACATGGGCCCATGTATGCACATGGCCCGCGTAGCACCATACGCTGACCGGCTGCAACATGTGCTCGAGTGCATGCGCGAGCGGAACAGGGAGAAGCGGCACAAGATGCTGCACCAGCTCTTCGACGGCTACTCTGCCACCTGCGACTTTCCTGGCATCATGTTCATCGACGACCTGATGGACATGTATCCAGATGCGGCAATCGTGCTCAACCAGCGCTCGAGCGGGCCAGTCTGGCAGAAGAGCTTTCGCGACAGCCTCTCCTTCTTCACCACGAGGACCTACCTATCGATATGCTTCCTATGGAAGACGGACAGGCTGCACTGGCGCTGCCACCAAGAGGCGCCTGACCTGTGGGAAGAGAAGATGGGCGAGCGGTCGCTGCTGTCGCCGACGGTCTACGATTCATATAACAACTGGGTTCGCGAGGAAGCTCGCAAGCGCGGCCGCCCTGTGCTGGAGTTTCAGGCCAGCGATGGATATCCGGCCTTGTGCAAATTCCTAGGAAAGCCACTACCTCCCGCGGACGTCAAGTTTCCACACCTGAACGACGCGGCAAATATGAGGCTCGTCAAGCGTATATTGGTCATTCGGGGATTGGTGTCATGGGTTGCCCTCGGCGCTTCGGCATGGGCGGCTTGGAAGTACGGACCGGGACTGGCGCAGAGCGCTTTGTCGGCTGGAAAGTCTTGGTTATCAAAGTGACTTTGACGTCTCTAACAGGATAAAAGAATTGAATGAGACGAAGGATTAGTCTCAGAAACGGCAGCAATTCAAAACAACAGCGTTTCGTGGCGTAACGAAAGAGATCCTATCGAGTATGAGAAAGCAATATGTGTACATATAGGGGGCCAGCGAAATCTTTCCTACTGCAGTTCAGCTTGAAAAGACCACAAATATTCCGCCTTGCGAGACCCAGTTCCTGTATAGCTCAGTGGAAAGTTCAGTCATCTGTTAACTCTCAACGTGTATGATCAGATGATCGAGTCAGATACTGCCACTTGGTCAGGCCTGAATGCTCGGCTGTTACATCACACCTGGTACCTTGACTTGGGGCATGGAAAAGATCATAGGAGCATTGGACAAAACGTTGGAACTTCGTTTTTTGAAACAGTCAACCTCAGACTGGTGTGCAGACTCTCAAGATACCCGCAGGCTGTTGGCGATGACCGCCGATGTGAAGCCGGGGATTCCAGCAAGTTTTGCCGTCACGGTCTAACACCAACCCCGATGCGCCGCCTTAGCTAAGACCGCACTTTGTTGAAAATGTCACCGAGCAGTTTGATTTATCATCTGTCCCATTGTACCGGAGCTGCCGGAGACTTGACACCATGCTGCACCACGCGTCTCCACAGGAAGAGAGTGGTTCTGCTGCCATTGTGACATAGCCGGTATTGATGTACATGCTTGCATTGTGTCGTCTATAACGGTATGCCCTCAGACGCTCCAGGGCGTTACGACAAGTAAGGAATAAAGCAAAGGAACGAGAAATGTTGTATCAAGAAGGTCGATCAAGTCTGGCGCTTACAAACATAATCTGCGGCTCGACCTGCATAAAGTTACCCGCAAAGCCATTAAGCGCCAGGGGTTGGCTGCTGCCACCCCATTACCTACAGTGGCTGCACTGGATTTATGTGAGAGTGTTCGTCTGCGTAAATCCACCGCTCTAGGCTCGGCGCGCAGTTATTGAACACTCCGAATAACCGGCATGCCGACGGACTATTCAATACGCGGTCTTGATACGCGTACGGTTTGTTGGCCAATGTAGATGAGCTGATTGCCGCTGGGTCCGGCATAGTCAGCGACCAGCCGGCCGTCTCCTCGAGTGTAGGTGCGAATCGCCTGCAAAGGATCATGGCTCGCAGGGCTGAAACCAACAGGCAATAAGCTGGAGCCACGATCCTTCCTGAAAAGGTGAAGGCAGATCACCAATAGCTATGGAGCTTCTGCGACCTCTCAAGATGCGCCATGGAGAATCTTCCTAGGAACAACATCACAGGGAGACCATTGGTCATAATCTCGGGAGGTATACGCTGGCTCGTAATCGGGTTGGTAGAGCCGGGGAACCACACATTTTGCTGTCTTCCCTAGGATTTCAATGTAATCGCTATCTACTAGAGGCTTGAGCCCTTCCACCAGCCCGGAATCTACGGACCGAGTGCCTTCATTACTTATTTGGGCATTGACGCTTGATGCGCTGGCAGTCGGTCAGCTTATCTCACCGCGATCTGTCTCTTTTATTTTAGAGCTCTTGATCTCTGCGGGCGAGGTGGTGACCAAATGCGACGAGACGATAATCGCGGGCTAAATACTCGGGACCGGGTTCGGGGAGAGGTGCATTCCAAGCCTTGCCCGGCGGGTGCAGCGCTGAGAGACAAGTTGATGCCCCCTTAATTCCGGCGGTGCGGCGCAGTTACGGCCCTGGTACCATACGCTGGTCTTCCCCGATGCAGCTAAAAGATGGAGCAAGACGATGCCGAATTTCGCCCAGCAATCCCCTGGAGCGTGATTGCCTGGGTATACGACTCGTGTTGAACAGCGCCGTCTCATGCCAACCACGCCGGGAGCCCGATCGCCGTGTGTTGGTGGAAATCGCGAGCCAAATGGATGGGCGCATTCGGGGCTAAAAGCAGGGAACAAGTGGGTCAAGAACGAGAATGAGTTGTTAAGGTCGGTGGGCTCGGTTGAGTAAACGAGGAAGACCTTTCCCCTCTGCCGTCCAACCGGGGATGTCATCCCGGAGGAGGTCGCGCCCGCAACCCGAGTTTGCTGAAATTGGAATGAATCACTTAATCAGATTTGGAAGTCTACCATTTGCATATTCTACCAGCATGGATCCCATGTAAATAGAACAGTATCCTTCAACATGGATTATAGTAATATTTGGGGGTGAAAAGAGCAGCCGGTGAGTGAAGCGTGTATCGACTGAATAGCCAACCCCCGGCGCTAAGTGGTAAAATCGCGTTTCTGGGAGTAGGTGGTGTAGTAACAGCGTGCATTGCGACTTGGGTAACGGTGGTGAATGGCACACGGCGGCGACTTACCGGCGCAGCGGTCGGGGCCTAGAGGACCTCATGCAGACCCGAGGCACAAAAAAAGGGCCGCGCTGCTCGCAATTCGTAGCGTAATATTCGGTCTTGCAGGAGAGTGCATAAGCCAGGGCAGCAGCAGAAAGGGGGACCCGCTCTGCGCGGCACGTCTAGCCTGTCTATCTATTGCCTGGAGTTCTTCGCCAAGCGCTGACCTCATCTGCGTCTTCGCAGTGATTAGCCTCCCGTTTGTCGTGCTCGTTCGCATCTATCGCACTGCTCGGCTCTAGAGGATTGTAAAGAAGGCAAGAAATCAGGACGTTGTAATCTCCCGCATAATTGAGAGTGGCGGCCAGTGGCTTGCTGTCGTTGATCCCTGACGACAAATGAGGGAGGAGAAATGTGACTGGTGATTGATCTCCAGATCATCGGTTCGGTGCGCTCGGCCGTTTCGCCGGTACCGTCTTGAAGAAGGGGAAAATCACCGTGGGCGAGACACGAACTCGGCAGATGCGCGAGACAAGTCATGTGTGTATTCAGTACTGGGTATGAGTAGTTGTTACCTCTCTGAGGTTAAGTCCTCGGCGTGGCGGCTACCTAGGCTCAGGGCAAGCAGAAAATGGCCCCGGATTCCGCATTCAGGATAAAGCGCCGGGCCTTCCAATATTATATATTGCGCCTTGCCGGGAGTGACATGGCGCCTCGCCTCGACCTCGCGTCGCTTCTGGTCGTCCTCGGAATTGGGCCATTTGTTAATGCTTGTTCGGCGATGAGGTTTCCCTGTGGGAGAGGGGTAGCAGTCTCAGACTACAGTCCTGCTCAAGACTTCCATGTCGCACCGGCTCGAACAAGGGAAAAGCCGCGTGTTCTCTAGACCACCCGGGCCAAGATGCTATGCGGAGTATGGGCGCCGTGATGGCGTGGTGGCTAGCACGATTTTTCTCCTCCCGTGGGGGGCCGCCTCTACGAAGCGGCGACGGATCTTCTCAGAATTCCCGGCACGCACCACGAGGACAAAGTATCGTGATTTGCGCATGCTACGGAAATCGCTGGCCGAAAAAGATGCAGCGTGTCACTACGTGTAACCATTCTCGGTGAGTGCTCTGGTATGCTAGCCATCTCACATCACTGGACTGAAAGTGCAGGTGTGAGAAAGTCTTGGATAGGATGGGCGTATAGTATATGCAGAGCTTCGGCGGCTCCACCTCCTTCCGAGAGGTGCCTCGTTTGCGACGGTTGGCTGGAGTTTTTTTGCCCGAGAATTTCACTCGTGCCGTCGGAGCAGCCCAGATGCCGCCAGGATGTGAGACACGGATCAAAATTACCTAGCAGAATTACCGTAGCTTTTACCGCGCCGTACCCTGTGGTCCCAGCCAGGCTATGCTTCCACCCTCCCCCGGCTGTCCGAGAGTGTGCTGGGCGTAGTCAGCATCAAACCCATGAAACAGGCAAAATTACAGCAAAAGGGCCGGAATAGTGTGCCTACTGCAAGCTCTCGTGGTGAGTAGGCGCGGGCGACATTTGCCTTTCCGATACCCTGTTTCCACCGTGGACGGAGGGAGGCAAGGCAAGCCTGCCGTGTTGTAATCAGGTAGGAACGGGCATTTACTTCGTAATTCCGTGGTCTGCTCGGTCCCTCCGGATTTTACAATAGGAGGAATTGGAAATCCAGAGTCGGAACTTGTGGAGCGATGACCAGCCTGACTTGGCGCTGGCGCGGACTGGCTGAGAAGTGCGCGATGGGTCCCTTGTCCCTTCATGGTTCTCTAGAGGGGAGATGAGTGACCGTGACCGCCCGCCCGCCCGTCCCTCCGCGTTTCCATTCAGGCACGGGGCCCAGGTCGTACTATGCTATATATGAACATCGAATATTGTCGGTGGAAAGAAAAATTGACTGGATGGCTACTCGTCTGTTGAATTGTTGCCTCCCTGGATGGGGGCTCGTCAGAAAGACAAATTTGCCCGCGCCAGCCAGTCAGCCAGCGAGCCAACAAGCATGCGCGAGGCCAGTCTGGATGTGGGATGGGACAGTGAGGACGGGGGGCGCATTGATGGGACAGAGTGAAACCCGAGGAGCAGGAGATTTCGGGATGTCCCCGGGGCCGCCTAACCTATGATCTTCGTGCCGCCCGCTATTGCAACTACTGAGGTGGGTTCCTGCTTCACGGCGGCGCTTTTCCTTTTCCATTGCCCAGAAGTCTCCGTGTTATGATCAAATCGGTGACACACACTACGGTAACATGTGCATGCAAACCTCGAGAATCGATGAATGGGATCGATCGATCAATGAGCAGATGCGAGCGTGCATGAGTAAGTTGAGTGGTTTGAATAGGTACTGTACTTTAGGAGGAGGGCATGCCCGGGGGCTAGGGTATTCCTGAGTCGACGGCACGGCGTGGGCTCGACACGGAGGCGGGCATGAGCATGAGCCTGAGCATTCGGCGATCGCTCTGATCATCCCCCTTTCCTTGTCGCCCTCTGATCGCTTCTCACTTTGTACCTTGTGTGTGCGCACGCCTGAAAGCGCCCGCGCCTGCGGCCACCAGCCACACACACATGGACACACACACACACACACACCGTAAGGTACCTGGGAGGTCGCAGTAGTGATCACACACCAGGGGGCGCGCGCCAGGCCGCAGCTTTGTTGCACCGCCCGAGCGATCGAAGGTAGAAGCTGTTCAGTCTGCTCCTGGTGTTGCCGGCGTTGTTGCAGGAGGGCAGGGCAGGGCAGGGCAAGCAGACAGAGAACTTAGCGCAGGGCAGCATCTAAAAAAAGGCCAGCCGCCCGCCTGGCCCCCATCTTGACCCGACTTGACCGGGCTGGCTGATGATGGATGCTTGTTGGTGTTGTTGGATGCAGATGCAAGAGAATCTAAAGTCATGGATGCAAAAGTGCGGAAGTACCTACATGGTAGATGACTCCCAAGTCTACCTCATTACCTGGCAGTAGCTTAAGTTTACTCTGGGAAGGCACGAAGGGATTACAGGGCTGATGATGGGAGAGAGACGGCGCGGGCGGGATTGGATTGACAAAGGGAAGGAGCAGGATGGATTGATTGGCGCCCGGAGGAAGGAGCAGAGCAGAGCAGAGCGAGCAAACGGCCGGTCAGAGTCAGGATTGTCGGTGCTGCGTATATCTATGCTGCGGTACCTGAAGTACCTTTGCCCTACCTGACCTCCTTATTTTGTTCTTTATTAGGTAGTTTGGAGACGGGCGGCCGGTCAAGCCGTGGATCGATTTTCCATCCATCTTTCATCATGACCTACCTACCTTTATCATAGTGATCAAAGGAACCATCTCAGATTTGTGCATAATTATAATTACCTACCTTACCTGCTGCTACGATGGGCAAATGGGTAGGCAAAAGTGCCCGAGGTCGAGTAACGTTATACATACTACACTGCTCCCGGCTGCTCTGGGGGTTGGTTGTCTGCCTTTTCGGCACATATTTTCGCACCGTTAGCCAGAATACGGAGCAGAGGCTGTAGTGGCAGCGCTGGGTCAAACCCACTTTTTGTCCACGTCTACCTTTTCCAAAACCCCCGGCACCATCACCCGATCCGCCCGTGGCATTCAGTCTCGTCAGTCCGTCCGCCTCAGCCAAGGTACCTATCTGCCTGCCTACCTACCTACGGATAGCCAAGCAAAGCTGCTCAGTAAAAAAAGAGGTGTGCTGCAATCCCTCGCTCCCTATCCTCTTTTGCAGCCTTCCTTCCAGGCTTAGTTGAACGCTTCGGTAGACGAAGGTGTGCATTGTGTGTGAGGGAGTGTGCGGTGCTTTTTATGTTCTGTGTTCAGTCTGCGCAGACCCCAGGCCCAGGTCCCGGTCGGGGTCATCCAGCCTGCCGCCGCCGGTAGGTACTGTATAGTAGTGTGAGAGCAGGTAGGTAGGTAGGCCATGTACATTCGGTACCTCTAGCTGAGGTGCCGCACCCCCAATTGCCTCCCGAGCCCAGAGCCAGGCTCGCCAGGGGACAAGAGAAACGCGAAAGGTAGGTAGGTAGGTAGGCAGGCAGGTACATACATGTAGCATGTGGCCAGAGAGACAGAGAGAGCTGGGAGAGCTGGGAGAGCTGGAGACCTGAGCCTGGAGGTCCGAAGCGTCCTTTTTACCAGGCCGCCGCCCACCTCCGTTCGACCCCTTCGACCCTTCCACTTTTCCCAGACCTCCCTCCTTCCCTCTCCCTCTCCTTCTTGCTCCTTCCCACCACCGACCGAACTCCAGCAAATCCACATCCGCACCGAACATCTCGGGGCCTTCTTGTTCTCCTCCCATCAACCTCCTTACTTTCTTACCACTTCGCCCGCTTCCTACAACGCGTCGGAGCGCGCCTCCGGAACCGCATCGCCCGTCTCCGGAGCCCCCGAGAAGTGTCCCATTCTTAGGTCTACGGAGCAAGGACTGCAACCCGCTCACCATTCACTGCGCACCGCACCGCACCGCACCATCCCATCCCGTCGCATCACATCACATCGTTGATCATGTCGTCGGTCGTCCGAGCCACAGCGCTTCGCGCCGGAGGAGCCTGTGTGCGCTGCCGCAAGGGCAAAACCAAGTGCGTCTACGAGAACGGGCGCGCGCCGTGCAAGAACTGCGCCAAGGGCATGCACGAATGCTATCTGCCTTCCGAGTCCATGGGTCATGGCGGCCACGGTGTCTCGCCAGCCCGCGTCCCTCAGAGATCGCGAGAATCTCTGCCTAGTGAGCGGGTGGTCGGCGCCGCAGGCGACCGTCAGGGCCAGCCCGCCTCAGCTGCCTCGCGCCATGTGTCGGCCACCACTGAGAAGTACGTGTGCATTTCTTCCTGTTTTTCCAGCTACGAATGACTCTGTTTCTGTCCATCTCTTGACCATCTTGTCGTCTTTTTTTATTTTTCACATCTCATCCGTACACGTCACTGTCTGGCCTGTGTGGCGGACCTCCGGGGTCCCGGGATGGCTTCTATTCGCCTCCCAGTCCCAGCCGAGGAGCAAAGCTTTCCCAACATTGTCCCCGTGGCCGCCGCCCGGCTTCATCATCAACACTGCTACCTATTTGTGTATTGCACACTGCACCGTCCCCGCTGTCCCTCCCGCGGTGCCTGCCGATGCCATGCCCGGGCATGCACGGAGTTATGTGTGGGCGGCGGCAGTGGTGGCCACTAGTCTCCTGCATAATTTCTCTTCTGTCCTGTCTGGATTTCTTTCTCTTGCACGCCCACGCACGCAAGCATGGCCCCATGGCTCCTGCCGAGAATGCCGGCGGCTGGGCTAGGCCTCACGCCCCATCTCCAATTTTCCTCCTTCCTCCGAAGTCCTGTCGCTGCCCCCGTGTCAGCCCCGATCGCTCCTCCCAATTTCCCAGGCGCCCCTCCCTCAAACGGCAAACGGAAGCCCGATGCCCTCATCCCATTTCTACCATGCACGGGCCACGACGTCTCGGCATCGTGCTTTGCAAATGCTCACTCCACTACCCACCCACTCAAATCAAAAATCTCGCCTTCCGTTCCGTGTCCCCACGTTGCGCGTCTCAAAACGGCATGATGCTTCCGGGCCACCGTGATTGATTGATTGATTGATTGTTCTCACCACCCTTTGATCGTCGATTGCTCAACGAGCCCACCGGAATATCGCATTCAACTGACAATGTCACAGACTCACTCCGGAGCTCATGCTCGAGTGCGAGATGGTCGTCAACAAGACACTGCCGGCTTGTGTCGCCTTCCACAAGCCTTCATTCTTGCAACAGCTCAAGAACACCATGCTTGACCCGGCCATGGTTAATGCACTCCTCACTACTGCCGCTCGGTAAGTCATGTCATCCCGTCTCATTTCACTTTCTTTGCCTTTTTTGCTACAATGCTTTGTATCCGATCCCGTGTCATCTCATCCCCTTTCATTTGCTCTTGGTGCATTGTGCAGCCATTTGTGGACGCCTCTTCGTCGACCGCCTCCACGATGCGTTCGCTAGAGCAATCCCGTGGTTCCACAATGCCGGGTCGACTGCCCAACCACGTCGGCCGCCGCCCGAGATCTACCTTCACCGCAACTCAAATCATTGCCCATTCAGCCACCGCCATCTTGCGCGAAGATGCCATGCAATATCTATGTCATGCTCGATGGCTAACACTTCTGCAGCCATTCGCCGGTTATGATTCGCCGATATGGAGCTCATGGGGGAGGTGCCACTGCTGCCGCAGAGCATTTCGCGGCCAAGACTATCGGCACGATTATGCAGTCTCTGGACCATCCCAGCTTGGCTGATATCCAAGCCCTGTGCCTGCTCGTTATTCATGAGTGGGGATCACGCAACGCTGTGCGCGCTTACATCTATCTTGGTCAAGCGGCACGAATGGCTCAGATGTACCGTGTCGTACATACAAGCCACGGGCAATCCGACCCCGATCGCTTCCTCCAGGAGGAGTCTTTTCGCCGTGCTATGTGGCTCATCTACATTTTGGACTGCTTCCTGACCAGCAGCCCCGGTCGGTTCCCAGCTTTGTCGGCCCGCGATGTCAGCGATGTTGCCTTGCCTTGTCAGGATATGAACTACAACTTTGGCAGCCCCGTGTTTGTCCGAACCCTGAGTGGAATTGCCCCCTCCAATGCTCCGGACCCGAACAGTCTTGCCGAGGTCGGCGAATTCGGCCATATTGTCCTGGCTACCAAGGCTTGGCGAAATGTTATTGAGATGATGACTACAACGACCCTTGAGACTTTCTCTGAAGAGGAATGCATTCAGCTTGAAGATGGGCTTGACGCTATCCGCCAGTCCCTGCCCCATCATTTCGCGGACAAGCCTGGACAGATTAATCTGCACATCACTATGGGTAGCGGCTATGTATTTGCCATGATTCATTGTCTTCTGCATTGCGCAACCATCTTCGTCAATCGCCGCCGCATTCTGCAAATGGTCACTGCGGAGAATTTCAGCCAGGAGGCATGGCGCATGGCTCCCCATAGCCAAGCTCAGACGGTGGATCGCATCTTCGCCGCCTCTCATAGCATCATCGCGATGCTCGCGGCACTAGAGCATGGTGCAGACAAGAACGCGATTCTGTGTTTTCCAATCTTCATGCTTTTCTCTGCATTCACCGCCGGTTCAACAGTGGCTTATCTCGCCCTGAAGGGACTATCTCCGCCCAATGTGAATGAGACTGCGACTCACATAGTACGTGATAGTCTGCGCTACATGCACGATGGTGCTGAGTCGTGGCCTTTGGTTATTCCCTGGAACCGTCATCTTAGCGTGATGGCTAAGGTTCTGCGCGAGGTCAACAACCAGGGCGAGCGGGCTCAGTCTCGCGAAGACAGCAGGGTGCCAGTGCAAGGATCTCCATCGGTTAAGGACGATATCACAAGCCAACCTGACACGAACCCTGATGCTATGGAGTATGATCAAGCTCCTCCTCCGCCAGGTTCTCAGCAAGGCATTCCCACACCTCAGATGGAGGGACGCGGCAGTGAGCCTCCAATCCCTAGGCGTCCTGGTGTCACTACAATCAATGGTGGCTCTGCAGGTGCATCCACCCCCGCCGACGGCACGCCACCCCCAGCGAACAATAACTCGGGCCCGAAGATGGAGTCGCCAGACCCTACCTCATCCTCGTCTGCAACTGGTGGACAGCCTCCTGTAGCGCCTCAACAAGCAGGCGGAGAGGTAGACATGACTGCCGCCGAACTGTGCGCTGCTTTCGAGCGCCAGCTTCTAGAGCTCGATGACCTGGCGGCTTTCATGGGAGGTGGAGTGTGAGTTCATCTTACGATGGGCCACCAGTGTCTTCTTTCCTTCTACTAACCTGTCGCCAGTGCGCCGACCTAGATTTGATCCTTTAGTCGATTTCATTTTGCTTTCACATAATCACTCGCGATGAAGAGGCGGTTTGGCATACCTCAAAAAAGGGTGGGAATTGGGGCGGATGCGTTTGATTTCATCAGTGACTGGGTATTGAAGACCTGTCGCTGAGAGTTTGATGATTTTTCACATTGCCAAACTTTTTTCATAATCCTCTCTCCATCTCCATGGCGAAGGCGTTTTTGTTCGCTGGTATTGCCGTGCTGGCAGTAACCAAGCTTCAACACTTTCCGCATCCTGATTTCGTTTAATGCAAACTACAGTGGAGGACTGAATCACTGGAGTTGTAGTCTTGGCCATGATATCTAGGTTCTGGCAACTAGTACTTTGCTCTGTGTCTTCCAAAAAAATTCATGGGCTGATCGGTCGGCGAGTGGTCGAGGGCGTCAGATATACCAGGTTGTGTGGAAAGTCTCACTTTATGTTATTGACTCTGTTTGGTTTTGTACATGTACAACATATTGCGCGGCAGTCGCGATTGAAGCTTCGGATTGCTCTCGCAGGGCCATCTCTTGTGGCGTTATAATGGAAATGGAAATGGAAATGAGCTGGCTTGATATTCAAGTTACAGACTTTGATACTCATCAAACACCAATCTCTTCGATTAATTGGCCTCGTGATGTGTGACGTGTCCGTTCCATGAGGCCGTCTCGAGCCGATGATAGCATCCGTTTCCAGCCAACTTCAGTGAGCTGGCCAACTGCTCCTGATCTTCAATGACGCAGGCTCAGTCAAAACATTGTTCTCAATGATCATGAGTTCTAGACTCCCTCGTGAGTGACCGTATAAATAACCCCTAGTATGCTCTCCGAGTCTATATCCAAGCAATTTGGCAGATAGCCTAACACCCGACTTTCTTGGCCTTCCAATTTAGTAGTCAACACACAGCAAAATGGCTGAGACAAGTTCGTCTCCAGATTCGTCCGAGCCGGCGAGTCCATTGAACAGTCCCTCGCCGAAGACGGTGTCCCGCGCCGATCTCCGAGTGAATTACGAAGGCCTGCCTTTCGAGGGGAAGGTGATCGCAATCACCGGCGGTGCGACAGGCATCGGGTTCGCCATAGCCAAGTATCTTGCGTACCGGGGCGCAAAGGTGTCGCTCATGGATTGGCGGCCCCTTGAAGACGCCGCCAACTTGATCTGCGCCACGCTACCACAGACGTGCTGCCGTGGCCGACCAGACATAACCGTTGATACGTACCTCGGAGATGTGGGCGACAGTGCAGCGGTGAAGAAGTGGGTTGCGCACCTGAAGGAGAAGCATGAGAACATAGATGGCTTGGTCAACAATGCAGGTGTGTAATTCTTCTACCCTTCTCGGAACAGGATCCCTTCGGCTCTCAAACTTACACAAGTCTTCACAATCAAGGCATCTGCAAACCTCACACAATTGAGGAATCCGATGGAGACCGCTTCTACGAGACCATCGATACCAATGTGCAGGGCGCCTTGAACTGCACACGCGAGATGGTGCCTATCCTCCGTGATGGCAGCAGCATCGTCAACGTCTCCAGCATGCTAGGGCAGCACGGGGCATTTGGCCTCGCGAACTACTCCATTGCCAGCCACGGCGTGGAGGCGCTGACGAAGTGCGCAGCAAAGGAATATGCCGGCAGAGGGATCCGTGTCAACACTGTTGCTCCGTGAGTACATCCCGTAGATTTCTCATTCCCATTCCGAAAATCCTGTCTTCTTTCTGCTAACAAGAGGTTCATTTGCACAAAGTGGCTTCATCAAGACTCGTATGCTTGACAAGATGAAGGCTGGTGTGAATAGAGTGCTGAAGATGACGGACAAGTGGGACGAGGGCAAGATTCCGGTGATGCTCAGAAAGTATGGCGCGCCGGACGACGTCGCTGCGGCCGTCGCGTTTCTGCTTGGGGACGGAAGCAAGTATATTACTTCAACTGAGATTCATGTCGATGGAGGCTGGCAAGCGAATTAGAGAACAATCCATCACACACTCTGATCATGGGTTGGGGGGATTACAAGGGATTGTTCTGATTAGTCTTTTTAGGGCTGGTCAAATTAGTCTGCAGAATATGTTGCGTGCTACACAGAATTAATTGAGCAGATTCATAAGACCTGAACTCACCTTGGGTTTCCTAGTATGAGATATATGGGCCTTTAGATGAGAATTGAGGTCTAGGGTTACGACCGCAAAGCTGACAGCATGTGCTACATAATTTGGTCTTGTGTTCCAATAAGTGTTACATTGTTTATACCATTTTTATCTTCGAACTGTCAATGAAATGCATCCCTAATGACGATGATGTGTTGTTCCCATTTCATCAGAAAAGATGACACCTGCTCCATTGCAAACACATCTACCAGCGGACATCACCCACAAACCGATTCCTTCATTTCTCTTTTGGATGTGTTGAAGGCCAGACCAGTATGAATACGAGTTTAAGATGAATAACAAAGCACAAGTGTGCACTTCCAGGCGATCGATGCTGAGTATAATAACTCACCAACAACCTTGAACACCTTCAAACCATAATGCATACTAGCTTCCTTTTTAGAAGGTCAACTTTTGTTCTAGAAGCTAGTGCCAGCTATACTAATAAAATTACACAATTCAATAACTCTTAAAAGACTGTATAGTAGTAAATAGAAAGATATAATAAATCTGAATCTAATATCGTTGTTCAGCCTGGCGGAACAGGCTTCGATATCTTCTGGGATCCACCGGAGGGTTCATACAATATTGACCGCTATGAATTGATCTATTGGGACCGTGATACGCCGGGTGCATTCATCCAAGGGTATGGCACCCGAGGGAGAACTACCTCTGTGGAAGGCCTTAACCAAGGCCATCGATATCTGATCTGGGTCGCCACGTGGACAAACATCGGTGGTGGCTTGCCAGCAGGTGCGAACGGTATCGTGGTCGGGGGTGGTACTCCCCCTATGCCGACCAACCTTCAGGTTTTTACGACGAATGGGTACACGGTCAAGATCCCCTGGGATGGCTCCCCGTGGGCAGCGGGCTACCGTGTGTACACTCGCAACATCAACAATGCGACCGATTACCTCAAGACGGATGAATGGAGTAAGGTCACGAGCACATGCCATGGCATCACCTATCTCTTTCCTGGCGCTTGGAACTACGAGTTCTGCGTCGTCTCGTTCAACGGTGACCTCGAGTCATCGTTACATAACTGCGTCACTGCACCTGAGACCGAAACCCCCGAGGCGGGCGATTGCCCAATCGAGGATCCAGGCTCAGATGAGGGTACATATCCAATTCCGGATGATCCCGTTGATCCGGTTCCAGAACCTGTTGAAAGTCCGCCCGACCCATCCGCTAATTGCGCCGCCGTTCCATCCTTCTTCGCTCTTCCTGGAACTGTAGGCGAAATTGATCATGGCCTGCAATTCTGCGCAGCGAAATGGAACGCGGGCGTGTTCCCAAACTTGATCGAAGCCAGGGCCGACAAGGACGCCCTACGCTATCTGCGCATCCGATATACCGATGGATCCGAGATCACCCAAGGCGTAGCCGTGGCGGATGATGGCCATAGCCGATATGGTACCATTGAGTGGGATCCGTGGAAGGAGCACTTCGATAGATTCTCGCTTTGGGCGGGTGGTTGGAACAACGGAGTGGGCCGCATCGTCATGGAAATGGCTAAGCACTCCCAAGTCGACGCTGGCAAGTACTGGGACCCTAATGCCGTACCCGTGGAGATCCTACCCGACCGTGGTACAGCTGGTCAGGGTATGCTGCTGGGCTTCTTCGGAGCTGCCGATGACGCTCTCGATGCACTTCAGCCATACTTTTCCAAAAGCGCTCCCGACAAAGTTATACTGCGAGACTTTGAGTTTACTCCGACTTGGGAGCAGCTGAACTCACGACCCTTTGCGTACGTTGCAGCGTCCTGGTCAGGCTACAAATTACTAACCGCTAACTTAGGGATCGAGGTATGACCGCTATATTAGGGCAACATCTCTTGGAAAATAAGCGCGATGATAAGGAAGTCGTGATGGGATTCGAGTCCTACGTGGTTATAGAAGTTCAGCATAAAGGATCTTGGTCCCATACTGACGCACATGAGAAAGGTGGCGAGTTTGGCACTACTATAGGCACTGAGTTGTCCTATAAAGGTGGAACACCCTTTGCAAGCGCGGAAGGAAAGGACAAAGTCGAATTCAGCGGGAAGTATATTCAAAAGGATGTCAGAATGAGTTTAAACAGCGAGGAGGACACGACGGCTAAGAGGGTAAGTGGTTTATAAGGTCTCCTTTTTTTTCTTTTTCTTTCTTTTTTTTCTCTTATCGGCGCCCGCTCACAATACACATAGATCCAACAACGGTTTAGATCGTCGACCACCCTTGGTCCAGGCGAGAAGGTACTATGCTCCACCGTTGTAATGCAAAGCAAGCTTAATCTTCGTTATACGGCTACGGTAAGTCCTTGAAAGCATGTCATTGACTTCCGATTACTAATACCTGACGTCAGCTCGAGCACATATTCAAAGATACCACATCTTACACGTATCCCGTAGCAGGCTCCTTTGACCAATCCGAAGCGAGCGATGGTGTGACAGTTTGCCAGGATATTCATGATGGTGACGCACTTCCTGACTCCTATGTCACGATTACCGAAAGCGGTGCGTACTGCGTAGATGGTAGAAGAGTGGGAGATCTTGGGATGTCAGATGCCGATTTGCTTGCTGCGTGTGGTCTTGATCAACTGGACTCCGCCATCATCGACATTGTGACTGTATGTTGTCTTGACTAGAAGTTTTAATATGAAGTAAGAGTCTTTCTGTGGGATTTTCACTTGAGATTTAGACGAGTTAATATAGGAAGTCGACTACGGCGACCTCCCATATAAGACAGTCACTATACCATACACGTTAACAGTTTTCTACTTCAAATTGTATATGATACACCCTAGTTACGGGCCACATAAATCTTTCTCAAGCTTATATCAGGTTGATCTTACTATAGGATCACATGTTCTTAACTCCATCGAAAGTGATGCTGGACAGCTAACAGAAATCACCTAGGTGTCGTCAGACTTGGCGCATTGCATGAGACCAGTGATCAAGAGTGGAACAAAGTAACTGATATCAACCGGTATGGTGCTTTCAACCCTTTTATTCGTCGCAGGGGTAGCGTGGTGAAGGTTTCATGGCTGGTACATATGGTCATAAGGACTTCAGAGCTGATACTGCTAGCAGTCATGGCCTCATTGGTCTCACCAAGTGTGCGGCTAGAGAACGGGGCCATAGGGGAATTCGTGTCAGCTGTGTCTCTCCGTGAGTTCTATTTCCACTGGTTCTATTTATTTTTTTCTCCTGCTTCCTCTCCTCACATGATAACAAAAGAGCTTGGCTAACAATTGAATGCTGATCACAAAAGTGAAGTGGCCTCATTGACACCAATTCATGAGTAACATCAACCAAAGTATAAGAGTTAGTCAACCGCAAATATGCAATTGGAAAGTTGGGGCCGAACCCATGATTCTAGGCAGAATCGGTAGGAGAGGCGAGGGTGCTTCATTGGTTCTCTTTCTACTTGGAGCTAAAAGCAGATATATCACTTCAGCTAACATACCTAGTGATGGAGGATGGAAGCGTTGAATGGACAATGCTGCGCTTATAAGTCATGGCTTGCAAAGGTCTTCTATCATGCCCGATATCTCGGTTCTTCGCTACATTGTTTATTTCTGAAGAAAAAGTTGCCTTCCAAATCTTTTATGGCAAACACTAGTACAAAAGTGATATTGTCCCCTGCAATCCGCTTGAGTATTAGACCAAGAACCCAGTGCACAACCAAATGGTTTAATTTTCATGATATCATGTCTCTTTCTTCTACTATTACACTTTTGCTGGGCCTGGTGCCCTGCCCCTCTCTAGGTCATCATGCATGCCACCTCGGCCTCTCTCGTAGCTTGGCCGTGCCCAGGAGATAGCATTGCCACTCCCAACGCTGAATTTGCGTACACCATTGGGCCGATGGATAGAGACTGGTGATGCCGCAGAATTATGTCTGTCATGAACCGGATCATAACTTGATTTCCTCCATGATGGGCCGTCAAGTCCCCTCTTCCTCCACTCTGGAAGTTCATCGGCGAGCGAAGGCCGCCCTGCTGAGGGGAACGTATCCACCCTGTCCCACGTTGCCTTGTCAGATAAATGGTCATCTTCGTGGCTTCGTCCCCGCCGGAATAGCCCTAAAGTAGATAAGAATGCATTTTGCACAGCATCAAAGATATCGTTCACCGTGAAAGCCATCGCGATAAGCGGAACTGATATGCCCAGTCCTATTCCAAACATGTATTTGGAGACATAACCCATCGTTAGATTCCCGTTCCAATCATCGAAGTTGATGGCGAAAAATGCCGCAATAAATGACATCGGTAGGAAAATTATGGTAACTATTGTGAACACCATAATTGTCTGCCCCTGCCTCGCTGCAATAACTGCTTGGTCCCTGGCGAAGCGAGCTTCAAGCGCGTTCGAGTGTTTTTGTTTGAGGTCCAACAAGTGCGTCAAGCTCATGTATATGCTCTCAGCTTGTCGATCCATCCGGTCGATGTCCTTACGATGAACTTCGAGCAGACGCTTCTGCTCCCGTGAGCGTTTTCGAATCTCGTGGACAATGGCCTCCGTGACTCTGCGGCTGCCTTCAGGCCTTAGCTCATCTATGATATGGCTTTCAAATTCAGCCAAAATTGACATTTGAGAGTCAAGAACCACAGCAAGAATGTTCAGCTCGTCCCGAATGTCTTTGATTTCTGCAAGGAGTGAAGTTTCAACGCCGATATCGAGCAGCGCATCAGGAAAGACGGGATCCTCATCCGTCTTCTCGTATTTGATTGACGGCGAGAGCCCTCTAGCTGGCCGACGGCGGTGGTGTTGCAACCATTTGGCTGACATGGCGGAGGCGTTGTTGAAGCGATTAAACAGCTGACTTTCGCGATTTGTGACTAAACCGATGGAGCTTTCAAACATGTCTAAAAATTGGTAGTCCTGATCATCCATGCGATGTCTGTCGAACATGCCGGAGCAGCGACTGGTTATTAGCACTGCCAGATCATGAACAGAGGAGATCGGTGGTCTCGTCTTCGCATTTGTCTCCTCAATAATGCCATCAAGAACATTTAGAGGGTCTTGCTTCGGTTGATCCCATCGTTGAGGAAAGCAGGTTACTACCAAATCTGCGGCATTGTTAGCTTTGACAGTGTGCCATTTGAGGACTCATATTTACCTCGTCCGATCATCCACAGCCACAGTTGATCAACCATGAACACCTTGGGCTCGGCCTGATGTCGTCTGCAGTATCGGTAGACAACCTGGTCCCTGTCTCTAGCCGACGTATCTATACCGTGATAGAAGAATTGGTCTAGCGTTCTCGGAGGATGTAGAGGTGGCATATCATTCAGGTATGCGTGAACGAGTGTATAATCACGCGTTGCTTGCTCTGGAAGGTCTCGGCCTGCTCGAACATTTCGTATTGCCTCACTCATCTTGTCACGACGCTCATCGGTCTCATAATGTAGAAATGGCATCTCTGTCGTTAGCAATGGAACATAAAAAGGCCACGGGCAACCTACGAAAAGGACTAATTTGGAATGCGACGTAGGGAGTCTAGACGCTTCCCAAGCAGCCTGAAGCGGGATCCTCCCGGTTGATGGCTTATGCTCTTTCGTTCCAGGTGCGTTTCCTGGAGGACCCTTCGTCCGCTTTCCTCGTGTAGGATGGCGCTCAGCAAGCTGCTCTGACCGAGTTTTCTTTTTTGAGTCGGATTTGGGTGTACTACCCTCCGGGTGGTCTGGGGTCTTTTTCGGTGTCCCGTCACCACCTGTCATCGTTGTCGATATAGTGGATATTGTGCTGACTCGGCTGAGCTCTGGTGACTCCTCGGACAGCGGTTGGAGAGAGCTGTCTTCCTTTTCATTGTTCGGAAGTTGAGGCGCGGAGATACGCTGACAATATGTTCTCATGAAGTGAGCATGGGCTAGAGGTCCACGGTGTTCTTGATCGAAGCACTTCTCCAAGGCTTTGAAGCCTTCAATGTCCCTATGACCACCTTCTACGAAAGCCTTTGACAAGAGAGTCTATCGATGTGTCAGGGGGATGAATTGCAAGGGGAAGGGGGCTTGGAGTACCTCAATCCAGGCAATCTAAGGTCAAATTAGTTTTCTGAATCCGTAAAAGCCCGACGTGAATGAGCTTACATTATTAGCAGGAAGGTGAACCCACCTGAACGACGGTTGGTACTTGATGTTTTTAGGCAAGATCGGGATCGTTGGTTTATCCACATCTTTGTCCCAGCCATACAATAGGTCGTAGACCGAGTGCTTGAACACGAGTTGTTTCCTACCTTCACGAAAATCGCCAAAATCGACAACCGTGGCCTCGAAGGATTTGCATGCGCTCTCTGCTGCCGGAGATAATCGACTAGCAGCTCTGGCCGGTGAAAGGAGCTGTACAATCTGCTTGTGACGCATTTCTGCAGCACATAGCATAGGAGTTCGATCAAAACTGTCTTTGATAGCAATGCTGGTCTCTGGCTTTGCAAGAAGAAGCTTCACCACTTCCTCATACCCGTTGAATGCTGCCCAGTGAAGTGGCGTCATGCCATTCGAGAGCTCCGAATTCACGTTGGCATTGGCTGCAAGCAAGATGGAGACAATACCAGCATGCCCGTTCTGCGCTGCGTTGTGAAGAGGCGTCCATCCACCGTCACTGATCAAGCGAGGATTCGCACCATGACCGAGGAGAAGTTTGACCATCTCCTCATGACTACTGTCCGCGGCCAGATGTAACGCTGTGCGCCCACGGTTGTTCGAGGCAGATATGTCCGCTTTCTTGCCCAGTTCTCCATTCAGCAGAGCATCCACAAGGCGCATGTTGCCGCGAGTGGCAGCCCAGATGAGCGGCGTCCGCCCAATATCATCCCGCGCATTGATGTCGGCGTTCTTGTCGAGCAGTATCTTTAGGGTATCCATTGTCCATTTGCCAGGCTTTTCAGACGCAAGATACAGCAGTGGTGTCTTGCCGTCCCGCTCACCTATGTGCCCTTCTCCATCTCGGCCGTCTACGTTGGCACCATGTTCCAGTAGTAGCTTGACAACAGCGTTGTGGCCCCGCATCGACGTTCCATAAAGCGCGGTCTGGCCGTTTCGGTGTCGCCAATTCGGATCAGCCCCATGTGAGAGCAATTCGGCGACCACAGCAGCGTGTCCATTCTCGGCGGCTTTGTAGAGGGCGGGGATTTCGTTCTCGCGGCGGGTATTGACGTCGGCGCCGTGTTCGAGGAGGAGGCGCACGAGGGACAGCTTGCCTCGATTGGCAACCTTCTGGAGCGATTGGCGCAAGGCGTCGCGGTCTGTATGTGAGGTCCATGACGTCTCTTCAGCCAGGATATCACGTACTCTGGCTTCGTTGGCTTGCGCCGCCGCGGCAATCAGGCGGAGCTGGCGCTGGTCGGGCGCACTGCTGGCTATGCTCATTGTTGTAACGAGTCGCGCTGCTACGAGCGAGCGCGTTATCTGGCAGTGCCTTTCTTCAGGTGGTTTTCGCCATGATTAGGAGGAGTGGAGAAGCTTGATGCGATCCCGATCCTACACTCTCCGAGTCGTGATAAGTCTAGTCGAAGTCTGTGAGGGAACACTTTGTCGAAATTGCTTGAGAATTTTCACAAATGCAATTGCAAGCTGACCGAGATCAGATCGGCTTTTGGGTGGCTTGGTGGGGTTTTGTGCAGGGGTCTTACAATACGATCGACGAACCATCCCCGCATTTGATGTGTCTTGGAGAGGTCGTTTCTTGGTCCAGTGACACCACACTTGTTATAGTTCTATCGTGAGCAGGTTGCTTAAATGAATATCTAGTCAAGCTGCATGCTAGGTAGAACATGTTATACTGTGGGGTCCTGGCTATATGGACTGTTGTTGTAATCACTGTTGCGACTTTCTGAAGTATAGAGTTGTCAGACTCTGGGAATTTTTCATCAAGTAGAGAGGTCGTACAAGATATTTTGGGGGACAGGTACGAAAAGTAGGTGAGCTGCAGTAAAGTGCATCCAAGAGCACTAATTCTTCTGCAGCGCCAGCTCAAGATTAAATCTACGACAGGTCTCAGCGTTGGGGCGATACTTGTAATATTTATCTATGAGTTTATTGCGTGTGTTGGATAGTGAGTTATGTATGGCATCTTATGGATTATCTTTGCTTACGATGGATAGGTAAATTTCGGTTTATTCTTCCAAACGAGATACTCTCTTTCAGCCAGCGAGCGAAAGGCACTGCCGTGACCCAATCCGTTAGGTTTGCCTTCTCTTTCGTTTACCTATATTGCTTCCCTATTGCAATGGAAACTATCTCATGGAAGTTCTTCACTCTCAACGAATCGTGGAGCTTGGTTTTTGCCGTAGTTGTCTGGTTTGTTTTTATCGAAACAAAAGGCAAAACTTTGGAGGAAATTGATGAGCTATTCGAAGGAAGCCCCGCTACTACCGAGGGAGTCCGCGAAGGTGACGACGATCATAACGGTGGCATAATGACTCCATCTTTGGTAAATGAAGAGATAAATCACCCAGAGTTCAGCAAGGATCACAAAGGCATAGAAACGCAAGAGAGCCTTTGCGGACCGTAGACAAGCGTTCGATAGATGTAGTTCTGAAAAGCGGCTACTAACAACACCAGTCACTTTCGACAATCCCAATCTAAACATCTCTGAATATATCTCTATTCGTCAATTGAGTTGATCTTCTGCTCTCTACCTTGATTAAGATAATTCGTTCTTTCGTATAGTTACAAAATGCATACTAATTTATTTATCGTTGTTGAGAAGTAAGTCAAGCGCTTTAGACGGTGAACTGAACAATCTTTACTAAAAGATCACTCGCCCATCTACCGTGTTGTGTACTGAACTAATGTATTTGGTCGAGTGACTAACTCTGTTTTGCGATTCGTGGCTTTATTGCCTCTCGATACTCTCCAACCCAGCGTCCACCAACTTTCCACGCAACAACAAAATCGTTCTTGTTGAATGCAACTTGGCTGCCATTCAAAATGAAAAACGTGTCACCTGCTTTTAGAGTAAAAGTATGGTTTCCTTCGGACAGCGTTAGTGTGCCTGAGGTTTGCAATTAGCGCACGTACTGTTCTACATTGACAAGATATTATCTGCCCTCGAGGACAATCCCTGATTCATCACAACCATATGGAGGAAAGGGTGCATTGCTTGATTCCCCCTTGGTTAAAATGAAGTATCCTGCAGTGATGGGCTTTTCGCCCCCCTTGGTTTTATCACTGGCATGAACATCACCTAATCCACGACAATTAGCAACTATTTTGCCGCGGGGGTTCCATCATGACTAACCGAGCTTCAAGTTTGAGTAATTTGGAAAAGCTTGCGCAGCTTTGTATGCTTCAGCTTTGGTTTTGACTTCGATTGGCATTTTGCTTGGTAATCGTTTTTCAGTATTTCGAACTTTGAATGATCTCGATAAGGTAGTTTTGAGTTAACCTGCATCGACCAATCAGTTAAATCTGATCAAGGCAGCCGAGGCATCCACCACTGTGAAAAGGTTCCTGCCGAGCGAGTTTAGTGGCGACCACAGCTTGCCCCACGAGTATGTGCAACCCCAAGTGACCTTTCTCTGGACAAAACGTACTGTTTTTCAAACGTGCCATCATAATCCAAAGAGAAACAGCTCCTTCTCTTGGCTTTGTTGAGGTTCTAACATGCAATAGCCTTAACCTAATGCCAGGGGGTGAGAATTTTGTGGAAAGCCAGCAACTGCTTGCGGCTACGAGCGCGGCTACGAGCCTAGGTTATACAATATTAATGACGGGAATGTTTATGGACTACTTTGGACTACCTCATTCACCCACACCAAGGAGAGGTCTCTATCACATCATTGATGTTCCTCGTGCCAGAGGCTTGCTCCCTGGCACTGGGAATACAAAAGCTGTATAGACCTTGATAAGCGATATTGCCAAGTACGTCGCCGCGATGCTTGCCTTCCCCAAGTGGGAGCACAAGTGGGAGCGGATGTACCATCTCGTGGGCGAAGTGATTTCTCCAGTAGAGATCATAGCCGCGGCCGAGAGAGTAACAGGTATGCTCACACAGCCTACTCAGACTTTCAATGTCAGGAAAAGAGTTCTAACTAATTCTAGGTACCAAATTTAATGTAACATGAGATTCGATGGAAGAGCTCTTAAAAGGCCAAATGACACTCTTTCCATCCAATGAAGAATTGATAATAGCATGGCCGGAAGCTAAAGAAGATACGCGGAGGACCGTGTCTCTGATTCATGTCGGAATTCAGAAGGGTGCTCTTGACGTTTCAAGGCTTGGCGCAAGCCTGAATGATGCTGTACCGCATTTGAAAGCTCTCAAGACGGAGGAGTATCTGTCCATGTGTTTTAGTGGCAAGAAATTAGCTTAGAGTGTTTTATTCAAAGCAAGGTCGGTCTGTCTTAACGGTATCAGAGCTGAACTCAATTATACTGCTTGTGCTATGATAGCTATATGTGATACCTGAGACGCAACGTGCGATACAGATTGTGCGACAAGTACTATTTCCAAGCGATTGCCAGCGTCATGACTTGAGCTCACCGTGCATGAAGTTGCACACCGCATTCTGCGAGTCTATGGCGTTGGGATTATGTGTATGGGCTGAATTTGGAATCGAGGCATAGTGGGCGCTTACCACACGTATGATGTCTGCTCTTGATGAGTAGCTCGCAATAGCGAGAGAGTATATTAACGCTTGGTGTATTCAAGGCAAACACCCCTCAACCATGGGTAATAGCCTCTGCTTTGATACAATAAGAATAGATCATAATTGCTAGTTCTCCGCTTTCAGGATACCACTGAGACGATGTTCCGGTGCATCTTGCTAGCACAAATAATCAAAGCACCGGGGTGTCGGGTCCATCGAGTTTGCATGGACAAGTAATGCCAGTCAATGACTCCAACACTATGTTCTAGACACAAAGTGCGAATTTGAGAGGACAAGCTAGTACGAGCTAGAAGTCTGACTGAGACGTGGGGATGCATTGCATGCTTAGATGTATCACGGATTGGGGGAGAATTGATTCAAGATAAGAATATCTATCCTGGTCGAATATGGAATACCCCTGCTTGATTGGGGAAGTATGTATAGTCATCCCGAGATATTGACCGTGTGGTCTCTGCCGATTGGCTCTTACCCCGTCTTATGCGTGCTGATCTGTCTTACACACACAGGTTGCACCTAAATCCTCCTGCGCCAAGACCACGGCGGTAAGTTCAGCTTCGCTATATCGCCGTTCAGATCTATCCTGCGATAGCCTAGGTAGCAATAAAAGGATGTCTCCGCATATTGTTCGGCACTCACCATGCACTCCACGTTTCTTGTGAGATTCCATCAACTCTAATCGCATTTGAGTACTCAACTATGTCGAATCCTACTGAGAAATCAGTGATCAACACGCCGCCCGAGACACTCGTGTCCGAGACTGTTGAGTATGTAGAGACTGAAGGGTTTGACGAGAAAGCGACGAAAAAACTGTTAAGGAGGCTCGATTGGCACATCATTCCCTTCATGTCACTCATCTACCTGTAGGTTGCGGCCCGCGGTCACAAAAATTCTTGGATCTGTAGTTACTGAACTTCTAAACAGGCTATGCTTTCTTGATCGCACGAATATTGGCAATGCTCGACTTGACAACTTAGAAAAGGACCTTCATCTACACGGTATTCAGTATAATGACTGCCTTGCGATCCTCTTCCCATTCTATATTGCGGCCGAGATCCCAAGCAACATGATGATGAAGAGAATCCGGCCTTCGATCTGGCTGACCTTCATCATGGTCTGCTGGTCGGCATCAATGATCGGACAGGGCTTCGTCAAGAACTATTCTGGCCTTATGGCTACAAGAGTGTTTCTTGGAGTCTTCGAAGGAGGCTTGTTCCCAGGCGTGAACTATTACATCACGCAATGGTATTGTAGGCATGAATGTGGCTTTCGTATGGCTCTATTCTTCTCGGCAGCTACCCTCGCTGGAGCCTTCGGCGGCATTCTAGCTCGTGGCATCGCAGAGATGAGCGGCGTGGGTGGCAAGTCGGCATGGGCGTGGATCTTCATTCTCGAAGGTCTGCTGAGCATTCTTGTGTCTTTCACCGCGTACTGGGCAATCTACGACTATCCTGCCACGTGAGTATTCTTCCCGAAATGGCTTACATATTTTCCTGACGTGACCAGAGCGAGATTCCTGACTTCCAAGGAGCGAGAGGAAGTCCAAAGACGGCTGACTGTAGACCATGGCCATCTCTCCAATGACTTTAATATCAAATACGTCTGGCAAGCCATCAAGGACTGGAAGATTTACATCCACATGCTCATCTGCATGGCAGGCTTCTGTCCTATCTACTCATTTGCACTGTTTCTGCCAACCATCATCAAGGCCATGGGCTATACTGCGAACAATGCACAACTGATGAGCGTGCCCCCGTATGTCTTCGCGTGCATCTTTACAATTGGAGCGAGCTACTTCGCCGACAGAGTGAGACAGCGGGGCGTGTTCCTGATGGGTTTTCAGCTGATTGCCATCTTGGGATTCGCCTTGCTAGCCGGGAGCGGAAAGCCACATATCCAGTATACGGGAACCGTCTTTGCTGCCATTGGTAATGCCTCCCAATTCAACTGACAGGGTGCTGAGCTGACCAGCCTTCGTCAGGAATATACCCACAAATCCCTCTAGGACTTGCTTGGAACAGTGGCAACATCGGCGGGAGTCTTAAGCGAGGAACCGGTATTGCTATGCAGGTCATGGGAGGCAACTGCGGTGGCATAATCGCCTCGTACGTCTACCTCTCGCGCGACGGGCCCCGGTACATCACCGGGCACAGCATCCTGATCGGTTTCGTCAGGCAAGTACATATCCCTTATCATTGCGACCTACAGCTGACTCGACTGTAGCATGGCCTTCTTCTTGACATTGTTCATGACAACGTGGTGCCGTAGGGAGAACGCACGACGCGAGACATTGTCGCAGGAGACTGGAGTGGAAGAGTTGACCGAGGAACAGAAGATGTTGGAGCGCGAGCTTGCGGACAAAGTCCCCTGGTTTAGATACACCGTATAGACAGACACTTTTGACTCAGAGCCAAGTACTAAGTGTCGGCATCACAGGGCTATGTTGGATGTATGAGGTGACATCAGTATGGAAGGCATAATACATGTTAGACACTAGAATACACGACTAGATATCGATCCTCTGAAGGAGTTTAGCTTAGTACAACTTGAAGACAGACTTACCCCTGCCTACCCCTGGAGCATTCTAGACCTCGAGAGAATCGAGTGCCTATCTAGGTCTTCGTCAACGGCGCGTGGGTAGATCATCTGGGCGATTGCTGCAGAAGGATTGCGCTGCACTACCTTAGCACAAAGCCGTCGTCCTAAGATAGCGTGTCGCGGTTCACGGGCGGGTGGTATACGGGTCCTGACTTTCAATTGTACTTCCTTATGTCTTCGCCGCTCTAGAAGCGAGTCGGCTTTGCTCTTCAGACCAATTGACTGTTCTGTGGTTATGTGACTCATTCTGAAGGGGAACCGGTGAACTGTTGAGGCGACTATCATGTAGTCTGCGGGTCACGGCACTGATATCGGCATCGGGCGCGTGACCAACGGTTTCAATATTTTCGAGTTGTATTTCGCCTTCAGCATCGTCTTGTTTTCCTTTCTTGTGTGGTGGATTTAGGGACTCGGGGCTACACCGTAAGCGAACGATGGCGCTCAGCTAGGCGGGTAGGCGCATCGATGGTGGCGCGATATGCCGAATTAAGTCCTGCGCTCCGGTAGTCCACTGCAAGAGCCGAAGTGAGCCGCCGCGCGGTCGAGACCAGCATCGGCGGAAGGGAGCGCGTACAGAGAGCAAACGAGCCCATGACCGAGGTCCTCGAGGCTTGGGATGGAGCGATGTTGGCTGCCACAACACGCAAGGCGATGGATGAAGAGCCACATCGTGATATGTATCAGGAGTGGTGGCGGTCTGTGTGAAGATGGTCCCGCATAATGAGCAGTTTAATACACTTTGGGGTCGGGTAAACACAATTGATGCTGTTGGGGTAATGCACACTCACTGGCGCGCGCGAGTAAGTGACATTGAAATCTATTGAGGGTACTTACAGTAGGTATGTAATCTACAGTTTTGGAATAGGCAGATAAAGGCAGTCACGATGTCATTACTCATCGCCAATTACTTCATTCCATTGATCACAGACAGCAACGTGGGAAAGAGCCTCACAAGCCAAGGCGCCAAAAGCGGAAGGAGAGACGGGACTGCGTGCCATGCATTCGCTCGCCCTTGCCCTCCCGAGTCAAAAAACCGTTTTCTGCATTGTGCATTTTGTCGTGTGTTGTCGTAAAGCGGCACGGCAAGCACGGCGCACGCACACATTGATAATCCAACAGACTGGAGGAGACCGATCACCGTGGAACTTGCCCGGTGACCGGCAGGCACACGCCCAGTGGCTTGGCACTAGCCGTGCTGGCCACTCAGGAATGACCATTTTCAGAAGGTGTGCCGACGGGGAAGGAGCCACTGTGGGGATTCTCTGCGGGGGGACCTTCTCAAGCTTGTCAAGGTTGCTCGACAAGGTTGAGAAGGAGCAAGTCGTAACTCGAAGCGGGCAGTATGCACTGCGACTGCCGCAGGGGGGCTTGAAGATAGCGCCGCCAGCTACTGCCAGCGATGATGTCAGCTGCCTGCTCTAGGCGCGGCGTTTCCTTTTCGTAGATCGACACAAATCGAAGATTGGTCGCAAGCAGCGAAAAGACAAAAGGTAGGTAGGTAGGTAGGCGCCTGGGATCAGGCACATACCTACCAGAATCATGGCCAAGGATGAGGTTCCAATGCATGCACGGAGGAGACAGAATCCCAGCAGCAGCCCGTGGCATTCCGTAGCATTGCGACCGAGCTCCTCCGCATCCCGCACACTCGACGGCCATGCCGGCGCTGATTCGGGAAATGACACCTCGTGATTCGCCCTGAGCGACGAGGGAGGCCATCTTTGATCCAGGACGATGGTGAGCTGCATCCCGTTGGTCCCCGCAATCTGCACAAACCAGGTCTAACAGGGAGTCTAAGTCCCACAAACACCCATCAGAGACCCCATCTCCTGATTCTCTGATCCCGCAATACGGCCGCCGCCCACGCCCTTCTCCCCTCTCGCTCGCTCGGTCGGTTGGGGTCACCCCAGTCCTTACTCACATCTCTGTGTATTATCTCCGCCTGACCTCTGCTGGTCCTGCCCTGGCGCGGCATCCTGTCCGGGCAGTCCCACAACCTTGTGGCTGGCGTGCCACCATGTCATTTGCTACGTTGCCCAACATGGAGACCAGGTCGTATCTAGCGTCAGCGACGATCGCCAGAGTCGGTGCAACCCCGCACAAATAGCTGACATATATCAATCTCAATGATCCCCGGACGATGACCCATTGGCCCTCTCGTCTGTCCGTAGCTCTCTGCTCTTGCTCTCCTCAGTCCCCTCGGTCCTCCCAGAGCTGCAATTGTGCCGACTGTGGTGACCGACCTACACGTTGAGCTTTGCCTAACGAGAAGAACAAGACGCATCACTAGCCATCAACATGGCTGAACATGAGAAACCCACCATCGAGCGCGACACCGACCATCATGGTGTCATCGGCGAGCAAGACCATCCGCCGCATCATGGCATGAGCGCTGGCCAGTACATCGCGACGCGCTTTTCTTCCCTCAAGCCGCCAATGGCCAAGGCACCAAACCCCTTCAAACTTCTCATGATGCTCAATGCCCGACAGTGGGCGTTTTTCTCCGTTGCGTTCATTGCTTGGGTACGCGACATTCCTAGAATTTTCTGCGACAATCGCCGGGTCTTACCGCTGACACTCTTCGCAGACGTGGGACGCTTTTGATTTCTTTACAGTGTCGCTGACTGTCAGCGAACTCGCCGAGACGTTCGGAAAAGACAATACTGACATCACTTGGGGCATTACTCTGGTGCTGATGTTCCGGTCTGTTGGCTCCATCTTGTTCGGTATCGCAGCCGATCGTTATGGTCGCAAATGGCCCTTCATTGTCAACAACGTGCTTTTCATCGTTCTCGAGCTGGTAAGTCATGGGCTCACCAAGCTTTTCCACCCCCCTTGCACCTGTCAGCTTGCTTGCAGGTCTCGGCACTTGGCAATGCTTGTGTCGCTGCCAAGACACGCCATGCCCGCATTGCCAAGGTCTTGGCCAGCATCATCGCGAGATACGCACCGCCTGTTTGGAGTTAGAGATTATCGAAGCTTTTCGACTTGCTGACAGTTAATTCTAGGGAACCGGCTTTACCAACACCTACGGGCAGTTCCTAGCATGTAGAGCTCTTTTTGGTGTTGCCATGGGCGGTCTTTACGGCAATGCAGCCGCTACCGCCCTGGAAGATCTTCCAGAGGAGGCTCGTGGATTGATGAGCGGTATCCTGCAACAAGGAGTAAGTGATTGTCGACTCAGATTCGAGTCAACATGCTAACCATCTCAGTACGCTTTTGGATACCTCCTTGCAACAGCTTTCGCCCGCGGTCTTGTTGATACGACTCCCCATGGATGGCGCCCGCTCTTCTGGTTCGGTGCTTGTCCTCCAGTGCTGATCATTCTCTTCCGCCTCATGCTCCCCGAGACCTCGGTCTACCAGCAACATGCCAGTGTACGACGTACTGCCGAAGCTGAGGGCTCCAGTATCTCCAAAACCTTCCTTCGCGAAGGAAAGGTCGCTCTTCGCCGCCATTGGCTTCTACTTGCCTATCTCGTGCTCCTCATGGCCGGCTTCAACTTCATGTCGCACGGATCCCAGGACTTGTACCCGACCATGCTCAAGAACCAATTCAACTTCAGCGCCAACGCGGTCACTGTAACTCAGGTCGTTGCCAACCTTGGCGCAATGCTCGGTGGCACTGTCGTCGGTTTCTGCAGCCAGATCTTTGGTCGACGATTTAGCATCATCGTCATGTGTATTATTGGTGGTGCTCTGTTGTACCCATATACCTTTACCAGCAGCCACGCAGTTATTGCCGCAGCTTTCTTCGAGCAATTTTGCGTCCAGGGCGCCTGGGGTGTCATTCCGATCCATCTGATGGAGCTGTCACCCGGCGCCTTTCGCACTTTCGTTGTTGGTACATCCTACCAACTTGGTAACCTTGTGTCATCTGCATCTTCGACGATCGAGTCCACCATTGGCGAGCGATTCCCCTTGCCACCCAAGGGCAAGACTGAGCGATACGCTTATGGTAAGGTTATTTGCATCTTCATGGGCTGCGTGTACGCCTATGTCATTCTGCTCACCTTCATCGGACCCGAGCACCTGCGCCGCAAGTTTGAGGTTGCCTATGATGCCGATGTACGTGAGGTTGCCGGTGAGGAGACGATCAGTCATGCCATGCATCGTCGCGAGAGAATGGGAATGGGGTTGAGTGACGAGGATTTGGCAGATGCGGCGGAAGTGAGACAGATGGAGGAGGCCGAGAGGACTCACGCAACCGCGGGGCGGCTGGCTTAACTTGCTAGCATGATGTCACACTGTAAGAGGGTTGATTGCGCGTTAGCTTGCGTGCTAAGCTATGGACGCGCCCGGGCAGATGAAGAGAAGATACCCAAACGATACAGATTATGAATTGCATGGATACATATAGGTCGTTACAAGTGGACGAGAATAAAAGAGTAATCGAATTTGGCTTTTTTGGCTGCTATCTTACTTGTTTGAGCCCCTAATGAACTGCCTGATCAAGCACATTAGGCTCACATCGTCAGAACATTTTATTTCACAATTAACCGCTAACACATGCAAGTCTGAATAGAACTAAGCTTTTACTTTATCTACCTCAAACTCTTTCGACTAACCTGACATGACATAGCGCCGTTGATTGGTGTAGTTTCGCTTCTGTCTCACCCTTGAAGTCACAGTCGACTGTGTATGCCCAAAAGCCCATATTTAACTACCTCGCTTTACCAAATGAGCCGGAGAGTAAAGACCTGTGGCATAATTCGACCGTATAACACTATCTTTGTACCGAGGGTTCACCGCTCGACCATCTACTGTCGGGCTGTATTGCGTCAGGACGACTACCTTGCGTGGTGCATCCTGGAGAGACTGGATCTGACTATCAAGCCACCGCAAGTCACTTTCGTGCGCTTCAAAGTGCTGATCAATGCAACCAAAGTCGTTGACAAGCTTGTTAAGGTCACTTTTGGCCTCGGCGGGGATGTGCAATGAAAGGGTACAGCCGAGGACATCATTGATATTGTAGCGTCGCTGGTCGAGGAGGACAACTTCGCCCAGCTTCTTCCCCTTTTGTCGTCTCTCTTGAAATCAAAGCTGGAATCTTTGGAATGTCGTCTTGACGAAGAACCACTTCGAGCGATAAAGCTCGTTATTTCCCCGGACGAGAACGCGATTTTGAATTGAGACTGTTGGCGAAGTAAGACGCCGATGTATCGGTCTTTGTGTTTCTCGGCGTTGCCGATGTCGCCTAATAGAGCGAGGTATGGGGCTTTGGGAGTGATGTGGAAATTGGTGTACTCGAGTTGCGCACCAAGGTGTAGGTCGGAGAGGATCCGGGAAGCTCACCATACTGTTTAGGAATTGTTACTTAGTGAGCCTTAGACCGGCTAGAACGTTATTACGGCAACATCCTTGTTATAATGCTGAAGCCACGCATAGGACACTTGTAAAATAAAAATCATTTTGGATATGAGCTCATGTCAGCTGGATCCTGATATTTCACAAGTCTGGCTCGGGTGACCTGGCGCCAGTCCATTTTTGGAATCAGATTTGATGTCAGATTCTTAATTAAGCCAGAGCAAGTCTCCAGAGCTTATCATCGAAGTTGTTCAATAATAGTCCGAGCCCTCACATGCTTAAAGTTCTCGGGCCAGTCAGGCTTCCCATGCTTGTCGACCGCACTAGCGGGCAAATCATATAGCAAAGGAGCAAGTGAAGACTTCCAGGCCCGCTGGCGGGCGATTTGCGTTTGTATCATCACAGTGATGAAGAATATGCAAGCAATCAGCACCAATGCGACTGTCAGGGTGAGCCAAGCCCAGTGAACGTGGATGTAGGTCTGAACGGCGAACACTTCTCCTTCTACAGCGGTCGCGTTTGGTCCCGAAAGCATTCGATAAGACATGCCTGCTGCGATATTTTCCATTGTTTTGGTGATGTTGGGGCTGTTATACAGCGCCGCGATGTATGATGAAGGTATGCCGTCCTCCATGTCAAAGATTGTCAGGCATTCGGACATGTAATTTAAGTCGTAGTAGTTTAATTCAAATGTTTTGTTTCCAGGGAAACTACCATCGAGGGCTTCCATGGGGAAGATAGGTCCCATGCCTGTGATGTTGAGCGAGGACATTTGCAGTGTTCCCGGCTGAACTGTGCCGTTGACGGACGTCCAGTTGGAGTACGCGATAGCAGATACTTCGTAGCTGCACTCGTAGGCAGTTAAAGTATCCTGCCAGCTGGTACTGACGTTAAAGTTATTATCCAAGTCGTCATTGCTGAACCAGATCATGCCGATATTGGACAGGATCGGTGCCCATTGGTCGGGACTGGTCGTATTAACGCTGGTATTAACCGTCGTGTGGTAGAAGCCATTGTGCGCGTCTACGCCCGCATAAGAACCGATGTGAAACCCGCCTGGTAAAGTATAGTTGCAAATTTGGTTCGGAACTCCTTGTTTGAGCTGGATACAGTTCTGGACCGTTTGCTTAGTCACATCTTTGCACTGATTCTGGATTCCAAGCGAGCTGAACGTTGGGTAAGTGCAATTTGATCCAGGACATGAGAAGGGAGGAGCGGGAACCAAGTCATAGAGCCCAGATATGGCTGCTGCTTGAAGTTGTCCATCTCTCGTGCTACCTGTTATAGAGCGTTAGACGCAGGCGTAGATTGAGTTGTAGATTCATATCTCGAGGCTAACTCACTCATAACATTGCTATTACCGTTCAAACCCTTTCCTTGATTATCATATGCCTGGGATCGAGTGACCGAAGAATGCAGCCCGAGAGCTTGTGTAGGCATTTGCCCGTATGACAAAATCTGCTGGGTGAAAGGATCAAGAGCGATGGCTGCTATGGTGACAATACATCCAACGTAGGCAATGAAGGTCGCTTTCCGCGCGAACAGGAAGAACTTTAGTGCGCCCCAAGGACCTCTACTCGCATCGTCAAATATCTGCAGGTGCTCTAGACTTCGTGTTCCATCTGTTAGCTTTAGTCCAAGCCCAAAGATCAGTGCACACCACATACCTTAGCCCCTGCCTTTCGAGATACAACCATTTCAATTGACTCAAACTTTCAGCTACCGGCAGAATCATTGCCGCTTTTGAAGCTGTAGATAAAACGGAGATGACAGCGTTGGGAGAAACGGCAATTGTCCAAGAGGAAAGTAGCCTTCCGTCAATTTTGGATAGAATTATGACCATCGCGACAACACAGAGCATGCTGAATAAAGTGCCCACAATCTCCGCACCCCAGCTCTTTCCCCAGCTCTTTGTTCGATAAGGTATTGGAGGCTGTTGGTATGGAGGATATGGACCCTCCTGCACAAGTTGCAAGTGCTCTTTGAGGTTTGGCGGATGGTGATTGAGTTGCTGACCTGAATCATGATTCATGGTACCCGCTGCATCTGGAGGGTATTCCGACACCGGTGACACGACGTAACACTCGTTGTAGAACCCTCCTGCTCCATTGTATGCGGTTGTTTGCTGCCAGCCATGATGGTACCTTGGATCAGGCGCATGGCTTTGGCTATTCAGCAATTCGATGGCATCTGGGTGTTGATGCGGCGCAGCCATCTTAGCATCGTATCATCGAGTTCAAAAGTGTATAAATCAGAGATTCTGAAAACTTAAATTTGATGACTTCAAAGGCAAAGGGCCCGGAAGCATGTGAGGCCAAGGGGGCCATTTGAATCATTACAAGTCCTAGCGCTGTGGTCGGGCTCCTGCCGATGTCTTCTTGGCACTGGTAGAGTGCTCAGGGGCTCGAGCATATTGCCACAAAGGGTCGTTTACACGGGAATACCTGGTTGGCCAGCCCGCATTCAGATCATACACGGAAGGATTTCTAGTGCTGATCTGTAACGCAGTGCGAGTTACACGGATAGGCAGTCAGTCGCGCGGGTGTTACCCTTGTCGAAATGCTCAGCTGGCCGTCAGCAGAACGGACCAGCCGTACCATGGTCTCAGATTTTGTGATGTCGCGCCAACATAACAGGTATACATTGTCTTTATATCGATTCACACCCCGGGCCTGCGACTCTATATAGCTAGGCGGCCACGTCGAGGTCTTTCACCCCATAGCAAACGAGAGCGTTTCTCAAATATCTTGGGAAAATTAGGTATTAAGCGAACAGTCTAACAAACTGAAATATATAACAGCTCAATCACAGCTCGTTCCCAAAATCTTCAAACGGAGGCTCCATTTCTGGAGAATCAGCCGTGTGAGAGATGCGACACTTCGAAAGGAACATACCTACTGTGGATCAAGGCATATGATAATCGACTAGTCTAAGCCCCAGCATGGCGATTATATTAACGCTGTTTTATTTAAGCTAAAAAAGAACGTGAAAGCACAGTTTGATATGCATTATCGGAAACAAATTTTGAGAAGTGATTGCTTTCACAAGCTATGTTAAGTGAATTCAGCGGTGCAGTGATGTTTCCAATTTCGGCACCATTGTGGTGGGTGACAGGCGATTCTTTTCAACCCGAGAATTGAAAAATTGTTTCCCAATTTGATCCAACCAGACATTATTATATTCAAAACATCATCGGCAATGTAGCCATGGGCGTTGGCATTTGGGGAGGGACTGGCACAACAGCTCAACGGTTGCCAGCGTGGAACACGACATATGCGATGGAAAATGCAGGACAACATAAAAGCTGTTCGTGTGACATACTGAGACCTAAGCATGAGACCTACCCCATGCAATTTACATTGGCTACTTATCACTATCTACATTTATCACCTTAGTTGAAGCTTGCCTAGCTATCTGAAACATATGAAACAAATTCTTGAACCCCAGATTCAAGATGTGCAAGATATATGGACAATACCTCTGGCACTGCGGACACCACATGACAGCCGTCAGTAGAGAGATGCTGCAAATTGGGTGGTGTGCAAAACGAAAGTATCAAGAGGGACGCAGGGTAAACACAGGGACCTCCAGCCCATGTTCAATTCGAGAGATTGTGTTCAATAATGATGACCAAACTCAAACCACGTATAATCATTGGAGGATGTGTAGGTCTTGTCAGGGAGATTTCGAGAACCAAAAATTTGTCCTGGTGGATTTCGAAATAAAGGCGTCGAGAGAGGAGGGACATGCGGAAGGGGTAGACAAGTCAGCACTCGAGAATATCTTCTCTGACTTGAGGCATCAGGTTCAAATCTGCTGGGATGAATACTATGATGATGAAGACGACACGCGTTACGATAACGTGAAAACACGTCTGGATAATGTGACTAATGAAATGAAAGGTAAGGTTCATTCACTGATTCTCAAGACTCGAGCCAGAAACTCGGAGATACAAAACGTATATGGCAAGTCGCAGAGACAGCAGTAATATTGTGAAGTTCACAAGAGAGTTCAATTAGAGTATTTACTATTATCGTTACATATAGAAAACAGGTTGACGTAGCTGTTAGAAATCGTGGCATCTAATCCAATAGATAGAGTGTAAAAGATCTGAAAAGTCCGGGAATTCCATAGGCCAAAGAGAAAACCTATCGGTAGTATAAAGAGTCATGCGCTACTGTCGTTTCCGCTGGCAATGTCCAGAGCGGACGGGTCATAGAATAAGGACTAATTTAACGGCTGCCAACATGCGACACAACATATGCGATAAAATATCACGGAATTATATAAAGACAGGTCTTCTTGCGTTATGAGCTTCCAGAAATAACTTGTTTGTACTATGAGATCCCTCGCTTGGCAATGAGAGTTATACTAACTTTGCTTACCCAATTTGCAGCATTTCCTGTACGAGAACTGCTCGTTATAAAGTGATTTGCCAACATGTGCTTAGAATATGATAGTTGCGCCTGGCAGTGTGGTCACAGGATGTCAGACAACGCAAAATATCGCAGTGCAGTTGGATGGTGTGCCAAGCGTTTAGATCAAGAATATGGTGGGGCCTCCACTCCCTGTTCAGTTCGAGAGGCTGTCTATACCGACAACAACGGGGTTCGAAGACAAGCTACGTACAGACATTGGAAGAAATGCTCACCATGTGAGGCTACTTGGTGCAGGCAACGGCATTCTGAACTCGAGGTTGAGATTAGTGTGCAGCGAAGATTAGCCATTGAAGCAGGAGTACAGAATCAAAACGTCGATGCCATTATAGGTGAAGTTGAGGGAGTCAGTGTACGGAGCTGGGACGACTTCCTAGCATCAGGAGACAGTTCACGGTACGCAAACTTGACTTCGGCTCAGAATCAGATCATTAGTGGAATGCATAACAATATACATGCGTATATCTTAGACGCGCAGCGAGAAAATGAGAAAGAAAAGCTACAAGAGGGGGGCCAAAGCAAGAAGGACAAAGGAAAGAAGAAGAAAAGCCATAAATAATTAAATTTGGTGTGTGGGAAAGGGGATATTATACGATAGGCTCTTGTAGAGCCTAAACTCGTTATAATGAGGTTGAGCTTCGTCTCATTGGAATTTGTTTTCTTGTTTGGGGCTAAGGGAGAATGGTAAGGAGCGATCTTGCTTCTGTGAGTTGTTATCAACGTCTTTATAAACATTTCATGCTATCAAAATACTCCCAATGCTCCTGGTGCGCCGAGGTACTGAAGATTCTTGAATAGATATAGTCTTTGTGTGTTCGTTCTATGTTGAAACACGTGGGCGCCCGCCTTGGCGACCGATCTTCCCTACCATAACGGCAAGACTAAGAGAAGCAGGCATAAGTTGATGCTATAAGGTTCGTCAACATGTCACATCAAACACAACCTTTATCGTATATCAGCCCCAGTAACCTACCATTATCTTAACTCAAGGCTAGGCTTTAGCAGATAATTGGATCACCGGTATGAATTACATCCACCACGCAGAGCTTCTGGCCAACATGCAGCACCTGCTCTCCGGGGATGACATCTTGACCGGGACGGATCAGCTCGGAGGAAGACCGCTTTGGGCGTGCTGCAGCGAACGCAACCAACAACTTCTAGCAACGAGTCTTTTGATTTGCTAAAAGTAATGAAATTGCTAGTCCTCCTGCAGGTAGTCAGATTAGAAATGCGCAGTCGCGAATGACAAGATGGGTATAGCGCATGCAATTAATGACCTGGTCAACTACGGAACATGGCCACACGCGACGCCTTCTCGCTTTTACTGGTTCTGTGTCGCGGTTGATGTGCGTCTAATGAGGAAGGAGAAAAGCCGTCTACCACCGCATCTTTCTGCGTCTCATCCGCCAAGAATAGAGATTGAAAAGCCCAGAGTTACCGCGACCGACGAGGCTAGCATTCTGACGAGATCAACAAATGTCTCTGAAATTCAATGACATGAAACGAAGGTTACAAAGCTAAACTTTGCTCACGTCAAAACTAGCAAAAGCGAGTTGCAATTCATGGCTGAAGTGGTTGGTATCATCTCGGCAGTCCTTGGAGTGCTGGATGTGTCAACACGAGGCAGCCAAAGACTTCACCAAGTCGTTAAGGCGTGGATCAACGCCCCTGCGGAGATCCTTGCTTTGCATAACGAGATTGTAGATCTCAGATATCTCCTCGACAATATTCGGGATGCTCAAGCAGTAGTTGAGGTCGAGGCTGATGCACAAGGCAATTATGGCTTTGTCACGGCCCTCCGCACGCAGCTGCGTAGAGCGGAAGAACACTTCCAATCATTAAATGGTATCCTTGACGAACTCTCAAAGATAAAGAAATATAGGAAGAAGACGAAATGGATTTGCCGAGAGAGGAGAGTGGAGCATCTCAAGAACGGTATTCGCCTAGTACGCGAGCACATCAACAATCTTCTTCAAGTCCACAACATGTATGTTCACTGACAAGGCGTCAAATCTTCAAATTAAAATTTCAATTCATTCAATTAGTGATTTATTTCACTAAACTTACTTGAAGAACTTGGGAAAACGAAGGAAATTCCAGAATTCATGAACAACAAAGAAGCTAATGTTTCACTATTCAATAGTACGCAATCAAGTCGTATCGGATTAGAAGTCGTGTCAATTCGAGCTGTTGGAAAGAAACAGCATCAAGACGTATCCGACTCGTTGGATCTGCTAAGTCAAAGCTCAACCACCACCCAAAAATTATTAGACTCAAGCCACCATGACATAATTCGCCGCTTTTCACCACTCTCACAGATTCATGATACAACTCGAGAAGTTCTTTCCTTAGTATCGACACACGAAGAAGGAATGGAGGCTTTTAGAAAGGAACTCAACGACGGTTTCCGGCAACTATCTTGGCAAATAAATTCCAGGCTGGACACGCTGAATTTGGGAAGAGCCTCAGAGTCAGCACCATTACGAGATGAAGCAGACTTGGGACACTTAACGCGACGCTTTCAGTACAGAGGTGTCAGTGTGAGAACTCGGAGACGAGGCTTTTGTTTATCCGATTGTGCCTGCCGTTGCCACGCTGCCGGTGATTCGTCACATCAATGGCGGCTGCCGCGAGGGATGTCATATCTTTTCGGATCTCTCTTCGTTCGATTTACTGGGCGGCCAGCTTGCTTGCCCCCTTGCAACTCAAACATCTGCCTTGGGAAACAGAGTACTCGGATAGCAGCTACCTACATCTTTCCTACATGGCTGATTTGGTGTCATATCTATATAATGGTTGAAAGGGCTGCTGGACAGAAGCCCGAAATGGTCCTCGCGCTGAAGAATCGCGTCGCTTTTCGGCATAGCCCCTTTTTTCAAGCCGCAAGGCATGGAGACGTTCATGAACTGGCTCTTATCTTGAAAGCGGCTCCTCATTGCCTCAATGACATTGAAGACATCTATGGTACCACTCCTTTATATTACGCTGCTTTTTACGGCCATTTGGAAGCAGTCAAGCTTTTGCTCAGGGCTGGTGCCAATCCCGAGCAGCAACATGATGATGGAGATTCTGTAAAACTGATCTTTGCCCGACTCGCTTTAACCCAGGGTGATGAATCAAAAATATTTCGCCTCTTAGGTATCCAGGATTATTTGAAGGACGAAATGATTCCAGAACTCATCAAGGCAATTCTACGTTTGCCTGGATGCTGCAAAATGGAAACACTCATACAGAAGAATAAAGCAAGAACCTTGGCTGAAGCCAAGACGGAAGATTGTTTTAGCCATACGGCACTTCATTGGGCTTGTCTACGTGGGGACGTAGACGCCGTACGTAGGCTACTTGATTTAGGGGCGGACGTGCAGACACGCGCTCAAAGTTGCACGCCCTTGCATTGCGCTGCGCAGAACAAAGAAGGGGGTTTGGCTTGTGCAAGACTCCTCTTTCGGGCTGGTGCAAAATTCAAACTTGACGGACAAGGCGAATCGCCATTACAACTAGCGTGCAGGTTTGGCGCAGCAGAGACAGTGGCAGAGATGATTCGCAATGGTGCATCTCTCGAAGAACGGTCTGTTCGCGGCAATGGATTACTTCATTATGCAGTTGAGGGCAACAACTTTACAGTCGTGGACTGGCTTCTGGACCATTGCGGCGTCAACATTGAGACTATAACACTAGGACGATATCCTGGACATACAGCGCTGATGCTCGCTGTATATCATAACTCTTATCTATGTACTCGGTCACTGCTTCTCCGAGGCGCTAGCTATTATATCTATAAAACTGAGCAAGTCTGGACAGTCCTTCACCAAGCTGCTAATTATGCCGACACTCACACACTTCACGTTCTCGCACACCACGGTCTGAAAGGAATCGATATATACGCTAAGCACAACGGCCGGACAGCCCAAGACATGATCAATTTGCGTGAGGCAGAACCCGAAATTATTGCAGCTTTTGACGAGCTACTGGACGCAATTAGGCAGGCAAATGCAAGACAAGAAGTGGACCAGGCCTTTCGGAAACTATGTCTCTCACGGAAGGATGCGATTATTTGAGTGATGAAGCAAGTGAGGATGAAACCTTCTACGATGCTATGGAGTACCATTTTTCTTGACTCATTATACAAATATCCTGGGACCTTGACCAGCGCATGGGAAGACAGGAGAAGGGTGTTGATGAGGGGATTTCATACAAAGATTAAATGCCATATTATTTCTTAGTTGATACATCGCACCTTCGGTCGAATACGCCATTGAGGCAGTGGAATTCATTGTGTGATTTTGACAATCTCTCTAAAGGATGCCAGAGATTACACATTGCGAATGCCGGAAACACATTCCCACGGTTTACATTTATTTATATGAAGAACTATGCCTTACTGGACGAAATCAAGACCCAGTGCGACCCTCCTCGAGGAGCTCTTGGGGTCGTAGTAGGGGCGCTCGCCAAGTCCAACAGCTCTGTTACCAAATCTATCTCCAAGACCGTTATAATCAAATGTGGCGGTATGGAACACACTCCTGTTATCCCAGATAGCTGCATATACTAAATTAGCACATATCATGGCCAATGCCAGTGGGACGACTAACCAATGTCGTTCTTGTTTTTCCATTTTAGTCGGACCTGAAGATCGTGGTTCTTGTAGACTAGATCTAGGAACCAACTGAGAAGATGCTTGCTCTCATCTTCTGTAACTCCGTTGACGTGCTTTACGTGGCCGCCGACAGGAAAGATACTTTTCCAACCAGTGACGGGGTTTGTTCGGACGAGAGGGTGAATTGCCTTAAGCTCCGAGCCGATGTTCTCGGGCGCACCACGCTGCTTGTCATATAGACTAAACCCACCCTGCTGTGCGACTTTGGCGAAGTATGGCTGCTCGAAGGTTACCGTGAGGCTTTCGAGAAACTTTTGGTACGGTTCACTGATGCGATCATAAATCTCATAACCAGAAGCCCACAGGGTATCTATAATAAAGACGGTCAATGGTATTGTTTATAGCTATAATAGCTCGAGGGTGAAGGCAAAAGTGTGTAAACTTACCACCACCAGTTGAAGGGAGCTCTACAAGTCGCAAGGAGGTGTAATCGGCCGGCACAGGCTCGAAGGCAATATCGGAGTGCCATTGAGCGCTGTTGCTCTTCTTCACGCTTAATTGATCATCTGTCTGTCTCTTGTAGATTTGCTTGTGTTGAACAGAACTGATAGTGCTGATCTCTGGGTCACTTCCACCTAGGTCACGCTCTGAGTTCAGAATAGGATGAATATGGAGCCCAGAAGTTGCGGGCCGACCAGTCAGCTCGCCTAAGCGGAGAATCAATTTCTTTTGCAATTCATTATCTAATTCATCCTGGGCGCGGAAGAAGACAACGCCGCGTTGTGAAACTGTAAACGTCTGTCAGAGTTCTCATCCATGAAAATCAAGCATCACGCGATGAATTACTGGTAATGGCGAGATCTCTGATAAGCTCATCCGAGTTTGGTGCATTGAGCCACTCCACCAAGTTGGCCTTGGGAAACTCCCGTCCAATAGATGGAGTTACGTCAAAAGACTCATAGCTGTCCAAGACACCAGAGAGCTTGAGAGGCTCTCGGCTCTGAGACTTGGTCGAGATGGGCGTCTCGTCGATTGCAGATGGCGCCATTGTGCAGCGAAACGATGTGGCGGATCAGCTGGTACTCCAGATCGAGAAAAAGAAGCAAGTGGTGGCTTGAGATCGAGACCGTGATTGCAGCTCTAGACACCTCGACATGTTGCCATCACCAGGTGGGAATCCCTGGAAGTTTTATACAGGCGAATGTAGCATTCGCATGGCGATCTAACCTACTAAAACGATGGGTAGTCGCCGATTCGACGACTTGCTGTCTCTACAAGGACACAATAGCGACAGCCGAGTGAGACACATTGCGGAAGTTTTGTTGGCGATTTCGTGCTCGAGATGGACCCATGACATATCTTAGATCAAATCAAATGGATGCAACCAATGCATGGTGTATTGGAAAAAAGCCAATCGTAAAGAGCCAAGCAACCATTACGTGTGGGGTTATGCCAATAGTAACTGCACTCGATGTTCCCGAGATGCGAAGACTTAAGAATTAATGAAAAGGCCTCTCGCGTCAATCTAAGAGGACGAAGCTTCTTGCCCGCTCTGGGCACCCCGTATTGCGACTCGATTCACTCCCCACAATCCCGGATATCTGGAATGATGTGAAGAGATGCACGCCACCAATATACGTGGGGGTTGAAGTCACTTGCCTCGTGCGCAGCCCGATTGCTCACGCTCAGCGTTTCTTATTTATTAGCCGATACAGCAGTAAGCCACCATCAGAACTTGACGGAGTCTCGGTAGTTACTGTAGACCCCGTATGACACAATTGCAGCCGCTGGGTTTCCCCAGCCTTGACTCCATCGTAGGCGTCCTGGAGACTGCGCTATGATAGTGAGCTCCCTCTTTCATGACAAGCCTAACAAGAAATGCCCAGGGGTTGGCGGGAAAGCTTAAGATGTTGAAGATTTAATGCCAATGTCGTGACAGACATGGTGTTCTTGTCAATTCAGAATTGTCCAATCCAATTGCATTATCTTATCACTTATTGGCCGGCTCTATGGCCCGCGATTTGACCGTAGCGCATCACGCCGTTGCTCCGCGCCGTGACGCAATTTTCAGCCCCGACACGACACGCGGTTGGGAAACCCGTTTGCTGCCGATTCTATGCTGTCCTTGACAGATTTTAACAGCAAGCCACAAAAGCCCAAAGACATGTTCTGGATCGCAAGTGGCTTTTTTCTGCTGAAGTCCTCACTTCTCTAGTTTATAGCCCAGGAAATCGCGGACTTCGTGATAGTACCGAGGAGCTTTCATCGGTGATGAAAGACGAAGTCCAAACGGAGAATTTGACTAGTAAAACTATATCAATCACTCCCAAAGATGTCTCAATTGTTCAGCTGGTCGTAAAAGATGGCACAGTGACCTGGAATTCTTTGAGGGGTTTGTTTTCCTGAAGCGTTGGTCGAAATCGAGCACTTCTATAAGGAAAATAAACTGTCTCGATACGGGGCAGCTGGAATAATTCTACAATTTCATAGTAGCGAGCCATCAAAATTACAAGCAAGTGCATGCCTGTAATCTCGCCTCATAATAGCAATTCAGGAGACTTATCCCTCCAGCTCTTCGTAGCTTTCCGCCAGTGTTCCACGCGTCCTAGCTCGGACAGGAAGTGATTCCGCCCGGGGTGCTATGCACAAGTCTCGAAATTTCTCTTATCCATCACGCAATACGCTCTACGTGGATGAACCGCTCTTGGCATACTACAATTTTGCCATCAATGAGGCAGTTATAATCCGGATGTCGGTGTTCGATAGCGAGACTCGGCCGCTTCTGCATTCAAAGTGGCAGGTTTCTATGGAACTACTCTGTGATCCCCTGCATGCTTGGATAGTAGAGTGTCTCATTGGTAACCACTCAGAGGCAATCGCCACTTTGCCATCAGGCCCGGCCCTCGGTGCTTCCAGGGCAGCTCCCGGCTATGCTTTGGACGATCTCCTCGTGGATAGCTCACGGTCTAGCCTCCTGGTACGGCTAGCGGTTGAAGCCATGTCTGAGGTCGTGATAATGTGGTGTTCCTTCGCCATTGATGGCTTTGCCCCAGTCCCATCCAGATGGATCTCGGGGTGGGGGGCCCAATTCGGGCAGACACTCCAGGGGTGGTCACTCACATCAAATGCAACATAAAGAGCGGCACCTGCAGTGTAGATGATCAACCAAATTTCTCACCACCCCTCTGCTCAAACCTTAGTAGTCCCAACTTGACCCTTCAAGCAAAGCAAGATGGCGACCGTCCTTACAAGGGAGAAAAAGGCTTCGGCCCCCGAGGTCCAGATCACCAGCAAGTCCGAGCCGTCGACGTCCAAGACGTCCCTCGACGAGATCCCCAGCTTGGGTGTTCCAATCGAGGAAAGACGTTTCTGGTGGCAGCGTGCGAAGGCTTATGATCCTGATGCCATTGCAACCCAGGTATGGAATCACTACATCATCCATCTTGGAAGAAAGTCATAACTGACAAGCTTGGCAGCCTAGCGTTTTTGATGACCCTGATACGGCCGCAAAATACCAGCCTAGATCCGACTGGTAAGCTTCACGGAGCACTCATGGTTCTGTAATAACCCTAACTCTCTGTAGGGAGAATCTCCATCGTTTCAACCCCCTCGCAAGATGGACCTGGGGAGAAGAGCACAAGTTGATTCATAAGATCGACTTCCGCATTATGGTCTGGGCCTGTATCATGTTCATGGCTCTAGAACTCGATCGAGCAAACATTTCCCAAGCACTGACAGATAACTTCTTGCCTGAGTTGAAGCTCAACACGAATGGTAAGTGGGATGTGTCCGTCTCTGTCCAACCCCATCACTAAATATATCTAGACTACAATCTTGGAAACACCGTATTCAAACTGTCTTTCCTCTGCGCTGAGCTGCCATCTCAATTGGTGTCGAAATGGGTTGGCCCTGATCGTTGGATTCCCGCCCAGTTGATCCTTTGGAGTATCGTCGCTAGTTCGCAGTTCTGGTTGTCTGGCCGGACATCGTTCCTCGTCTGTCGTTCACTTCTTGGCATACTTCAAGGTGGCTTCATTCCTGACGTAAGTTGTGTTCCTGGGACTGGTCCCAAATCAAAGGCTCACAACTAATTAGGTCATTCTGTATCTGTCTTACTTCTATAAGCATCACGAGCTGTCTCTCCGCCTTGGCTTTTTCTGGACAGCCATGAGCATCGCGGATATCCTTTCTGCCCTGCTTGCCTATGGTCTGTTGCACATGCGTGGCGTACACTCGTACTCTGGCTGGCGCTGGCTATTCCTGATTGAGGGTCTCATCACCCTCGTTGTCGGTGTCGTGAGTTTCCTGCTCATGCCTGCTGGCCCGTGCCAGACTGCAAGTTGGTTCAGAGGAAAGAATGGCTGGTTCAATGAGAGGTGAGCCTCGACTCTCAAAGCAAAGCATGGAGACTCAAGCTAATAATCATGACAGAGAAGAGACCATCATTGTCAACAGAGTCCTGCGAGAGGATCCTAGCAAGGCCAGCATGCACAACCGGCAGCCTGTTACGCCGCGACTACTCTGGCAAAGTCTTAAGGACTATGACCTCTGGCCCTTGTACTTCCTCGGCCTCAGTTTCCAGATTCCCATGACTCCCCCAACACAGTACCTGACATTGTCACTCAAGGGACTTGGCTTCGACACTTTCCAGACCAATCTGTTAACGATTCCGTACACGGCTATACATAGTGAGTCTAACTACTCAGTTTCATGATGTTCAAGAGATACTAATGCCATATAGTCGTTACGATGCTTATCCTGACCTACGTCGCTGAGATCTGGAAAGAGCTCACTTTCACAGCCATGATAGGCCAGGTCTGGGCTCTGCCATTCCTCATCTACCTTACTGTGGCCAACACCGGAAACCTCAACCGATGGGTACTGTGGATTGTCACCACACTGCTTCTTAGTTATCCCAATGCCCACCCCATCCAGGTCGGCTGGAACTCGCGAAACTCCAACACTGTGCGCTCACGAACCGTCTCGGCTGCCTGCTACAACATGTTTGTGCAGTCTGGAGGTATCATCGCGTCGAACATCTACCGCAAGGGTATGCCATCAATATCAATTTTAATTCAATCAGCCAGGATGCTAACTGCTTCATAGACGATGCCCCTCTGTACCGCCGCGGTAACAGGCAGCTGCTCGCCATTGTCTGCATGAACATTGTGCTGTACATCCTGACCAAGGCGTACTATGTCTTCCGCAACAAGCAGAAGGCTCGCAAGTGGGATGCCATGTCCGAGGACGAGAGACTGCACTACCTGGCCACCACCAAGGACAAGGGCAACAAGAGACTGGACTTCCGCTTTGAGCACTAATGCGGCGTCACCTTATCCTGGGCTAAGTCTCTGCGTCTCGGATTCGTTTCTTAACGGAAGAGGCTCTCAGAAATTTCACGGGTGGCTGGTATGACGGCGTCGTTTCAAGATGAGAGGTTGGGAGTCATAACAGGTCAAGGTGCCCAGTCTTTTGAGGTTGGTGTTTAGGCGGGGGGATAGACGAGATACTCTAGATTCATTCTGTCTTTGCTTTGATCTTATGACGAATAGAAAAGAGTCAAATGAACTGCGCCGCCTATCTTTTGTCGCTGCTTTTGTCAATCAAGACTGAATAAATGTCCATGGTTTCTTCACATCCCACTAGTGCTCCGATCTCATTCAGGTCGATTTAATACAGTTTCTAGCTGAGATCTCAAATGGAGCGGGGAAGCGATGGATGATTTAACATGATCCAGTGCGTCGCTTTCCTCGTGTTAATGGCCAATGGCTGTGAGGTGGAAGGCTCTTGGAGGCGCGATGACGGCGAGAGAAGGAAGCTGAATTGCAGGGTTCTAGAGGTGAATGACAACGAATCGGAGCAAAACGACAGCCCAAGATTTTGATCGTGTGCTCCGCTCAATGCCTTGATTTCCCCATCCCACCTGTGGTGCGAAGCTTGCAGGCCTTGGCGGCCGGTAACTAGCTAACAGTTTAGTGCCGCGATGCCACTAGAGAGCGCTAGGGAGCAAACGGCGACCGAGACCCCCGCTAACGGTCGACGTCATCCCGCTGTAGTAAACATGCGAAAGCTCCGTCCTTCCAGCCAGAGCCGAGCAGCTCTCTTGATTTCCTGCTTCGTCTTCTGTCAAACCGCACGCCACGAGGACGGTCAAGAACTGGCTCATTTTCTTCTTCACGAAGATCTCGTCTTGCGAACGAGCCCAGTTACTTACGGCGATCTGCCTCTTGCCTTATCTCGCCAAACCCAGAGGCAAAGCGGTTCACTAGCCCCAGTGCCCAGCTTCCACTTCCCGTCGTTGCGATCGTGAGACTCGTCCAACAGAGAGCACTGTAGTCTGGTTTCTGCATTGATAGAAGCATTCGAGCTATCAAAGTTCGGCATCAGAACTGGTTATGGCTCCCAACGCATCATTCGGGTTCAATTGGAGGAAATTGCTAGGATGGGACAGACATCCTTCGCGCGGCCACCATGATCATTGGTGGCTCGAGTCCCGTCGCCGCCGTGAGTCTTCCCTCTCTTCGCTACTGCCTCCTCTTGTATGAAGTACAGATTCTAATTTCTTGCATGATCTAGTTCTACCGAGCTACCACGAAGAGGCACTCGAGTCCGCGATCCCGGCCCCCGAAGTCACCAAGATTGCCCTCCGACTGCACCACCTCATCGAGGAGTGTGTTCCTGTCGAGCTCGAGGAGGAGCAGATTACCACGCCACATAGCCGGGTCATTACTCCCAAAGTCATCCAGGCCGCTAAGGAAGCAGGAGGCCAGCAATACAAGGCTTGTGTTATCTTCTGCTTGCTGGTAAACAAGCGCTGGTTCAAGCACCAAGCTCAGGTCGAACTCTGGGATGCTGATCTGCACGGCCTTCGTGCCATAGCGTGCGAAGTTATTGCGAAACGAATCATCGAAGGCGAAGAGGATATGGACTACCTACTCCATAATGTTTTGCTCAAGCGGTACTCGATCATGGTCGATAATGAGGCAACTCCACCCTCGAATGTCATCGAAAAGGCTGTAGATCTGCACGCATTGCGTATCATTGGCTCCTCCGGCTATCAAAAATGTATCAGCTACCTGTGGAGGGGATGGTTGGTACAGGACGAGAACGATCCATCCAATTTTGTCGATTACAAGGACAAGGACAGCACCTCCTACTGGGTACACCTTGACCCCGATCGTATGCGCGCCCCAATGTATCAGAACTCGGCACAGCTCCTCATATCATTGATCTACCTGGCTCTCTATACTGCAGCTATCAATACCATCAACCGTGACGGTGACCTCGATTTCGTCGAAGGCTTGCTGTACGCCTTCACTCTTGGGTTTCTGTTTGACGAGTTGACCAAATTCTGGAAAGCCGGTTACCATATCTTAGGCTTCTGGAGCGCCTTCAATGCCATCCTGTATGGGTTGCTGATGACAAGCTTGGCGCTGCGCTTTGCTGCGTTTGCCCATCCTGCAGACCCCGGAGGCGAGGATACTCGCCGCACGGATTTGAATAAATTAAGCTACAACTTTCTGGCCTTTTGCGCGCCCATGTTCTGGATGCGACTGCTGCTCTACCTCGACAGCTTCCGCTTCTTCGGTGCCATGTTGGTTGTACTGAAGGTCATGATGAAAGAGTCAATTATTTTCTTTGCCTTGTTGGCTGTCATTATCATTGGCTTTTTGCAGTCCTTCATTGGCTTGGACTACGCGGATGACAACTATCTTGGTGATGTCACTTTCATTCTGCAGGCCATGGCCAATGCTCTCATGCAGAGTCCGGACTTCAGTGGTTTCGAGCAGTTTGGAGCCCCCTTTGGAATCATCTTATACTACTGCTTTACCTTCATTGTCATGGTATGTTGAAAGTTCTCCATCCACACAGATTCCTCCACCTGCTCAAGCTTATGCTAACCTCATCAAAGGTTGTTCTGCTCAACATTTTGATTGCCCTGTACAACTCGTCATACGAAGACATCTACGGCAATGCGGACGACGAGTACCTAGCTCTGTTTTCCCAGAAAACCATGCAATTCGTGAGAGCACCAGACGAGAATGTCTTCATTCCACCCTTCAACTTGATCGAGGTCTTCTTCCTGGCTATCCCATTGGAATGGTGGATGAGCAAGAAACTATACGAGAGAGTAAACGACATAGTCATGGCTGTCATTTACTCCCCACTCATCGTCGTCGCGGCGTACTTCGAAACGCGGACGGCCGGCGACATCCGGTCGAACCGCTCTAGGGGCGAAGAGGACGACGACACGGTCGAGGAGTGGGAGCAGATGGCCAGCGAGTGTGACTTCGAGGCGGACGGCTGGGGCAAGAAGGTCAGCCAGGCCAAGTCGAACCTTGATGTTGAGCCTGCAGTGGCCGAAGTGCAGAAGCTGAAGGGCGAGATTGACGAGCTGAAAGCTATGATTGCGGAGTTGGCCAAGGCGGTTGGCGCGTCGAAAAATGGGGAGTCGTCTGGTAATGGCGCAAAGGATGAATCTTTACTTTAATGAGGTCATGAAGTCTAGGCTGGTATGGTGTTTAAGTAATTCTTGTAATATGTTAGGGGGGTCTTCGGTTGGATGTGCGGTCATATATCGGGGCTACGGCATTACTCAAATTGTAATTGTAAATTGTAGCTGACAATAGCATGCAGTACATGCCTGAAACTTGTGTTAAATATAACGAATCGTTGAAACTTATTGCACGGATACATTGATATTGCTCAAGCTGGCGTCGGCAGTGATCTTGAGATCTAGAAATAATAGTACAATTTTCTCCGCATAACACCTAACGAACCGACAAGAGTATCATGAAACTAGAAGCACCGCAAATACCCAAAGCAAGTGACAGGAGCTGAAGACACTATATCTCCTCAAGGGCCACCAGCCCGGCCGTTGTAGTCCCAGTACTCAGCATTGATGTTGCGGCAGGTGCCCACAACGCAGTAGTAGCCACCACCGGCATTGTTGGTGTTGGGAGACCACATGACATACGGGTCGACCTGCACATCAAGACAGTCGCCCTGGTAGCCGTTCTGGACGGTGTAGGCCGTGTAGGCCATGTTGTACCAGACACAGACGGTGTCGCCGGGATCGCCGTCACACAGGTGCTGCTCCTCCTCGGACCACTCCTTGGACACTGCAAATCCGCCAGAGATCCACTCGTACTCGCCGCTGAGGCCGACCTCAACGCCGAAAGACCCTCCCTTGCCGTACCTGGTTACACAGAGTCAGTATCTAGATGGTACACAAAGAGAACGTATCAACTTACCCGGTCTGGCAAGTGTGTGTAGGATCGCACGTAGTTGGCTCCGTCACCTGGCGAAGCTTATAATTTTGGTGAGGGTCGCCGTCGCCCACAAGATGCGTCGTGGTGATGCACGGCTGCACACCCCGAAGTTGAGGCATGACGGGGTCGGAGATGGGCATGCTTGGGGCAGCAACAACACCTTGGTGGAGACCAGCTAGGATAACCATAATCCCTGTCGCCAGACTACAATAATGACTGTTAGCTCTATGCCTCGATAGCATCGTATATTGCGAGAGTTATCCTTACTTGACCAGCCGAGAAGGCATTTTGAACAAAGAGACGGGTGCGATGGTGAGAAAAGCTCTGTCAGGAGGCTTGTGCCTGCTTCACGATACTCAAAATCGTGAAAATGATGTCGTCGTTGAGGAACCTAGAGTGGTAGATTTGAGGAGACTCGTGGATCGAAGCTATGAGAGACATTGAATTTATGTCCATTTGAACGACCTCCTGTGAAATATGAATAGAACATCTGGGCAACTCGCGATGAGGCATTGCAATCCGCATCTTCTCTCCTGGCCCACAACGGGTCTATTCACTTCAGCAAGAATTGAGAAATTATGTCGTCGTTTTGCCAGGGCTTGAATCCATCATTCTCGTCGAGATAACTGCCGATGGCTTCGCACGATCTGCGATTCAAACGCGGAGTGGCTGAGTTGAGATGAGCGAGCTAAGCTCCCAGAAGGATCAGAGGGTCCCTGTTATCAACGTGCAACATGCGTAGCTAGGTAGGAACAAAGCTGGGCAAAATGAGGCGAGATCTTCAAGGAAGGATTTCAGCTTGTAAAGTGGGACGAAGTTGTGGAATGAGCTTAGATTTCCTGTCGCAACACACGCATTGTCTAAGCGCGGCGCATCCAGACAGATTTGCGGCCGGAGATTCACCGCGACCCGCCCATGAACTGGGGTGGCCCACGCAACCGGGTCATACCTTGCTTTAGCGATTTTCTAGCTCGTACTGTTGCCTACTCGATGCGATTTTCGTAGTCTTTTTATAGCTACCAAATACTACTGATTAAGAGTCTTGAAGTATCAGGAGACAGGAAATGATTGAGAAAGCTTAGTAAATCAATTAATGAATGAAACTACAACGTCATCTAAGCCCAATTTAATCAAGCCAATACTTCGTCTTAGGAATTTTCTAGTCAAGGGATAGTATTCAAATTACAGTCCAGCTTTATATAGCTTCTTTGCCTAATCACTACGTCTATAGGCTCGTAGTACGTACATGCTACCAGAACGTTAGAGTAAGAGACATTCATGAGTCGTATCTACATGGAAAACCTCAATCCACCTGCTCTATCATTAGTTCAGGGTAACGACAATATTGTCAAACAAAATGACGCCCTATGAAACTCCATTCTGTACACCTTCGAGGTAAAGTGCAGTCGAGGTGCCAGTTGCGATAAACGTGAACGACTTGGAATACCAGCTGCCTTGAGACGGGCAAGAGAACTGGCCGGAATTGCCATTTCCAGCGAAGATGGAGATAGAGAGACCGCTGTTCACAGTAGTGCAGTCATGGTTGAAGGAGACCGTGTACGATGATCCAACACATGTGCTGAGGGTTTGAACAATGTAGCCGGCACACCCTCCGTGCTTGGACGTGTAATGAATTTTGCCCCAAAATCATAGAACTGAGCCCCTGCTCCCGCGCAGCAGGTTTCCTGCTTGTTGTTCTTGATGGATTCTTGAGTGGGTAACATTATAAGGTTATCTTCAACGCCGCTCGCTTCCAGGATACACATTGATACTCCTTGTCCGATACCCCTTGTCCAATAAACAGACGTGTTTCCGTCGTATGTGCGACTAACGATTCTTGCGCTATCTTTAATGCAGCAGTTCTTCGTCTAGGTGCATTGACGCGCGAATAGCACGTATCGGTGCCTAAATATGATCTGCCATGCACTCCGCTTGGGTAACAACAGAAGGTTGCGGCGCACAAACATCAACGACTGTACAACACCTATCCAAATGCTGTTCATTAACATATATACCCCTGGGAAGAGGCTGATAATTGGCCAATCACTGAGGAATGAGACATCTGTGTTCATGCTTCTAAGATATCATTTAGAGATCTGCCACACCCCGGTATAATATTGACCGTAGACTTTTCCGGCAACAGACACTTGCAAGCCATTAAATAGGGCTTTAGGTTGTAGACTCTGCGCACTTTTTAGCATTCCTCACTTGACAGCCCTTAATCTGTCAACCTCAAAGTCAAGCTGCCCATCTCTTATTCTTGCTGATGAAAGTAGACAAACATATTCCAAGATACAATCCAAGACAGTCATCATCTGGCTCGAGAACTCAAATACCGAGGCTAACATTGGTCGACGAAGCAACATCTCTTTGATTACCTATAACTACTCTGGCTTGACTCGATTGGACGTAGCCTACTAAGATGGCGATTTTGAAAGCAAGGTTTCTGGCTCCCAATGCAAAACGAAAGCCCTGTGCATAACGTAGTGAATTCGGCTGCATGTTGCAAAGCCTCGGTCAGGTCTCGTTATATATCATATAAGATACCCTGAAATAGAGATTTCTTGAAGCCTCTGTTCATCAAGATTCACAACTAGCTAGTTCATACACTGCCGCGTGAATTGTACAGAGATTGGTTGTCTAGAAATTGCCCATAGATGATTTGTCACCTGCCGAATCCGTCCTAAGCGGGTTCCTAGAGCACGTGGAAAAACGCTGTATGGTGTCCGCTCAGTGATTGATTTCATCACCACGGTTTGGCAATAGAACATTGCATATGTTCCTGTGTGACATGATACCCGTGTCAAGTGGCACCACGGCACCACTCGTCAGTTTACTATAATTCAATACAATATTCACAATAACTGATTTTTGTCCTTGCTAAACAGACTGTAGTCTCATAACTCACGTATGAAAGCCATCAAGAAACCTCGTCTGATTCTTTTCTTCTTGGTACCAACGATATATCAATACGCTCGCTTCAATCAATCAACAGTAAGGCTTTGTTGGCGTTGCCCCTGGTTTTGTTGTGATACAATCATCCATGGCAATGATGACTAAACAGTTACACGACGCAGGCTTTGTTAGGATGAGTGAATGCTAGTTGTCAAATAAACTGATCTTTGAAAATTATCGCAATGTCACAATTTGTCCACGTCAAGGTTTGAGCATTGTGAAATGTCATAAACGCAACGATAGATATTACGACTATAAAGTATGGCAAAGACATTATTCACGGCTTCCAATGTTTATGATGTTTCGCTATACGCACCTCATATAACAAATCCGGTCGACGTGAAATCTACTAGAACACAAATGTTTATATCGAGTGCTCTGCTTTTACACAGAGTTCGGGAACTATTGTTCTTTGGAGAGACTTCCGTGCATTGCTTGCCAGAATGTGTAGGATTTACTACGAGAGGGAGTGGCAGTGTGGTCACGTTATGGATTTTGATCAAGCAGAAGAACTATCAGTAGGCTGGTGTGGTAAGTACGCATTGAATTCATTTCGGCCTTTCGTAGCCACGATTTGAGTTATGAATCAGAACTTCCATCATTCTACAAGACTGGCATTTTCATTTCCTAAATAAGAAAAAAAAAAAAAAGAGAAGGGGGAAATGCAACACCCTGCATAAAGAAGATATCTTTTGTATTGTATCTTAGCCAAGACTCTACTAATCTCATGTATCCAAGGCATGGCATACATGGCCAATCATGGTTGCACAGATCCGGATTATTGTACTCTTGACTGGAAGTACATACATTGGCGGAAATGCCCACAAGACCACGAAACTTGGTTGAATAGAAAAATGGCGGAAATAACACAGGACATCAACGAACAGTTTACGCTTGCCGCAAATCACAATGTCAACATCACAAATGAGATCAACAATTTTGCCCAGGGCAGAATTGCGTGGGGTTTATTCGCGACTGAGGAGGAAGACAGGACCACTGATGATCCGTGGGCTGCGATTGAGCATCGTTACCACTTGACGGATATGTACTCGAATTTTAACAGACACTTGAACCAAGAGTACAACGTCTTTCATGAAGCAGTTGATAGAAGGATCTTAGAGGAAACGCGGCCGAGAATCATTCACTAGAAGTATTCGCCAGCATGATGATTATTTATTTTGCAAGGATGAATTCAACCTAGATAAATTTCTCAAGATTTTTCAATAAGTTGAATTCCTAGGTCAAAGTAGCAGTCTCTTTGCGGATCAAACAATTGTAATCAGAGAACGGATTGTTGTTTATCTGCAAAATTATGGTTGGCGAGGTTACAGTGTGCTATAAGAATCTAGATTAAGAGTGATTGCGAAGGAAGCACTCCCAAATCCAAGAGACTATCCCGTTTTCTTTCTACATTGTGACTCTTGACTAATGAGATCTTACACTATACTGACTCGGCAAATAGATGCGTCATGACAATCGATGAACACGTTGCCTCGCAACCTCCATGAGCTGCGTCATTATACTTCATGTGAATATAAATGGTAGAGTGCAGCTCTGCGTAGAAAAGGTGCTTACCATTTTTTGTTCAAGACCCCTGAGCTACTCTGAAGCGCAAGTGACCTCAACCGGCGTTGCTCAAGCGGTCATAGGCTTGTTGATCTATATCATTCTCAAGATACAAGCATTTGAGCCTCAATACTCGAATCGAAATTCATGTGCCCTTTACCGTCGAGCGACAACACAACCGCGCATGAAACAGTAACTCGCTGTACCTGGTTGGAATAGATATATGGTTGAGTATCAGTAAATGCTTCATTCTAGAGACATATCGCATTGTTGATTGTTTGAATTGGCTAGACAGAATCATGTGCGTTATAGATGCGGTTTATGAGTATTCATGCCATTGCAAAGTACCCGTCGAGCAATGCCCACGAGAGCGTTGTGCAAAGGGCAGGCGAGAGAAGGACGGTGGCTCTCCATGCTCTATTCGACATGGGGGGAGTGAGTTCGGCTTTGTTTTACCGGAAAAGTGCGCAATTCACGAGAAAGCTTGGGCGAAGAGACAATATCAGTTGTGGAAGAGTGAAATGCTGTCATACAAGGAGATTCTGGCCCGGAAGGAAAACGAGGAGTCACGTGGAGAATTTGAAAGATTCTGGACACGTCTGATTGTAGGACACCATGAGTGGCTCAATGAGAAGATTGAGGACAAGAAGAACATCTTCGACTATGCATTCTGTGAAAGGGCTCTGAAGGAATGCATTGATGAGCTTGCAGATCTTCAAACAAAGGAGGACTTGCCAAAAGGTCCCTAACATGGACAAATATTCTGGGTGCAGTGAGTTTGGCAAGCTCAATGTGTTGTCTTGAACAAAATGCGAGTTTGTTGTTAAGAACATAAGTCATCAATGCATCACGGTGCACTGGTGGTGACGTTTTTGCACTGTGGCAGGAATACAAAACGTGATTCGACAATGACATTAAGAGTGAGCACGCCTCCAAAGAGTTGTTCCTGCAACGGAATCATTTGAGACTTAGAAGCTCTTCCAAAACCGTTTCAGGATACAGAACATATTACCCAAGTTTCAGCTGCGTATGGCCACTTACTCAAGTTTCTACACTGCGCAAGACAGTGTAGAACCATAGCTTGTGCTCGAGGTATCGTGATTTTCCCCAGGGGCACGGGATCATTCTTCCTCAACATACCCGCGATATTTCCATATATGAGAAACAAAATTAAGCTCCCACAACAAATGCCAATATTTGAACACAGAAGCCTACTCATTCAAAGACCCCAGCCGTCATTGCTGCTGAGGTGTGAGAAACTATTGAGATTCGACCCTAAAGCACGATTTTACGCATCGCCTCCCGGCTTTCAAGTCCAGCTTGTCTTTTACTCAAGCAATCCAGCACTGTTGCTCAAGTGGAATTTTGGCTCGTGAGCAAGTGGTAATCAAGAGGTCAGCAATTTATGTTAATTAACTAATAGGTTTGACAGTAATGAGTACCACCGGCTTTTTATCATGTGCTTCACCTACAGAAATCACTGGTATCACTGCGGTTGCCCAATGTCCGCCGAAGCCGTCAAAGAAGAGGAGGTTGGCACCTGCCCCCGCACAGACGACGATGAGCCTACGCGTACTTGCACATCGAGAATGAGGCTTGGGGTTGATTACATTCACAAGAGAATGTGCCCGCCACACGAGATACATTAGGAAGCGTACTACGGAGGCTGCTGGGCACTAGAACTACGGATACTCAAGGCGAGAGCCGATAACATACGTGACCGACGCAAAATTGCAATTATAGCAGAAGCAGATATGCTATGCGAGCTGCTGTGGAGGCTTTATTCGTCATCGAGAGACTATCAGCAGACGAAAAGATTGTTTGAGGACGGTTTGAGCAAGGCAGATGATCTACTTCACAGACTGGAAGTTAGAGAACGACTTGGCTGGGACGAGACGGAGAGACTTGATATTGGCATTCCACTCAATCCAGAAATGTTGATTGAGGCAGCCGGTAGAGCCGGCCGTCGCACCTGCCACCTTGAGACAGAAGAGAGCCTTTGCAAAAGGAGTCCGCGTCGAAACAGCTTGTGATCATCTAGCTAGAGCCTACCAAGTTGGCTATCGTTATTTAACCACCACGAGTCGATTAGGCAACCAATGAGAACTGAGATTATCTGGATTGAGGAGGTCTTTGTGTGTAACACGATGGAATGGTGTTGAATGATCCAAGAACTTAGCAATCCCGGGTATTGAAGGGGCACACATGCTTCGCACGTGATTGTTTCTTGTCCCGGAAATAATATGCCGGAGGCTACTGAGCTCTTCAGTGAATCTGATTGGAATGGACGGCAACCGTTTGCCGAAGACTTGAAGTCTGTTTTAACGTCTGACCCAGGAGACCCGGAAGGTGTGGAGGTCTGAGCGCGCGCGATCCGGCGCCTTATGCCGTGATCTGCCATCCTTTGTGATGCCCACGGACGTTGGGCTGACAATCTTGGCGAGCGCCTCAAAGCCGGGGGTGTGCCACGCCCTTATCATGATTGATGGAGCTAGTTGAAAAGGATCGGAGAGCTATTTGCACGCGCCCTTTATAGACATTACTCCCGTTCTTTAGTAGAAACTCTTCTGTTATTACTTACTCCAAGGCTCCCAGAAACTAGATGTCACAGCAGACTCCGAATTTAGGGAAATATTTCATCAAGCGTTCGTCTTGCTCCTTAGCTCCTTGAAGTGCTCCTGCAGCGAGCTCTAAGTATATGTATGGTCTTACCAACCTCGGTATGTCCGTCTTAATTCTCGACAGCAATTCAATCCTCTCAACTCTTGATGTCTACAATAAACACTCATCGATGCTCCTCTCTTTATCAACTCTCAGTCACTATTTGCGTAGTCTTTCTCGCATGGCTGGTCTAAGATATTAAAAATCTAGACGTGAAGTCTCTCTAGACGGTATAGCGGAAGAAGGTAGCATTATCGCCCTTCTCGCGCTCTGCAATTCGCTCCTCCTCTGTATACTCGGATGGCGGCTTGTACTCTCGATCACGTCGTGCGTTCTCGCGGCGTAAGTACAGCGTCATGAAAATGGACAGTACCATCGCCATGGCCTGGCAAGCAAGGAGGGTGCTGTGGCCGGGGTGGTAAGCTGGACCATCCTTGGCGAGGTAGAGATACGCTGAGATCGTGCCGCCCAGGTTACCGAAGCCGACATGCATGGCAATGCCAACGCCACGTTTCAGCGAACCACCTATGTTGTTGCCGTTCCAGGCGACACCTTGGGGCACATTTGGGTAGATACCCGATGCGAGGAGGAAGCAGCCGGCATACTTGACATGGGTGTTGTGTGTTGCGAGCAGCATAATTAGGCCGACGATGCTAGGGCAAGGTTAGCTTTGGGATGTAACAAAAGATCAGGGGCCCACACTTACGCCATGCCCATGAAGAAGATCATGAAGATGCCTCGTTGGCCGAGCCTGTCGGCAAGGTAGCCTGCGCCGATGCAGAAGAAGCATGCAACGAAATAGGGAGGAACAGTCAATAGCTGAGCGGTGGTGTTGGCGTATCCAAGATCCCGAATGATCGTCGGCAGGAACAGAGAGTACGAATACAAGCCGGTATACACGCCAATTGTAATGAACATATGGACCCAGATCTTCCAATCCTTCACGGCTTGCCAGAAGTACTTAAGGTCAAACTCATCGGCCAAAGATGAGCGGTCGCGCTTGAGACGTTCCACTACCTCATTTCGCTCTTCCGGGTTGAGGAACTTTGCCGTGGCAGGGTAATCATGCATCAGCTTGAAGGCGGAGAGAGCTGTCGGAAGAGATTAGGATGGCATTTATGAAAGTAGATGTCAAGCTACACTTACCCACAATGACAGTGAGTATTCCCTCCAGAATGAAAATCCACTGCCATCCCGAGAGACCAGAGACGCCACGCATCTCCATGATACCACGGGCGAGCAAGCCACCAAAGGCGCCTGCAGCCGTGGCAGCAGAGAAGAAGATAGCCATCCTCAGACCGCATTCATGGCGGCGATACCACATGGTGATACTGGTAGGGGTGATGTTTAGTGACACAGAGCTGAAAAGCAGTGGAACCAATATTGACTCACTAGTAGGTGATACCAGGGAACAAGCCACCTTCTGCGATTCCGAGGAAGCATCGCGCAGCCATGAGCCCTGAGTAATTGTGCACGATGCCCATGAGGGTGGTGCAGATGCCCCAGGCGATCATGATGCAGGGGATCCAGATAGAGGGACGGAAGCGCTTCATCGCCATATTTGACGGGATCTCAGCGGCGACGTAGAAGGGAAAGAAGATGGCGAGAGCATTGTTGTACATGAGACTTGTCTTGGGCATGTTGAGATCCTTTTCCAAAGTGTCAAGGCGGGCGTTGCCGATGTTGGTGCGGTCAAGGAAGGACAAGAGGTAAAGGAAAGCGAGGAAGGGGATGAGACGCAGATCGATCTTGCGAATCAGCTTCTTGGTCGCTGCCGTGTCCCAACCTGCACTCTCAACGGTGCTGGGATACTCTACACCCTTGGCGGTTGCCTTTTCGACGGTCTCGACCTGCATGCTGGCCGTCGAGCTGTTGGGCATGACTTCCTTGGTGTCCTGGTCAGACATGTCGGGCGAGTTGGTGGTGAGTGTCATCGTCAGGAAATATGAGGACCTGACTGATGCGAATGCGGAGTCTTGGAGTAGGCCAGATCGAAAATCTCCGGGGGAGTGCAAGATATAGTCGTGCGTAACGAAGCCCTGTCTATGGTGGGACTAGGCAAGAAGGTGACGCGATAGAGACTGAGGAGGTCCTGAGAGAAGTGGGCGACGAGTCAGCTTGCAAACCGAGAATGGCAACTGCCAAGCCGTATATCTGCAACTCAAGTCTTATCAGACGTCGACGAAGAAGGGGGGGATCGGGGGAGATCCAGGCAGGAACCTGGTGGGTTGCGTTCTCATTTATCTTCATCTCGACCTGAACCAGTGTCTCGGGCGCCGTCCAGGAATGCCATTTGGCAAAAGACAGGCATACACCGCTTGCATGTGTGCAACGAGGCCAGGTCACCCATGAATCCAAATCCTGAAGATCCTGTCGCCCCCCCTACCCAGTCCAGGGCGGCCAAGAGTCCGGTGGATGCCAGATTCCACGATGCTGTGCCGTCCAAAATTCCCGTCTCAGTCCGCCAAGATGCTACGGTATCACGGTATCAAGATCCCCCGTAAGCTGCCAAGGCGCTGGCAAAGGACAAGAGACGGGCCTTCTGGCCGACAGGCGATAAGTGCGAGGCCTGTGAATCAAGACAGAGATAGGGATCTCGATGGGAGCAGGTCTTGGCTGCAACGGCTCGTCAGCTGGGCTTGCATGAAGCGATATGGCGCAGACTTCCAAGATTGGGCAAACGACGAGGCTATTCCTAGCCCATCCAATACGGAGAATCTTCGCTCATCCAGTGGCTTGGAGCCAAGGTCTTGGCGGGCTTGGGACCGCTGGTCTCTTAACCCCCGCATTATGCTTTGCCCAGGCGACTCTAGCTAGGAGCGAGGAGAATACCCCAACAGAAGCTGCGTAACATGTACGAGATCTAGCACGCAAGCAGAGGGCGCCAATATTGGCCCCGTATCTAAGCTAATTATATGCGGATGTCCGACTCAGCATGCAGGCTGGCGGCGTCCAGGGACCCGGATCCGTCTAGATTGCCCGAGGCGGCGCCCCCTTTCATTGGCGCCTTGCATCTCGGCGGTCCTCGTCGTGAAGCGCCCCCGCACGTGGCTACCTCTGGGCAGCGTCTGCCGCGCCGGTGAAATGGATAAATCGTCATTGGAGGCTTTGTCGAGATGAGATCCGCATTTCAAGTGAGATCCTGGTTGTCTGGAGTAGATTCCTCAAAGATTTCTCCCTGCCAACACTGCCAAGGCTTCTTCCCCAGAGAGCCAGAGGGTCCTCGTGAGTCTCCCCAAAGTTGGCGCAACTTTCTGCCCACGCTTCTCACCATTCCCCAGAGTCCCACTCGAGACCCCAATACCCCATCATTTGCTTTGTGACCCCAGTGCCGGCTTGTTATCTGTGCCTAGGAACTGACTAGTGACCTTAGAGGCTTTTGCCAAGATGACAAGAATGTTCCTGTCACCCGGCACGCAAAGACTGACAAATTCCCCATTGTCTTATGGCACCGTGTAAGTTAGCCACCAATTGTGCATTCGGTTTTTCGATATCTTGGATCATGACTACAGGATTTGGATTGATTGCTGCAACTCATTACTCGTATTCGGATCTTGTTCGTCCTGGGGTTGTCCTAATGGAGATTGAAGTCAGGGTGATTGTAACAATAGTGACCAATCCATTGACTCTCAATGAGACTTATGCTGGAATTGCTGTGACTGCTCTAGACTTGACAACCACCTTTCCAAGGCTAAGCCTCATGTCAACTGAATTCATTGGTGCTTGGGACTGTCACACGTCACCCTTACACGTGGGAAAAGCTGGGCGTACTGCATGGAATGCTTCCATACGGCCGACAAATACTTGATCTGTAGTCAACGCTCGTGACACCGGGCTTACTGTCGTGAACTTGATCTTTGCCCAGGGGACATTAGATTGATGTCATTATGGGCACGAGAGACGGAGACAGGAAGATTGCATGCAATCATGAACCTCTCAACATTACACCTCTATAGGCATGCCTGGCTCCTGGTAGCAGGGAATTACTAATGGTCGGGACATATGTAATCTCAACAATATACTGCATAGTAGTAACAATTCGCTTCATAACTTGAGGCTATGATTGGTAAATCGGTTGAGGCTATCATTCTGTCATTTTCACTAGTACAAATATGACGTTCAATCTATTCAACTGTCATAATATACACATCACCTGGAGATACTTTGGCAAATGCTGTCATTGACTCCAAAGCAATACCCTCCAACGCCAGCCTCGCAGCAATTTCATGTCACTTTCATCAATCTCCTCATCGCCCCGCTCCACCTTGGCACTAAGACGCTTCAGTTTCTTGGACACTGTTCTGGCCACTCTCAGCGAGACCTCATTCTGGAAGACATAGAGCACTGCAAATACGAAGAACGTGATGCTGGCCAAGCCGCTGATTCCATGCACCGAGTCCAGGATGCGGGAGATGAGCGACTTGCTCTTCCTGAAAGCATACTCGGTATCGTTGGAAGACTCCTCGTCTTTAGAAGGGCGGCGGAAGATGGCTCTCACCGCGGGAATGAACGGAGCGCTGTAGTCCGGGTTAGTCATTGAGTACTCGGTCTATGGAACGCCCATGGTGAAGCCACGTGGCTGGATCAGGCTCAAGACGATGCTTACACAATACCACTCAGCAGCCACCTTCGCCATCGATGGTTTTCCGCCGCCTTGGCCACCACCGAGATCTCCTTCCTGAGAGTCCTCAACTCGCTGATTGCGGTCACGGCCTGCGGGCGGATGCGCTCCTCTATGCCCGGTTCATCTGTTCGGTAGCGCCGCCTTTGCAGGGTCAAGTACTCCCGTAGGGCGAATTCTGCGCCGGCCCTCGTGGCTTTGAGATCGCGGGTTGCTATCTGCTGGGGAGACTGGGTGAGTGCGGGCCCGGCAATCTGCTCCGGGAGTATGGATGTCGGCTGTCCTGCACCGAAACCGCCGACTGAAGGCCCCGTCGGAAATCCGGGAGAAGGATTGATATATGATGACTGTTGATAAGCAGCAGGCTGGTTGGATATTGACGGAACACTGGGTTGTTGTTGCTGCTGCTGTTGAGGGTAGTGGATGACGGTGGCGGGTGATGGTCGATCCATCTTGAGCTATATACAAAGACTTGTCACGTATGACTACCTAGCCACTCAGCGCTTGACTAAGCTAGATATCGTACATGCACAAGAGATATTGTAGAAGGAGCTCGATCAGACATATGATGTGCCTCTTGAATCCATTTTGAATGGGTTTTCTCAAACAATTCTATGGAAAATGGAAAGGTGACGGAGGTGGTGAGGTGAGAATCGCGGGGCTGGGAAGCCGGGAGCTAACCCTGCAAGCCGCCGTCGGGTGACAGCTCGCCAGCAACGCAGCGAATGAATGTTTGTTGACAATTGGGCTCGTCCTGGACAAAGCGCCAATGTGTGCTTCGACATTGCGGCAGACCGCATGCTTCGAGTCTCGTTTTCTCGAGTCAAACAGCGCCCCCCTCGCTCGTCATGAAAAGTAGCCTTTCCAGCACAGGATGCCCCCGATTGTCGATATCAGCACCACAGTCAGAGGCTCCGCAGCTGGGTTCTTGTTCTGGACTTGACCCAACACGGCTTCCGGCCACAGCATTCGCGAAGACCCCAGCGCCAGAATCGACCAGCCCAGTGTGGTGACGAGGACAGGCCATCTGCGGCACCAGACATTGTGGATGAGGACGATGGAGAGGCCTACGGGGAACAAGATGGTGCCGTTGAGATAGACTGTCGCGGCAGTGCTTTTCGGAAAGATGTGGGAATTCCACGGCTCCGTCACGGCGAGGGCAAGGATGGTCGGACCCGCCAGACGGGCTAGGAAGACGGATGGTGGGTTTGAAATTGACATTGACACAGGCACTTCAGGAGACGAGATGTCTGTCACGACCGGTACGGGTACGCTACAATTCAGGTTGCCTCTTCACTCAGAATCGAGAAGACGAACCACAACAACAACAGCGAAGGGCAGCACGGAACGAAGGTGTTCGAAAACTCTCTAAGTAATAAAGTTGGCGGATCCATCTCATGACTTTTCCATCTCTCCCTGTCCCTCTTCCGTCTCCATCCATCCTCAGGCCACCACCCAGCAGTCGGGTCAGATGGCGCGCCAGCAGAACCCTCCGAGTTCCGTTTCGAAAGTGCGAAAGTGAGTGAGGTGACTCGTGAGAGGGACGGGAGACTTGGCACTCGCCTAGGCTGCACTGTTTCGGTGTTAGTCACTCGTACTATGCAGTAAGGCAGACACCGGGAACCTGATGGCAGTTTGATTGACCAATTGATGTCTCTGTTTGAATGACTCAGCAGGCTGCCCAGACAGCTCTGACCCCGCGTTGTGCTTCTTAGACTCTTTCTTTAGTCTAGTGCTGCGAAGCTCGCCAGAGCTTCCTCTCTGCACTGCCTGAACTCTCTTCTCACAGCGGAGGCCGCCCAGTAAAATTGCGTGGCTGCCAACGGCGTTCTTCAGCCGCGCCCTGGCGTCCTTCCTCCTTTTGCAGTAGATCGCGGAATGTTGTCGCCTGTCAAGCAATAAAAGGTTATCGAAGCTTCGTCAGTATCGATCAAGTCGTCCTTCCCATTGGTTCTTTGTGTACTAGGCACCGAACGCCATCTCAGGTACGGCAAGGATAGCTCCCTGCTGCATCACCGCCTTCGGAACCCTCCCTGTCTCTACTGAAGAGGTATAAGTGTATCGCTTCAGCTTCGTTCTGCTTCTCTTCTCGGTGTCTTCTTCATCTATCAAGACAAGAAGAAGTTGTGTTTTACTGCTCTAACCATCCGTAACTGCTTGCTCAAGCAATACCTTCCCGGAAAGCCTTCGATCCCATCACCCTTCCAAGTAGCCCAGCCAGCAAGAACCATGGATATCATCCATAAGCACGAGTATCGCGTTCGCGATCTCACCACCCGATCCGTGACTCTATTCCCCACTCGGGCCCAGGTGGTACGAGATATCAAAGACGTGCCCTTGAAGGTAAGCCGACGAATCCACTCAGCGCATCGAAATATTTGAGCTAACCATCTCCTCAGCCAGGAGCAAACCAAATCACTATACTCGGCCTCACACCTACGATTGATGAAGATTCAATCAAGGTCGAGGGCACTGGCTCGGCCGTCATCTCCGACATAACCGTCGAACTGCTGCCTAATCGCGACATCTTCCAAGAGATCTACCCCGACTCCGACTCGGAAGATGACTCGGAAGAGGAGTCTGATTCTGACAAGGAAGACAATATCGAAGACAGTGCAGAGCTCAAGGCAATAAGGGACAAGCTGACTGCCCTTCGGGATGACCTGAAACGCGCCAAAGAGACGATCTCGAGCGCAGAAAGTCGACTGAAGTTCCTGGACTCGTACGGCAAGATGCTCGATAAGAAGAAGGGGGTCAACATCAGCGAGGGCGTCGACACCTACCGAACAGAGCGCCAGAAGGTCTTCGACGACCACATGGAAGGCCTGGTTCGAGAACGCGACCTCGACAAGGATATTACGGAGCTTGTGAAGGAGGAAAGGCGCCTCCTCAAGGCAAGGCTCAAGGAGCAGCAGAAGGCCGAGAAGGCCAAGGCCAAGGCGCAGAAAGCAAAAGACAAGGAAAAGGAGAAGAAGCGGCGCCGAGAAGAGGAGCGCCAGAAGGAGAAAACTCGCATCCGCAAGGAGCGCGAACAGTTCTGGCCACGATCCTGCTATTCCGTGCGCATCACGCTAGACGCTGCGAGCTTTACTCCCATGTCGTCGCGCCGAAGCTCCTTTGCGAGCGTGACCGACCTTGTTAAGGTCCCTGAGCCAGATAAGAGCAACGGGGAGCCTGCAGTTGTCGACGAGGCCAGCCCGACCTGTGACTTGTCGCTCTCATATGTCACGTCGTCTGCGTTCTGGTCGCCATCCTATGATCTCCAGCTCTCCACCACAACAAACACTGGCCTCCTATTCTTTGATGCCCAGTTAACGAACATGACATGCGAAACATGGTCGAATTGTAAGGTCATTCTCTCCACTTCGCAGACATCTTTCTCCGGCCTGAACGATGCCATTCCCACTCTGGAACCCTGGCGAGTGAAGCTGGGCGGCAAGAACTTGCCGTCAATGAGCTCCTCTATGAGCAACAACGTCATGGTCAGCCGGCAGGAGCTTGCGGAGAAGAGCAAATGGACCCAGAATCAAGCTCAAGCCTTCGCTCATAAACCTCGCGCACAATTATTTGGTGTGTCGAAAGAGGGCAACCAAGAATACAGCAAGAAGCATTCGAGCATGTTGGCCTCAATCCCTCCACCACCGCCGCCTATCGCCCCGGCGCCGGCGGCAGGTGGGCTTTTCGGCGCACCTCAGGCCTCGTCTGCATTCGGTGCAACGCGAGGCGAAGCAGCAGGAGGTGGCGGGGCTTTGTTTGGCAGCAATACCAACAATATGGTCCCATTGCCAGCCGCACTGCAAAGACGGGTTCGACTTCCTGCACCCCATCAAGCTACTGATGAAAGGCTTGCGGAGCAGGTAGAGATGGTCTTTAGAGACGAGGCTCCCGGCGGGGCGGTGTCCGACGATGATGGTGAGACTATGTTGGAGCCAACACCGGAGCTAGCCTTCCAGGAATCTGCCATGGAAGAGACAGGTCTTACCACAACATATGATCTACCTGGCCTCAAGACTCTAAGCCCTACACCCACAGCTTCGAAGCAGCGTGTAGCTCGTATCTCATTCAGCAGTGTCACGTTCAGCCATACTATTATCGCCAAATACAAGCCTGTCGCCTTCCTGAAAGCCAAGCTCCGTAACGCCAGCAAGTTAACCTTACTCAAGGGCCCTGCTGGCCTAACTCTAGATGGCTCTTTCATGGGCCGATCTTCACTACCACGCTGCAGTGCTGGAGACACCTTCACCATGAGTCTCGGCGTCGACCCCGCGATCAAGGTCACGTACCCGAAGCCGGACGTCAAGCGCAGCACAACTGGCCTCTTCTCCAAGGAGGACAGTAGCATCTACACGCGCACCGCCACCATCACAAACACTCGGGCCACGGCCGGCAAGCCCGTCAATCTGCTGGTCCTGGACCAGGTGCCCGTCAGCGAGGACGAGAGACTGCGCATCGACATCATCCACCCGCGGGGCATGACCGTCGGCGGCCAGGCCGTAAACACGGGCGTTGCCGGGCGGGAGAGCGCAGGCGGAAAGGAGGACAAGGCGTGGGGCAAGGCAACTGCGGCGCTGAAGAAAGGCGGCGAGATTTCCTGGGATGTGTCTCTCAATGCCGGCAAGAGCGTCAAGCTCAACCTCGAGTACGAGGTGGCGCTGCCCACGGGCGACCATGTCATCCAGGTTTGACGGTGTGCTTCTCTCCCGTTTGTCGCCCCGCGTCGGAGGGCAAGGGGCCCAGGGTTATGTTCTTGTTTTGGCGTTCTAGTGCTTCGACGTAAGACATGACGGGTCGTGAGGATGTTATGATATGAAAATGCTGGCGATACGGGGGATTAGGATACCAATTTGAAACTTAGAATAGCTACTTCGGCAAATAACATATGCAATAAAGCATTGCATCCTGTTGACATTGTCTGGTGTTCTAAAAGCTTGTTACGTGCTCTGAAAGTAACTGTATTTCCAACAAACCCCCTTTTTGTGTCGAGGGGGCTCAAGTACGCTCCGGCCCCTTTAGATTCGCTTAACTAAACGCATAAGCCGTACTCTACTACCTCCTTCGAGATCCAAGTTAGACATTTGCAGGCTACTATATCTCGATTACAGCCTCTCATTGACATTGCACCATGACTTGATTTGTCCGGCCCAGAGGCCCTCGAGCCGGATGATGTCATAGGGTAGCAAGTCTTAGAATATGAGTGATGGTTTTGCCAGCACTAGGTGACAATGTTGGGCGTGACTAATGCGTTAAAGAAGTACGAGCGGTCATTTCTGGGCTTTGTTATATGTTGTTTCCACGCCAGAAGAAGAGGCTACTTACACATCACGTTGAACTCACCTCAGCCTTTGACCCTACGCTTGTCTAAGCCCCACAAGGGCTCACTCTGGATCATATATATGGCTGTATGCTCACCTAGGTCTAATTTATTACTACTTAGATACTAATGTATCACTTCACTGAAACCCTATTACCATAAGCAGCAAAGGCGATATACTAGAGAAGGCATCAACACTCTCTTGGGTAAGATTAGCCAATTGAGAGCGTAGCAGTCCGGTAAACACCGCAGAATAGCCAACACAATCATGTCCGAGATATTGTATTAGTACATCAACCGTATCTGCTTCACTAGCACTAGGTCATGCCTCTACGACAGTTACCAGCAGTCCTCGAACCTCATAGCTAGATTAAAGCATATCTTCCTAGCCATCGCAGAAAATTGACTCTTGGACACTTACTCGCTCATACCTTCTTTGCAACTTCGTTCAAATCAGGCCTGATACTTGTTTCCTTTGAACAAATATTTTCGATTGAGCTAGGTAGCCCCGTAACTGACGAAATAGAGTCTCCCCACGTGTCAGCTCATCCGCCATCAAGGCAATGAAAATTATTTCATCTTAGCATTGATAGGATTTCTTGGGAGTAAGCCCCATGTTATATTGTGATCCGAAGGATTGTACGAGTTATCATTCGCGGAAGTACACACTGTTAGTGCTTACTTCGGACTTCTACATCGCACATGGGTCCTCTTGAGATGACACCCTGATTCGACATTTAGAATAACTGAAGTGAACAAATCTTGTCGCGAATGCTCGTAAAGAACGTGCAGTCAAACCTAAGAATTGGCCGTTGCCCGTGAAGGGCCCGGCATGATCCGCAATCTGCATGCCTCTCCAAGAGACGTTCTTTCAAACAAGAACCGCACCTGGAACGGCGATGCATTCTATACTCGTGTCGTAATAGTTGTAGTCGACTAATCAGTCAAGTTCTATACTGAGCTTGATCTATATATCGATCTATTTAGCCTCCTTCCTATGTGACAACATAATTAAGAGTAGCCAGCCTGTCGACTATAACAACAGGGCCAAGATGGACGAAAGCGTCTTTCTTTCCTTGCCTAATGAGATCATCCTTCAAATAATACAAGTACGACATCCTCCGTCGTTTTGAGTATACAAAGCTAATCACAGGCCAGCATCTAAGCAGGCAAGACCTCGTCGTCGTGAGCAGAACATCTAGGTTTCTGAACGAAATCTGTCTGCCCCAGGCCCACAGACGTGTCATACAAGAGATGAAGATGTCGAATCCTGGAGAAGAGCGCCACGGATCAAAAGCTTTATACCTTCATAATGCTGCATATCATTGCCATCACAAGCAACTCGAGACTCTGATAGAGCTTGGCGCTCCTCTTGATTGTCGAGACCGGAATGGCGAGACGGCATTGCATGCTGCTGTACGTGGGAACTGCCTGATCTCCGTACGACGTCTGGCACAGGCCAACGTCGACATCAACGCGATGAGTGTGAACGAGTGGACTCCGCTCATGCTGGCTGCTAGATATGGATATGCTAGTATCGTGCGGCTGTTGATCGACTTCGGGGCGGAATTCAACCTACAAGGCTTTCACGGCTGGACAGCTCTGCATCTGGCGTACAGACATCGCGCCATAGACGCCGTGAACATGCTGTTGAAAGCTGGAGCTAATGCAGACGCTAAAGATAACGACGGTATAGTGGCTTGTAATGCCTGCTTTCCTTTAGCTGTCTGGGGCGCGCTTTGACTTAATCACCTTGATTCCCGGCTATAAGATCTTAAACGACCCAGATGGTACCCTTGGGCGACACTGACTATGCACTATTTTCTCTTACACAATTACTTTCGATAACTCCAGGTGAAGGAACTTACAACTGTTGAATATAGTTAACCCTGAAAGGATGCATGTATGGAGCTCTGACTATCTCTTGTGTCTCTCTACGTCAATTCAACCACTCACTTAGTTGAAAATAATGACAGGTTCGTATAGGGACAATGTACGACGTCCTGGCAACCCAGATGAACATTCTCAAAGAGTTCTGCTATACGCCTCTATCACCGACGACCGAGGCCGAAGCTAGGAATCCATGGTGTTTTCCTCTAATGGCTAGTCTACCGGCTACATGTATCCACCCAACTGTCAACAAAACGTCTCCCTCATCTCCACAAAACAGTCCCCCACAAAGTATTATGTTCGTGTGAAAAATTACCTTTGCCTTCCTCTGCTTGCTGGAGGTTCTTTCGACCAATCATGGCTTCATCCTCAAGGTTCATGCGATTGCTTGTAAGTGCTCATTGTGCAACGGCTGTTTATTGTCTTGTACACTAATACACATGGGCACTCTGGCAGATTGTGCTCTTCGTCGCGCTTGGAAGTCTGACGTACGGATACTGTGCCAGCATCATATCCACGACGTTGGCCCAGCCTTCTTTCCTAGCTTACTTCAAGCTTGATACACGAAGCGATGCGGCTGCGATTCAGGGTGCCATCAATGGCTTGTTCCAAGCCGGCGGTCTCATCGGCACTCTCCTTTCGAGTACTGGAGCTGATTGGCTCGGACGCCGCAAGGCCATCTTTATTGCCGCGCTTGTGTCTACTGTAGGAGGTGCCCTGCAGGCTGGCAGTGTCGCCATTTCTATGTACCTCGTGATGCGGCTTGTTACTGGTTTTGGGATCGGTATGTAGAATTGTGGCTTCTACTTCGGATCTAATCGCTGATGCTTTTCGTATAGGTGCTCTCGTTACTTTGGTACCACTATATCAGAGCGAGATCAGCCCCCCAAAGATCCGAGGTCTTCTCGTAGGGATGCATGGTGTTCTCATCTGCGTCGGCTATGCGTTGGCAAGTTGGGTGGGTTTAGGGTTTTACTTCGTTAATGCTTCCGGTGCCCAATGGCGCATTCCTCTGGCTATTCAGAGTCTGCCCCCACTGGTCCTGAGTCTCGGTATCTTGTTCATGCCTGAGTCGCCCCGCTGGTGTAAGTGCCTCTCGACCCCGAGAAATGCCCTGCCAAGCTCACACCATCCAGTATTGTCCCAGGAGCGATTAGAAGATGCGTATGCATCCTTCGTAAAGACGAGAGACGATACTGCCGAAACTATTGTAAGACCAGAATTTAACTTGCTCGTCGAGCAATTTCATTTGGAAAAGAACGATATAACATCCTGGGCGGATTTCGTGAAACAACCAAGTATGAGGAAGAGATGCCTTATTGGTTGGCTTGCCATGTTCGGGGCCCAAGGAACAGCCACCCTCGTGATCAACAGTAAGTATTGTCAACATCTTCGGATTTTGTGCGGCTCTTCAAGCTAATAGAGCGGTCGTAGACTACGGTCCATCTCTGTACAAGAGTTTAGGCTTTAACACTGTGCAACAGCTTCTCATACAATGTGGCTGGATCACTGTTTGTCCATTTGGTAACTGGCTTAATGCGCTTATAGTCGATAGAGTGGGTAGGGTTCGGCTCTTACTATTCGGCTTTGGTGGCTGCATCGTCGCTCTGATCGGGGAGTGTATTACGGTATCGATATTCCAGAAGAATGGAGACAACAGAGTTGCGTCCGCGGCGGTTTTTTTTCTCTTCCTGCACATTGCTTGGTAAAACATGAACACACCATCCGAGTATGTGGAACTTCAGGCTAACTATGAACAGTTTCTCGGCTTCCGTAGATGCTACGTCTTACATCTACGCGTCTGAGATCTTTCCGACGCCTGCACGTGCTAGGGGCTTAGCCATCTCTGTCTCAGGGCTTTTCATCGCTACGATCATCTTCCTCCAAGTAGCTCCTACAGCGTTCGATGCAGTCGGATGGAAATACTATCTCGTCTTTATTTGCATCACATCAGTGATTTTCGGAATAACTTGGGTTTGGTTTCCCGAGGTAGGCCAACTCTCCCTCCTCCAAGAGGCTGAAGCAAGTAATATTAACAGCGAATTCAGACGAGGCAGGTATCTCTGGAAGAGATCACGGAACTTTTCGATCCCGAATACACTGCCCAGCTTGAGAAGGCTGAAGTGGAGTACCAGGAGACAATGGCAAAGGCTAGAACACTCCCAGAGGCTAATTAAGAGGTAATGCCAAAGCTGCCAGCAGAGTGGAAGTCACTGCAAACATAGAGATAACGGTTCCGGACGTTGTTGTCGTCAACAAAGGCTCTGTTTGACTGATCGAAGGCCGAAACCGGGAGTAACTATAATACTTGTGTTCTCCTCAAATCTCAAGTAGCTCAACAATTGCTCATTATGAACCATGGATGCCTATATTTAGGAGCATAATAAAATGTAGGCTCATCGCGTTTATCTTCGACGAGGTTAGGAACGCTCTTGAGGTTGTATTCATTTGAAAACTGTGACAGGCTTAGATGAGCTTGGCTCATCAAATGCAATTAGCTGAATGGCAACTCATTACGACAAATTTGGAGAGCGAGCTCGCCTAACGCTCACCCCAGCATACTACTGCTTTTAGGTACTCAGAAGGAGCCACTTTGTGTGAGCTGTGCCCCTCAAGGGTGCCGCCGTGGGTGACTTGGGTGATTCTAGATTTGCCATTGCAAGGTTAGCTCGAGTTGTAAGTCTTAAACGGCATCAAATGACTGGGCCAAATCATGGACAATGGCGAAGAAGGCCACATCCATGCCGTTTCCGGAATCGCTTGTAAATCCTGCACCGTTTTTGGCGCAGATCTCGTACAGTAGAAGTGAAAAAGGATACATCAAGGTACAGTCGCATAGTGCCACTGTCACCGTCATATATAAACAAAGGGCAAATGAAGCCATCACAGGATGCAAATTGTGCTATATTATATATGTAGGAAGCCGTGTTAACCATAGAGGCTGCCATGCTTATAGATGCTCGAAAGATACCGTTTGAGTGGGATTTCTATATACATATCCGTCACATTGTATCGGCACCTCTTAGTGATGCATTCTGTAACCCTGGGGCGTAGGCAGCGATAGCGATGAGGTTGTATTAGTGTCGTGCGCATTTCGGTGTCTCAACACGTTGATAACGTGTTATTGCTTTTTGTAAAGCTCCCGCTTGTTGTAGTCTCGATAGGTATATCTTTTGCGGCAACAAGACTGTTACTTATGGTCCAAGTCATCAAGATGACCAAATGACCCTCCAAAAGCTCAGTCCCCAATCACATTAAACGCAATAAAGTTAAACCAGTCAGCCATGTTGACGGAAGTCTTGCCACCTTCGCCCTTGGTCTCTCATGCTCTTCTCGGCAAATCCATGAGCTAGCTGTCGTCGAAGCGCTGCGTAAAGTGCGGCTCCAGCTTTGTCTGGGGGTGCGGCAGTGCCCGCGCCAGTCATTGACGATGGACGCTGGGAGGTCGCTATAACACACTTTCGGCAAGTCCGGATCCATTCTGATGCTAAACTTGTTGGTTTTACTTAGTATAGTGTTTTTCACGAGGAATGCTCGGTATTCCCGCTAGGCACTTGGATATTAAAGCATCGGGTCGCCCTGTCTGGCCCATTCCCATCTTCTGGGTGGTTGCCATTTCAGCTATGGTAAGACGCGTAACAGAACTATTCTACATGTAGTGCTCAGTAGCGGGCAAGGGTTGTTAGGTCAGAGTGCCTGCAGCTGAGTTGGTTCAGCTCTACAGAATCGAGAATAGTGACTTAAATTTTGGCCGAAAAGCGTTAACCCGAAGTTCACCATGCTGAATTCGGTAATACCGCGCGTCTGCCCATGGAATGGCCTCTGAGACCAGGAAGCTACCTAGTCTGTGCTAGTGTAGCAACTATTGACCTTTAACCTGTCCAAGCTTGATAACTTCAATAGCGCGTACTTTTGTCGTCCATACCGCAAACTCGCGTGGTCATGAATCCCGTGTTTGAGCCCTATGAAGCTCCAAGACCAGAATACCATTTGGATGGTGCCAAGGACCACCTGATGATCTAGAACAGCATCCATTGCGATCCGGTGTATACCGGACATCAAATGGTGCACCCTGGTAATCCTCAACCCCACGGCCTCGACCTGTCTCGGGACGAATTAGACTCTTTTGTCGACTAGGCCCGAGTGTTCCTTACATCCTCAGCTGCAGTAAGGCAAGCCATGATGAGAACCTCTAGCCCGTCTCCTAATTTGTATAAATATAAATAATGACTCTGCCCTACGTAATTTCTCCAGTGGGATCTTTTTCGTCACGCCTCTGTCCTTTGTCGCTCAAAGTGTGCTTGGCAATCCTCAAACATGAAGCTGATTGCTGTGCTTGTCACTGCTGTGACGTTGGCTAATGCCACTCCTTTCCCTGCTGCGGAATTGGAAGCTCGGGATTGCACTGCCAACAACTGCTTACGAGCCATTCGAGGATCACCCGAGGATGTTGCCAATGCCTTCTGCTCTACTGTTCTGGGCAAGGTTCCCGCAACAGACGTCGTCACTGTCACGGCGACTGCCACTATCACGGCTTACACGACGGTTGTGGAGACTGCTACCCAGCACGAGATCACAGGCACTGTCACCATGTAAGTCTTAAACTCGGCGCCGACGAAGCTTCGTCCTTCGAGCAACTCCAATGCTCACACGCTTTTAGCACTCCTCCTGTTGCTCTCCTCAACAAGCGAAAGACCACCGCCTATTCAGAGTACACTAGCAAGTTTACCAGCATGTGCTCTAGCGAGCAGGCAAAAATCACCAGCGCGTGTGGTTGCTATCTCTCTGGTGCACCGACCTCTACGGTGACCGTCTATGAGACCGTCTCTGCTACGTATACCGAGACGACCGTCACTGTGAGTGTCCTGTATGTGGATATCCCTGAGGACAAATGCTAATCATCATCCAGTCCACATCAACCTCAACCTTGACAATTGATGATATTGCCACTGCCACTTATGTCTGTGTCCCATTGCCTACGAATCATGTTCAGAACGGCGACTTCGAACAAGACATTGGCAGCGACTCTCCCTGGACCGTCAGCGTCACCGATGGTCCCTCATACTCTTCGTGGAGTATTTACCAGGATACGTTGTCGCATGGTGATGCAAGTCGTGTTTTCCGCAGCTCTTTCAGCAACTCCATGTACAGTAATAGCGCGTACGCGGGCATTCAACTGGAACAAACCATCAGCACTTGCCCAGGCACGACATACACGATATCTTGGGATATCAGAGCCACGGATCAGACATACGGCTATGCCTTTGCCTATGCCGGCGGAAACCTGATCCAACAAATCCAACCACTCCCGAACCCGAGGTATGGAAACTACAAGGTCTCATTTACAGCGACTGACTACACCACGGTAATTGCCTTTAAGGCGCTGGAGGTCTATTATGGCTCGGGTAAGATCTACTTTGATAACATTTCTGTGACACCCGTCATCGCTACTACAGTAGAGGTCGTTTAGAAGAGAATATGTTGTCTACGTACTCAACGTAAAGCGTGACGCTTGATCACATTATAGCTAGTATAATACTGCAAGCATCGTCTGCTACCTTAGATCCTTTATACAACACTCTTAGATGTGGCCCACAGCTCCTTAGCAAGCTCATCGCTCTTACCGTCCCTGGTTGGCTCTTCTGTTACGCCGGGAGGTACGAGAAATGCACCCTTGTACTTCATCTTCTTAGAGAAAGACCTTTGGGTTAGCAGCAGCGAATAGTGCAGTGATGACCTCTTCTTCCAGTGTTAGCTGATCCTCTAGAGTGCGCTCTTTGTCAGGAGGTAGCAAATGTATGACCCCATCTCAGAATGAATCAGCGACTGATCTTCGAATACAATGCTATAGTCGGTAAACACTCACCAGTCTTGATCAAGCTGGGATGAAGGGTAATCGAATCTGTATCGATGTCGGCCGCATCTAATTTATTCTGCAGCTGTCTGGCAAAGAGTGGCAAGTTTCGAGAAATCTAGATAGTGATGCCATCAGCCAAGTCAGGTGTCAGTCTTAGGCTTAGCTACACTTACTATATTCAGGAAAGTCTACGCCACCAGATCTAGTAGGCTCCATCTCAGCGTTAAGACTTTCTAGAAAATAAAATTTAAATCCATTGGGAGAAGGTTATAAAATGCTGTGGAATTCTGAGATCATTAGTGACAAGTACCTATGTATAGATAGTGCTTCATATAACAACGACTCTGACATTATAACTTTTGACACCAGGTTCTTTCAAGAGTGGGAACACCTCGGTTTAGGACAGCCCATAGCCACCTTTTACGAAATCGAATAGCTTACACAGGGGTCACCCAGATATCACCTCAGTCAACCCGAGAAAAAGAGCCAAGGGTGAGGTTATAGCAGCGAAACTCACCTAGCTCATCTTATTGGTTCGAATGTGGTGAATCGAAGTATCTCCCTCTACAAGTCTGTCGTATCAGTGCGGTTACTGTTTCTATGTACAAATAACTAACAAGGCTAACCCATGGTATTGCTATAACCTGAGATGACCTTTGCCGAGACGTACTTAAAAGATGGCAACTGCATTCGGTGGACTGCCGACTCCTCCTGTCAGATTCAGCGGCTCGCTCACGAACATGAAAGACCATCTTTGATGCTCTTTACACTGCTTTGCAAGATCCTCTAAATCAAACAATTCCCCGATCGGAAGTCCAAATCCCGAGAGAATTATTTCATGCATCCGGAACTGCTCCTGAGATACACCGAGACCGGCGGCTGGAAGATGATCAGAACGGCTACTGCCAGTCTTGTGCATATTAATCGGGAACTCACACCAAGCTTCAAACCCAGGACTATCCGCAGCAACCGCCGCAAATCCTGTGTCCCAGAGCCATTCCAATGACCCCTTACAGCCTTCTAGGCCGGGATAATGATATTCGGGCTTACTCATGATTATCTCTAGATCTTCATTAGACATATTCTCATAGATTGGAAGAAAGCCTGGTAGCAAATGTGAGCGAGAAGTATATTGGGCGACGACCAAAAACATTACCTGTTCGCAGGAGCAAAACGTCCCCCTCCTGAAACTCAATAGAATGTTTCGTAGCTATGTCCTGAATTACGGAGGTGGAGATTTGGTAGAAGCTCCAAGGATCATATTCTATCTTATTCTCGAGAGCATAAGAATAGAAGTCTATCAGTACTCCCCGTCCGATGATACCTTTCTTAGCCCACTCTATGACAGAATTAGGCTTAAGAGCAAATTTAAACGATTCATCGAGGAAAACCTACCTTGTATACCATTCCGTGAACTATCATGTATTTCAGCTTGGGTGAAGCCATTGTAGAATCTGCCATCTGGAAAAGACCAGTGTCGGAAGGAGTCCCATTGCGAGCTAGTCTGTGTGTTGAATTCGACTCGGTCGTCCTATTGGTGCAAAGTCAGAAACGTATCACCTCCTAGGAATTTTAGAAATATACATTGATATTGTCTCCAATACTGAATATCTCATGCTTCAGCTTCGTGCGGTAGAATGGAGGTACTTTCATCTGGCCTAGCTCCCAATTCAGGCCAACAGATACGCCTGTCTGGACCAACCTGGACGCGGACACGACACGTTCAGGTGTGAGGAGGTTGAGGCAGCCAAGCTGGTCTTCAGCCCCCCACAAACCCCACGCTGAATAAGGAGGGTGGGAAGGATGAAGAGGGAGTTCCTGGAATCGAGGACGCTTGCTTCCACGATGTGCACTTTTTGGCGATCCTGTAGGTGAGGCAAATTTAGGTGCTTCATTGAAGCCGTGTTTCTCTACCGGAACACCAGAAACGGCAGGGTTTGCCAGTGCTTCTGAATGCATCATACTAATTGCTGAATTCAAACACGATATGATAGCCTAAGGCATACTTTCAGAGGTTTACATTTACGTGATAAGTCAGCTGCTGTTGGAACGTTGACTGTGGGGTACGCTAAGGGTTTACTTCTCCGAGATTGAAGCCGTCTTCGGCCTCTAGTGTTGTCTTGTGGATTAGTTAGATAGCTTAGTCTAAGAAGGCTATGGTCATCACCCCCTCTCATCTCTATCTTCTTGATAGGCATCCTTCCGAGGATGCAGCTCATGTAGTCCATTCGGGTATCCTCTCTTCCTCAAAGGTAGCCAGCCAAGTAAGCCTCGAATCAGCTCATGACGCACGCATGTTGTGCTTCCTTGCTAGAATGTTTCAATTTATAACTTATTTGGCCATTTGTGACAAAAGAGAGCCCC